AGGCACTGACTTCTTTATCATGCTTACCAAGTAATCCATAATTTATTGCTTCTTCTATAACTGCTCGATGAATGAACAAATACTAAAAATAAACTTTATTTTTTGATTATTTCAAAAAGGAAATCACTTGCAGATCAGTTTGTACAGAAAACGCCCGCTGATCACGAAGCCATAGAAATATTGTGGCAATCCTTACTTCTCGATTTAATTTAATTAATGTTTGAATTGCCAATTGAACTCCTGCAAAAGTTCCACTACGCCCTTTAAAATTTTATTTTAAATTGGTTAAACACAAAAACAAAAAAACTGACCTACGCCAGCACTACAATGACAAAAAACTGTACATTTACGGCTCTCAGCAATATCTCGAACATAATTATTGAATTGACAGAATGAAGAAGCCGAATAAGGAACGTCATTTTCAGGCCAACCAAGATAGAGAAGGTGAATAACCTTAAAATTAAAAAAGGCTAGATTATCAATATTTTCTCAAATTTAGGGTTAACTCATCTTTCCCCTAATGAAAATCTAAGGAACCTCTTTAAATTGCCCTACAGGTTTGCATAATACAAACCCTAAGAATTTCTATTACTCACTTCAATGAACTTTTTGTTTTTGTATCCAGCTTCAATAACCGTTATTCGGACATCTTTATTGGAGGGTAAATAAACGGTTTGTTCTTTGATTTTAATTGTTATATTTTGTCCGTACTTCGTTGTTCCACTATTTAGATAATTTCCGCATTTGATTTCGCCTCCCTCATTATCTTTACAGAGTTGAACGACGACCTGAATTTAAAGATTTTTCTTATTAGGCAGACTTAAAATCAGTAAACTTACGCCGCAATTTTGTTCGATGACCAATGCCCAAAATTGATAAGTTGATTTATTTATTGGCCCCTGACCACAAATGAGAGGGTAACATCCACCAGTAATGAAATTAGCATGGTAAAAGTCAATACCTAAAATATTAAGGATTTTTTGTTTAAACATAAGGTTGTTCACCATTAAATCCCTTTTTGACTTTGACTCTATTCTTGTCAATCAATGGAACGTCAACATAATGCTGAAGGTCGTAATGGTTGGCTTGTTTATATTCTTTTGTAGTAGCAGTTCTACATTCATAATTTTCCAATTCACGTACAAATTGTTCCCTGATAGTTGGTATTCCTCCATGATTTACAATAGCTTAAAATAAAAACTTTAAAGTAACAGTAATTCAAGAATTAAAGAGGATGCGACCATTCCCGCATTGTTTTAAAGGGACAAAATTTCTCGCGGAAAAACTTAGAGATTTATTTTAGGATGGTCACTTTATCTTTAGTAAACCTAACTTACATTCAAACCATCCTTTGACTGCTTTATTTGGAGGTTCATTGTTCTGTTCTTTGTTTTGGACAAGTTGCATTGGCACGAAATGTTTCCTTTCTGTTGCGATCTGATCCGGAACAATTTTTTTTTGAAGATCCTCACCCGCATTCTAAAAATTAAAAAAAGACTGTTTTATTTCACTTTTCAAACTGGCCTTTCTCTTCCCGCCTTCCTTTTCCTCTCGTTTTTTACGTTCTTTCATCGTCCGAGTTACAAATTGCCAAGAAAGTACACGAGAACCAACAAAATTTGCCAAAAACACTTGAAGCGCAACCAGGTTTTAAACGAACAGAAGTGTTGAGCAACGAAGAATTCGCCAAAAAATTGCCAAATACTTGCAAAATAAACACGCAAAGCAGCTCAATTGAATGAAGAAGTTTGAATGAAGAAAAGTGAAGAAGTTTGCTAACAGGAATGTTTATTAGGGAAAAATTATTTGTTTTTATACTAAGTTTTAGTCTGCTTTTACGAACATTAAATATGTATTTTTAACAATTTTTCCTGATACATAATAGCAACACAAAAAACAAAATTATCTCTCTACTCAACCAATATTCAAACAAAATTTAAAAAATATCATAAATTTGAGGGCATCTTTAGGGGTGGAGCCTTCCAAGACCGAAGATTTTCACTCATCTTTAGGAGTGTATATTTCAAAAGCTCAATAAAGTCGAGACCAAGACGTCACCCCAAGACCAAGAAAAAGAACCTCCAACATAAGACTCAAGATCAAGAGTCATAGACGGTTCTAATTAAGGCTATGTAAAATCGGGGTGGGGGATGACTCACTGATTATCGCTGATTCGGTATTGAGGTCATATTTTGGGCCATAACTTTTCTGATCAATCAAAGCTCTAAAGGTGTGGATTATTTAGTTAGCAGGATTGATTTGATCATCCAACAAAAGGTCACAGCCTGCTAACAATCGTGATTTTCGACTTTATTTGGCTCCAATTTTTTGTAGAATTTTCAGATCAGTTCAATATTAAAAAGATGCAAAATAAGAAAGTTATGACCCAAAATATGGCCTTGATACTGAATCGTTCTTGATAGGTAGTATTGAGAGCAGACTATTTGGAAGGATCTAACTTTAATTTGAGAGAGTAAATCAATCTAGTTTTAATTTTTTAATTTTTATTTTAATTACCTGCCCGTAGTATCAATTTACACCAATCATTCAAAGAAATAAATTTTAAAAAATTTTGTTGTAAATATTAAATACCTAATGATTTAAAATAAAAATAATTTTTAAAATTTAATTTTAATTTTAAGTATTCTTCCAATTTCATTAATAAAAGATATACATACATTATTTTTAGTTGAGAAATTTTGTTATTTTTCTCAATAAAAATAATTTTTTTCAGTAAAAATAATCCCCGCCCTCTTTTTTGGCTTGATATTTTCTTTGAATAATAATTTATGTACATATATTTTATTTTTTTATCGGGCAATTCGTTTACTTGAGAGAAGCATTTTATGAGGAAGATAAATGAATGACATGTAAAGCATGCCTAGTATTATACATATAAAAATATATTTATTTTGAGCTAAACATCAATCTATTTTTAAAGGGTTATGGGAAAATTTTTGAATTTTTAGTCTGGCTTGGTAATTATGCTTTCTAAATTTTATTTAAGCAGTTCTTTTCAAATAATTTTATTGGTATATTTCGCCTTTCCCTCAATTTTCTTTTATCAATACAATTAATTGTATAGCCTCTTTTATATTTTCACCAACACATTTAGAAATTTCTTAAGCGGCAACTTTTAATATTTACTAATATCAAAGGGCAATGTGTGTTTATATATAGTAGAGAATGAGCTTCCGATTCCTGAAATCGGGAATTTTATTTGTACATATGTCGGCAAATTCACTGGTTTGTTCATTTAGTTATATTAATCCGTTGATTTGTGTATAAAGTTAGATTACCACAGATAAAAGCTTCCCAAAAGTAAATTAACTTTAAACTTAAAATTTTAATTATATACTTTACCGTATAACCCGTATTAATTGCCCACCCTCAAATAATTACCCCACTTCTATTAATTACTCCATCCAGCGTTGATTGAAACAAAAATTACCCCCAAAAAATGCCCTAAAACACGTTCAATCTTTCAAACCTCGTATAATTACCCTCCCTCGATTAATTTCTCTCTCCAGCGGAAGGTTGAAACAATAACCAGGGTAGTTATTACAGGATATACGATATTTTATTTTTGCCCATTGGGTAAAGGAAGCTTCCTAAACTACATACATCAAAATTGTAAATTATTACTATAAGATTTCCCAATGTGTATATTCAAAAAATTTTTTTAATAATTTAATTAAATAAATTTGTAAAAAAACAAAATAATTTTAAATTTAATTTGCAAAATGTTTTCTGTTCCAATAGCTAAATTTTAACAAAAAAGCAACAAATTGTAAATTACCAATCTCATCGTTTTGTATTTTACATGAAAAATAAATTTTAAAATTTTTTGTGTTGTTTTTTGTCTGTTAACAGACTAGGGCATTGTACGCTAAAGCAGGCTGTGATATGAATTTAACAAGTTTCACGCAAAAAAATACGCGATAACAAATCACTGGTCAACTTTAGGCGTACATGCCAAGCCAATAAAAAAGTTTATTTTTGAAGTTTTTTTGATGATTAAAAATAAATTGAAGGAATTTTTTGATTAAATGCGAACGCCGAAAAACAGAGTAGATGACACGTCTTTTTTAAATTTGAGTATAATTCGGATGGCTAAAAAGAAAAATTCTTTTTAACCAAATACCGAAATTATATCAATACGTCTCAACTACCCATGTCTTTCAGCACTAACATTAACCTTTTTTAATTGAAAAAATTTTTTTGGAAGAAAATGAAGTTGAGTTTTTTAGTTGAAAAATTGAAAATTAAAATACTGTTTTCTGATAAAATTTTTTAAAGAAGAATCATAATTTTTTAAGAGAAATATAACGTATTTTAGCTGAGTCAGCTGAATCCCGCTAATACGACTCCCCTGATAACACGAATGACTGAGAATACTGATATAACAGACTTGATTACAGACACTTCTCTTCATGTCGATTCAACCCGGACCCGAGTGGTCTGATTTGAATGGTCGTGGTCCTGATTTGACTCATGATCACACCTAGGTTTCATTCATACGTCGGCTCAGTTAGCTCCTGAGGAAAAATCGTGGCGGCTTTTCAAGAGTTTCTTTTAACCAGGAGGGTGCAAAGAGGTCCGAGTTTCGGATAAATCCTCAATATTCCAGCAAAGTCAAACTTTTTAGTCATCGTCTTTTCTTCCAATAGGTTTCGGCTCAATTCTTATCAATAGTCTTCCTCAATATTCCAGTGAACCCTTAACTTTTTTGTTCGTTTTTAAAGGCTATTTGCCTTCTGGGTAGGCGGATAAAGCATTGCCAACGCGACTCCTCCAATCTTACAAACCCCTCTTCTTAAACTACTTTTCACCCCCAAATGTGTACCTTATATTGTGGTTATATAAAATTTAAATTCAAATACATTTTTTAAAAAACTTTTTATTTAAATTTAGAGAAAATTATACACAAATTATACACATACAAGATATATTTTACGAACAATTAACAATATTTTTTCACTCATCTTTAGATAAATCTTTCATTTTTTCTTAGTCATCGTCTTTCTTCCAATAGGCTTCGCCTCGATTGTCTTATCAATAGTTTTCGTTTTACCATCATCTTCATCTTTAGACTTGCAAATAAAGAAGCAAACCAAAGCAGCTATTATAAGAGCGAGAAAGCTGAAAGAGGAAAAAAATTTTTGAGGGGAAAAAATTTTTTGAAAAATTTTTCAAAAAATTTCAAAAAATTTTTTGAAACTTTTTTTTGAAAATTTTTGGAAAATTTTTTTGAAAATTTTTTAAAAATTTTTTCTAAAATTTTTTTGAAAAATTTTTGAAATTTTAAATACGAAAAACTCACACTCCAATACCAACAAGAATATACACAGCTTTTCCCCCTCCTTGTTCTGCATCCCTTTTGATTCGAAATTGAGGAGCGTCGTCTAAACCTTGCTTGTTCGCAACATCAACAATTAGATTGGCAAGTAGAAACAAAACAAGAAGACGAGCAGCATTGGAATTCTTTACGAGCAGCATTGGAAATTGTTTTTGTTGATTTAACTGGAGCTGTGGTGTATTGTTTAGAGCGGGAGGAATGGAAGAAGCGAATTTTAGAAGGCTTTTATATGAAAAATCAGAGTGCGGCACAGGTCGGGATCCTTTACAGGTCGGGATCCTTTTACGGGATATAATCATTGAATGAGATTTTGCCGTATTCTGGCAAGGCTACTTGGATCGAAATAACTTGCCGGTATCATTGGGCATCCCTCCTCTCGCCACTAATCGGCTAACCAGTTTTAGAATTTTACGCTCGATTACTTAAAAATGACGTTCGGCTGTTAACTTCAACCTACAATGAGGGTTAGCTAGTCAAAAAAGCAATTTTGATTTACAAGATTTATTGCAAGTTAAATTCAATACAAGAAATGTAATCAAAATATATTTAAGTATTTATGTCAAAACAAATTTAAAAAAATAATTTTATATCCCCTTTCTTGTCAATCCTTTCAATCTCGATAGTAAGTAGAAGTATAACCAACAGGCGAGTAATAATCGCGGAAAGCTTTGCAAAGAAGACTCGAAAAGAAAACTGAAGTCAATTGAAGCAGTAAAAGCAAAAGACCAAATTTAACAATTGTTGCCCCCATCAAATCAATTTTAGACGAGAGAACATTAAAACAGTCTTCCTTTAAAAAATAATTTAGAAAAAATTTTTTAAATTAAATTAAGGTCAGATCTGATTATAAGATACACCCTCGTGACAGGAAAGATAGTCTCCTATAAAGAGGTGTCTATTAAATAGAGGGTATCGCCTAGGCCCTTAGATAAGAGCGCTACTACATTAAAAAGCTCATTATAAGAGACTCATCTGAAAAATCGTGAGGTGTCTATTAAATAGAGGTACATCTCATTATAAGAGACTACCACTTAATGGCTAGTCCACATCTTAAACTGAAGGTTTATTTAGTATTGGGTGAATCCCCTAATGAGATCTGACTCTATCCACAAACAGTTCTAGCCAATTCGCCAGCACACAATCCTTCATTAACATATAAAAGTCTAGTCTTTGCAGTTGCCCCGCAACAATTTAACAAGTCTTCTATTGGCTTCAAATTTTGACGTCCTTCCGGAGTTTCCGAACTTTTAGCCAAAGCACCTTGCAAGTCATCAAGTAAAACATCTTTGTTAGTAAAGAGAGCAATTAAAACATAGGCTTCAATTAATGATAGAGCAATCAAGACAATTGAAAACTGAAAAAAAAAGAAAATTTAATAAACGCTCATTATAAGAGACCTCTAAAATAAAACCCCAATATAAGATACCCCCAATATTAGATACACCTCTATTTAAGAGACCCCTCCTTGAAAAAATGGACTAGCTACTGGGCTGGAGAGCTGTCCAAGCGAAACCCTCCATTTAATGGACACCTTGCTATAAGAGACAATTTTCACCCTCAAGGGGTATCTTATAGTGAGGTTTTGCTATAATTTAATTTCAATTATTCACCAAAGTCAAAAGAAAAATGTTTTCACAAGAAGCTCCGCAACACCCCAAAAAACCAACAACCATTAGCAGAGCTCCGATTGCAACCAAAATCCATAATGATGATTGATACTAATTTTTAATTAATTTTTTATTTTTTAATTTAACTAACAGTCGCCACTTTATCCACCAATTCATTATACATTTTAATTTTTTGAGTAAAATCATGTAAATGGGAAGCAAAATTTCTGTCCAAATTTGCCTTAAAAATATGAAAATTTTCTTGTTTATTTTTTCAACTTCTTACCCATAACGAAAAGCTAAAAAGCAACCCACCAAAAATAAAAATCAATAAATTTGTCGTAAACAAAAAGAGTTTAATAGTTTTGTTAGCAATTCCATAAACCATTTTTTAATTTGTTATTTGTTAAAGGAAGGTCTAGAAAAGGAATGAAATTTTATGTATAAAAGTTTAAATGAATGGGGAAGAAAAATGAAAAATAAGGAAAGGGGGAAAATCTGTTAAATAAGGAGGGCATTGTTGTAAAAATAGACATTATGCCAAAAATTAATTTTTTTTTATTTGTTGCTGCATAAAATAAAAATTAATTTCGCCATTTTCTATACAATTTATGCAGGTGTAAAACTAAAGTTTTTACTAGCAAGCCAAGGTAAAGGAGGATGAGTAAAGACGATTTCTATGAAAGAGAAGAAATGACAGTCAATGCGAGTCTATCGATAAGAGAATAATTTAAAAGGTTGTTTACTTGTAAACACAAAATACATACATATTTGTTTATTAATTTGAACGATTAGAGGGCTTTTTAAAGATAAAAAAGTAGTAAAACCTGAGTATAAGAGACCCTACACCTCTTTTTAAGAGCCTTTTTTAAATTTGGTCGGCTGCTTGGTGGGTAGAGCTGTCTAACAAAGGTGTGTCCAACTGGTTTTAAAAAGCGAAAGACGAAATACGAAAGGCGAAACTGGCCACATCTGACGCCTAAGTAACCTCATAATTTAAGATATAATTCATTGGCTTACTAATAGAGAGCGAAATTTTCAAAAAACCTTGACATTGATCCGTGACCTTTATTTTAAGTGAGCACTTGACCATATTCTAGACATTGAGTCAAGGGAAAATCAAGGAACGCTGAAAAATGCCTTGATCTGGACTGTGGGTCTAAGAAAAGTCAAGGTCTGGTCACGATCCAGCTCTCGCTCTCTTCCTAATTTAACACACGTCAAAAGAATCGAAATGTACACTTTATTTAAGACACATTTCATTATAAGTTACATCACCCCCAAAAGAGTATTTACAAATAGGCCCGACTATTTCGATATACCAGAATTTTATTTAACGGTACAATAAAATATACAGGCATAGAATTTAACAAAAACAATACATCATACATATAAAATACAAAAAAAACAAAAAATTATTATATTCACAACTGTACGTATATTTTTAATTTAATTCACTCCTCCACTTTCTTTATTGTCTTCCATTTTGGTATTGTTTTCCATTTTGAAGTCTTCCATTTTGAAATCAGATTCATCTGGTTCCACCGTCAGCAGAGCACTGTCTGTAGTAGGACTTGATGTAGTTGGATCTACCCGCCCTCCTCTATCTCCTGGTTTCTTCGTCTTACTTCCACCATCTCCTCCAACCTTTGCCTTTGGATTCCCAGCAACGACCGGCTTCACAACCGGTATTCGAACCCTAGCTTGGGCTTGCTGTCGCTTTGCTTTGTCAGGTGTTGCCGAATATCGCCTCTTTTTGGCTGCAGAATCAGTTTTTTTGGCAGCTGGAATAGGAGGAGGAGACTTTACTTTTGATTGTCTTTTGTTATCCTCCTTGTCATCTCCCTTCTTTTTCTTTGAGCAGCAGAAGCACCAAATCGTTGAAATGGTCATGCAAAAACTAGAAAAAAAATTTTTTTCTTTTAAATAAAAATTTTCTAAAATAAAAAAACGTACATAGCAAAGCCGGCAGAGAATGGAAAATAATCATCTTTCGTTGACGACAAACCAAACGCGCAGGGATTGGGCGGTGTTGACATTGGGAGGAAAGTGACAAAATTTTAAAACTTTATTGCTTTTATACTTGGGATTTAGGAGTAATTAATTTTAATATTTATTTCTCCTTTCAAATCTCAATTTAGATACCCCCAATTAATGGGTAATCAGACTTGATCCATCAAGCTGGAAAAAAGATTGGGCTCACCAAGGGCTTTCGAATGATATTGTAAGGATTATTCACCTAGCGACATTTGAAACGTCTAGGCGTGGGTTAAACGATCTAAAAAGAAAAAGCATTAGTCAAGCTCAGTGGTAGAGCTCCTATAAGCGGTGAGCGAGAGCATGGAGATCGCAGGTTCGAAAACTGCAAGGAGGTCGTAGGTGTCCTGCCCGGTGGCTAAACTTTGGCAAAACTCTTTCTATATGACACTCAACTGGCCCCAACCCATTAAAATCTGGTTAACCACTATTGGGTGCTGCCCACTATATAGAATACATCTCATTATAAGAGACCCAAGGGATTGTATAAAAGGGGGCGCGACTTCATAATCCGCATTAATATTCAAACTATTCTAGTTGGTTCAAATCAAATGTCAGTACCGTTCTATTCCTGCGTGTATGGCTTGGCGGCGCCTAATGATTGTTCTTCTCAATTCTCTGCCGGCATTGCTATGTTCGTTTTTTAAAATTTTTTCTAATTAAAAAAAAATTATTTTTTCAAGTTTCTGTATAACCATTTCTGCAATTTGGTGTTTCTGCTCAAAGAAGAAGGCAAAGGAACAGAAGAAAAAACCGCCAGCCGAAGAGGGGACAGAAGCTGAGGAAGAAAGGAAAACTTTTATCTAGGCAACAAATTGTGTGTAATGAAGAAGGAAATAAATAAATAAATTCTTGTAGTAGATAAATAGGTAATTGTGTATTATATTCTGTGTGTAATTTATTTGTTGTTTCTTTGGTTATAAAGTATAAAATATTTGGGAGGAAAAAATTTTTTTGAAATTTTGTTTGGTAGCAAATTAGGTAGGGAACCAAGAAATTTTGATGTTGCCGCTTTTATGCGGTGTCCGTAATTTGAACACTAAAAAGTTGGTCTCCTAGATTTCTCGGAAGGTTGGGATTTTTCGCAAGATTTTCGGGAGGTTATTTGTAAAGCCCTCCAAATTACCGGAATTTTGGGTTCTATGTAAAAAACAATATTGGGTTCTAGTAAGCTTTTGAGCGCCAAAACTTGTGGGCAGATTTATTATAATTTAGATAACTTTATAAAGATAGAATGAAAATCGAGTTTATTTGGTGAAGAACCGCGAGCCTACATTACTAACTGCAGTTATCCCCATAGAGATAGAGGACTCGATTAAGGGACCGATCGAGTTCTAATGATGAAAACTTGAGCTCTAAAGAGGAGCAAACATAAAGATAGGTCCTGTTTCTAATTCGAATAACTACTAAATCAATCTTTACAAGATTTGACAATGACACCAAAATCGCCTCGCTTGCGATTAAAAATTTAATTAAAATAATATTTACAAATTCAAATATACATAATTTACAATTATAAATTTTATGTTCTTCTTTTTGTTTTTCTTTTTGCAAATTTTCTTTTTACCCAATTGTAAAGGCTTTCGAATTTATTACAAAAACAATCAAATTTTTTAATATAAAATATTCCAATTAAATCAATGAGCAATTTAATGCTAAAATAAATTAATTTAGATTTTTATTCGGCGGCCTCACTTTTATAAACCTCCTTAGAGCCAAACAAATCGTATTAATTGATAGGAGTTATCTTAGACAGAGAGTAGCGCATAGTCAACTTACCCGCCCAGTGAACAGCTAAACCTAAAAAGTCTCCTAAATAGAAGTGTATCTAGTATCGAGGGTATCTTATAGGCGGACCTTATTATAAGATGCCCTTAATTTATTTAACCCCTATTTAAGAAACGTACTTAAAAATTGAGTGACTACAGGTTGGGGAAGCTGTCTAAAAGATACCCTCTATTTAATATACACCTCATTATAAGAGACGATTATTTAATTGTTAATGGGGTGTCCCATAATGAAGAATTCTCCTAAACAGCACCTCCTTATTTAAGACACACTCCAGTATAAGGTACGATCTTGCCGTCTCCAAAGGTGAATATAAAAATGAGGTTAAGGTGTAGTTAAAAATAAAACTTACAAAGCAAAACTCGGAATAATAATAAAAATTGTAAAAAATGTAGAAATTAAAGTGTTAGGTGCAAAATCTCCAAAACCTTAAAAAAATTTTTTATTTTAATTTAAAATCACAAACTAACCAACAGAACAAATTGTAACAAAAACAAAATAAAAACAATCCAAAATATTCCAATTTTCCAAAAATAAATAAATAAAAGACAAAATACTCCAAATTAATAAAAATAACAAAAATAAAAATATTTTTGATTCATTTTCCGGTTGAGAATTATTTTGTGATTTAATTGTTTTTTCGCTTTTGTTGGAGCAAGTAGTAGCAATTGGTGATTTTTGACCACAACAGTTTTTAGGGGATTCTTTTTCTTTTAAAATAGAATTTTAATTTTTACCTGATCTTTAGGTATTATACCGCCGAACCTCATTATAAGATACACCCAATACCTCTATACTAGATACACCTCTATTTAAGAGACGTTTGTTTAAAGTTGGTTATTGGGTGGAGAGCCCTAAACAATGCCCTCTATTCTGGATACACTTCAATATAAGGAACCTTCATTATAAAGCATACCTCTTTATAATAGACTCCCAATACTAAATACACCTCAGTTTAAGATATGTTATCTAAAACGTGTCTAACGTGTCTAACCAGAGCTGTCTAAATAATAACCTCTATTTAAGCTACACCTAATTTTAAGGCACGAGTTTATTCAACCCTAAGAATGTATCTTATAGTGAGGTTCGACTGTATGTAATTTCTAAATGAAAAAATTTTTAATTTTCTTACTCAAAGCATTCTTTCCATTCAATTTAATTTCTTTTGCTTGAGAAGGACTTAACCGTTTTCTAAATTTTCTCCAACAATTAGCAAATATTCTACAAATCCAATTAAACAATAATGAAAAGGTTTTGGCCAAATCGGCAACAAGCAAAATAAAAAGAGGAATTCCAAAAATTGCAAAGGGAAAAATTAAAGTTTTTCCTGTTGGTGTTAATGGGACCAAATGTCCATATCCTTTAAAAATATTTTAAAAATTTTTAATATATAGTCAGACCTCGTTTATATGTATATGCCCCATGGATAGTAAAATATTGTATTCCAGTGGATGAGGGTAACTAGAAGGGGGTGAATTAAAACCGAGACCATCCCTGCTATTTGCCTATGAGTATATTTTATATAGTGGATAAAGACCCTATATACCCGACTGAAACGCCAATTAGAAAGGGGTGAATCAAAACAAGGAGTATCACTTAGAGACTCCTCCCATGTCCTACAAATTCTAAAAACAGGTAGATTAGAGATCGAGATCTCAATTCTCGTACGACACTCCCAGTCCGGTCTCTATATGTAGATTACTGTGAGGATTACTGGAATACTGATTACTGAAATATGTTAGGTTCTGACAGTATTTCAAAATTTACCAATTCTCGAAATTAAAGAAATTGCAAACAAAATCGAATTAACAAATGTCCAATTTTGTTGAATATTTAATTGTTGTTTTTCTTTATTTAAAGAGGAAATTCCTCTTTTTCCTCTTTTCCTTCCAATTTCTAAAAGTTTATTGCTAAATTCATTAGTTTCTTGATAAAGCCTTTCAATTGGGATTTGTGGAGATAAATTGTGTAGTTGTGCCATTAAATTATTTTTTATTATTTTTATCGATTCTTCGTATTTGGCAAGTTCCTAAAGTAAAAATTATTTTAGTGGTGAACCTTGTTTGTAAATACCCTCAAATATTAGGTACGCCTCTATTTAAGGAACGACTTTTTTAAAAATCTTGGGCCAAGGATGGGGAGAGTCGTTTAATCGAAAACCCTCTAGTTAATCTACGCCCCATCATAAGGATCATCTCTCTATAAGATACACTCCAATATTAAGTACAATACACCTCTATTTAGGAGACGATTTTTAATATTTTGGAGCGCCCTGGATCGGGGAGCTGTTCAGATGATTTTATTTTTATTGATTCTTCGTATTTGGCAAGTTCCTGAAGTTGCCATTTAAGATAACTCTCATTATTGGGAATGATACGGCCTTAAAGAGGGTATATAGTGAGGTTCAATAATTTTTAAAAATAAATTTGTCTACCTCTCTTTCTTTTTCATTTTCAACAGAATAAAAAGTTGCAGCAATTATAAAAACATAAATAGTTGTAAGTACCAAAGTAAAAACACGAGGAATTAATATTTTGATTAACTGTTATTGGTAATATAAAATGTTTACTAATGAAAATACAGTCAAACCTCAATATAAGAGACACCCATGGAACTGCAAAACAGTCTCTTATAATGAGCTGTATTTTAAATTGGGAGTATTGCTCAGACAGCTGTGCCCCAACCCAGTCAACGATTTTTAAAGAGTCTCTTAAAGAGAGGTTGATAAAATATTCGAGGTACGTTATAATGAGGTGTATCTTATAATGAGATGTATCTTAAATAGAGGTGTATCCTAAATAGAAGTGTATCTTAAATAGAGGTAATGCTCAAATACCTCCCCACACAAGGGCCCTACCAAAATTAAAATAGCGTTCATTAAATAGAGGTGTATCTTGTATTGAGGGTACATAACATAGAGAGGTTCGACTGTATTTAAAAATAAAATTAAAATAATTACAGATTTTCTTTTATTTCTCCTCCCACAACATTTGCTAGTATTATTCCTAATTAATTCAGTATCACTATTTAAATTTATTTGATATGGTCGGCGAGCTTCTGCCTTCAAAAAATTTTTCAAAAATTTTTTTTTGGAAATTTAAACAAACCAAACTAATTTCCTCGTCTCTAGATTCATCAGAAGAATCAAACATTTTTAAAATAAATTAAATATATTTAATTAAATTTAAGAATAAATTTTCTTTGTTTCCTAGGAGATAAAGAAAATAAATAAATTTTTTAAAGATTAAAAAAAACAAAATTTAAATTCTACTTTAATCTATTAAATTATTTTTATATATTTACAGATACATATATAATTCAGAAAAATCGACTCTTTATAGTGTACTAAAAAATTCGTACTTAATAAAGAGGTGTTCATTAAAGTGGAGGTAATTGTTTAGTCATCCCTCCAAGCGTGACTAAAAATACTTACACAAAACTTAGGGGTATACAAGTAAGGTTGGCGGTTCCTAGGAAATCTTCGGTTATACGAAACCTTATATACAAGGGGTGTCACAGATTACTCAAAATCCTTTATCCTGAACTTTTTCGACCTGGAACCCGGCCCCAGCTTTTCTTCAACCCGTGACAACCTTCTATAGTTACGTTGGGCTGAAGAACACACTAAAATGAGTGTACGCTAAAGTTGGGGGTATCGTTTAGGGATCTCCTTTAATTTTTAAAAAAAATTATTTATTTTATAAAAGAGAAAACTTTTTTAAAGAAATAAAATTTAAAAAAGGAAAAAGTGTCAAGAAGAACAGAAAGAAAAATAAATTTAAAAAACATTTAAAAAGCAAAATGAAAATTTAAATGCTATAAAAGAAAAGGGAGGAAATGGCTATAAAGCAAGTTAAATAAAAGAAAAAATAAAAAGAGAAAATAAAAAAAGAAACTATGACATTTAACTTTATTATTGGCACAAAACAAATAAAAATGGGAAGGAAGAAGAAACGTTTAAAAATTATATTTTTGAATAATTCTAAGGAATATTAAAATTAAAGTTGAGCTTTTTATCTTTTAGGTAACACAAAAGTTGAGGAGACTGGGAAAGACCCACAGCATCTTCAATTGGCCGGACTAAGCTTGTCCGTTTCACCAGATTCTTAGGTAATCGAACCGATAATCTTCGGTTTTTCGATTCGGTTCGGTTTGAGACCAACAACCCTTGAGTCTATGAAGAAGACAAAATACTTATAGAGTGAATCTCGTGTCTTCGTTTAGTCGAACAGAAAAATCTGCAGTTTTTCGATTCTGGTTTTACTTGAAACCAACAACCCTAGATTCGTTGAAGAAGACAAAATACTTAGAGAGTGGATAACGTGCAGGCTTTTACTGGATCTCGTTCCGAACTTCCGGTTCTAAGACGACAAACAGGGATTTACGGGATTAATTCAGCGGGGTCCGTCTGTTAGGCACCACGCCTCCTTTTGCATAGTCTCAGGAATTAACTAGAACTTTTGCTTCATTCAATTTAATTTATCGCTATAAATATGTGACACTCAGATAAACTAATAAATTTAAAATATTTAAGTGAATCGTTTAGTCTGGGGGATAAAAATAATTTTCTGACTCAGAAATGAGAGATATGTCGACTAAATTTAAAAGAGCTTAGAAATAGATTAACAAATTAATTTTTTTAATTTTTGTCTTAAAGTGTTAACAGATTTTTTGAAAGAAAATATTTAAGAAAAAACTTAAAAAAGAATAGAAAATTGATAAAAATAAATACTCTTTAAAATGAGGTGAGTTTAGTAAAGGAAGGAAACAGCTGTTTAGAAAAAAATTTCTTTTTTTTCAAGAGGAAATTTACACGAACAGAAAAATTGAAAAAAAGATTGAAGACAAAAAAAATATAGACATAATTTTGTTTTAATTATAAAATTGAAGGGGAATTTTATATAAAATTTTTTAATCAGAAATCTCTCAAAAATTAATTTATATCACTCAACTAACATTCTAAACAATGACAAATTTTTAAAATTTTTATTTTTCAATTTAACACAAAAAATGATTTAATAAAACGAATAATTTTATAAACACGGAAAAACAATAATATAGTCGGACCTCACTATAAGAGACGCCCCTTACTAGAACACCTCTATTTAAGAGACGTTTAATAAAAATTTGGTTAGCTATGACTGGAGGGATCTGCCTAAGAAAACTCTTCTATTTAACGTACACCTCACTATAAAGAACCCCTCACTATAAGATACATCCCCTAGTAGACCCCTCTCTATAAACACCCAGTTTGAAGGTACATGTCATAAAAGTGGCCAAATCCTTGGATATCTTAGGCGTAAAACTTCTAAGGGTGTTTCGACAAGTGAGTCCCCGACTTTACAAAATAACCAGCATTCAATCAACTTCCTTTTATTACACCTATATACACAATTTATTTTGTTTATATGAAAGCCATCCTACTATTATCTTTACCCTCTTTATTCTTATCTTCTTTACTCTTATCATCCTTATCCTTATCTTCTTTAACTTTATACACTTCATCTTCTTCTTCTTTAGCTTTTCTTTTCTTCTTTTCCCTCTCGGCCATTTCCTCTTTTATCATCGTCAAGATCATGGCATTCCGTTCACGAAGAAGACGATTTGTAGAGTCGAGCTCAGCCTTTTGCAAAGAGTTAACAGTTTTTTGCAAGTTATAATTGCTACAGTAGTAACAAAACAATACAAAGCAAAGAGCCAACCTGTAAAGAAGAAAAAAATTTTTTTCTCGGAAAATTTTAAAATTTCAACTTACAAGACAACCAATATCACAATAATAATTTCTGGCGAAATTGGCCACCCTGTTTCTTCTCCTCTCTTCACCCTTTCTTTGAACACATTCCAGCCTAAACCATTGTCTTCCTCTTTGTCCAATTCGTTGTTGTTGGAAGCAGCAATTTGAATAAAGCAAATTGATAGAAGATAATTAACCAAAAGAATAAGTCCAACAAACATTTTTAGATATTTTGGGGTTTGAATTGGTGAAGAGATCATTTTTGTTTTGTTTGAAGTGTTGACGATTAGAAGAAGAATGAGAGGAGGTCTAAATTTTGGAAGATGGCTTTTATAGTGTTTTTGTTTGAGAGAGAAAACAATGGTTTCGGCAATCTCCTATTGTCAATTTTTGGCTTTACTCTGATATGGATCAGGAATATCACACGTTATTCGAAATCCGATACTCTCCGAGAAATTAAAATACAATACTACCAGACTTTTTTTCACTATCTGGGACAAAGTTTTGGATATTACCAGACTTTACCAAGATTGGAAATCAGCAATCGTTAAGTGATAATACTAGAGGATGATTTTATTTATTTTTAAATAAAAGAAAACTAAATTTAATGGTTGGAACAAACAATAAAATACCCAGGATCTGCAAAAGTCATCTCTTATAATTTACCTACATATATCACCCAACTAAGATAATAAAAACATGACAAATTTTTAAAAATTTTTATTTTTTACTTTAACACAAAAAATGATTTAATGAAACGAATAATTGAATAAACAAGGAAAAACAATAATATAGTCGACGCTCACTTTAAGAGACGTACCTTACTAGAACACCTCTATTTAAGGTACACTCAGAGGTGTGTCGGAATCCCGATTTCCGACGTTTTTTTCCTTGCGATTTCCGAAAAAAATTTTTATTTCCGATTTCCGAATCCTCAGACTGTTCCGACCCACCTCTGGGTACACCTCACTATAAAAAAACCCTCGCTATAAGATACAACCCCTAGTAGAACCCCTCTACATAAACACCCCGGTTTAATATACACAACATTATAAGGACCGTTTTTTCAGGATTATCTATAAGTGAGTCTTCGACTTTACAAAATAACCAGCATTCAATCAACTTCCTTTTATTACACCTATATACACAATTTATTTTGTTTATATGAAAGCCATCCTACTAGTATCCTTAACTTCTTTATCCTTATCTTCTTTAATTTTATACACTTCATCTTCTTCTCCTTTAGCTTTTCTTTTCATCCTTTCCTTCTTTTCGCTCTCGGCCATTTTCTCAGCCTTTTCCTCGTTTATCATCTTAGAGATCTTGGCTTCCAGTCTACGATTAATACACTTGTAATAGTTCAGATCGTATTTCATCATGTCTAGCTCAATTTTTTGTTTGTTATAACGGTTATAGTAGTAACAAGATAATATAGAGCAAACCACTAACAGAGCCACCCTGTACAGAAGAAAAATTTTTTTTGAAGATTTTTAAAATTTCAACTTACAAGACAACCAATATTCCAATAGTAATTTTTGGAGAAAGAGGCCATTGTGTTTCTTCCCCTCTCTTCACCCTTTCTTTGAACACATTCAAGCCTAAACCATTGTCTTCCTCTTTGCCCAATTCGTTGTTGTTGGAAGCAGCGATTTGAATAAAGCAAATTGATAGAAGATAATTAACCAAAAGAATAAGTCCAACAAACATTTTTAGATATTTTGGGGTTTGAATTGGTGAAGAGATCATTTTTGTTTTGTTTGAAGTGTTGACGATTAGAAGAAGAATGAGAGGGGGTTTAAATTTTGGAAGAAGGCTTTTATAGTGTTTTTGTATAACTGAATGACTGATATGTATCAGGGACGGGTTATTCGAGCTCTGATACTTGATCTGAGAAATTCGGAAATACAATACTACCAGACTTCATTCTCTACCCGTGACAAGGTTTTGTGTAAAGGTGATGTCTGTTTTCCACTTTTTATTCTGTTTGCCTTTGGCATCTTTTCATTCAAATGCTATTAAGTTTTGAACAAGGGGGGGGGGGGTTCACTTTTTTTATCTAGTAATTAGGTATGAACATTTTGAAGGATGTTTTTGAATTATCCGATTCTTTCTTTAGGAGAAATTATTTTTGTCAACAAGTATCCACCAGGGATGGGCGATTTCGCATTTTCGCATTTCGCATCTTTCGCATTTTTCGCATTTTTTGGCGCGAAAAGTTTCGCATTCCGCATTTCGCTTTTTGGTCCAAATGCGAAATTTGTTTCGCTTTTTCTTAAAGTATTTTTTTTTATTTTTAAGAAATTTTTTAAAATTATAATGTCTTTAATATGGAAGTATTTCTCACTTTCTGGAAGAGTAGCGTTCTGCAAAAGTTGTAGTTTTTCAAAAAACTACCCGCCACGTGCGCCAACAACATTTTTAATCTCACATTTACGTGGCAGTCATCCAGAATTGTAGGTTTTCCTGGTTTTCCTGGGTTAATTTTCTCCCAAAGATTTCTCTTTTCTAGCATAATTGCCACTTGAGCCTTAAGAAAATTCTAAAATTTTCGCCTGCGGCGCTGGAAATGGAAGAATTCTGGCTTTTTTGGCTTTCCAACATTCTCAAAATTTTCGCCAGAGGCGCTGAAAATGGGAGAATATCCCACTGAATCTCATGATATCCGTCCAAGTAAAATTACAAAGAAACAAGCTTTGATTATTGAGACCCAGCTCGGTCAGGAGGATATCGGTAGATTTAGAGGGATATCGAAAGATTTAAAGGGAGTAAGGCATATGGTGGATTTTGAGAGATATCAAGGGAGTAAGGCATATGGTGGATTTTGAGAGATATCAAGAGATTTTGGGGATTAAGACGGATATTGTGAGATATATGGGATGGATATCAGAGGATTTGGGAGCATCAAGAGGGATATCGGGATATATATGTGCATATAGAAGGACGGTGTGGGATTAAGGAGGATATAGGTTAAGATAGATTTCGTATACTTTAGATATACTTTTATAATCGTATACTTTTATAATTTTGAATATGAATAAAATTTTTTGAATTTTAAATAATTTCGCATTTTCGCATTTCGCATTTTTCGCATTTTTTGGCGCGAAAAGTTTCGCATTCCGCATTTCGCATTTTATTTTTTTAAAAAAAGTTTCGCATTTCGCATTTCGCTTTTTATTTTTTGATTTCGCCCATCCCTGGTATCCACGTATCATTCAGTGCCTAAACGTCAACGCATATGGTCCACTCTGGTCCTATCTTTTTTTCCGGCACTGTATACGCTTTATGTTTTAAAAATTTTTTAAATTCATGTCTCAAAGTGTTGGACATAATTTTGTTCAAAATTAACTTATTAATAAACAACAATTTAAAACATGACAATTTTTTAAAAATTTTTATTATTCACTTTAACACAAAAAATGATTTAATGAAACGAATAATTGAATAAACAAGGAAAAACAATAATACAGTCGACCCTCACTATAAGATACCCCCGTATTAGAACACCTCAATTTCAGAGACTACGGGGAGGAGGGACTCTCTAAACCCCCAGTTTAAAGGCTTTCAGGTCTATCTTAAAGTGAGTCCCCGACTTTACAAAATAACAAGCATTCAATCAACTTCCTTTTATTACACCTATATACACAATTTATTTTGTTTATATGAAAGCCATCCTACTAGTATCTTTACCCTCTTTATTCTTATCTTCTTTATCCTTATCTTCTTTAATTTTATACACTTCATCTTCTTCTCCTTTAGCTTTTCTTTTCATCTTTTCACTCTTTTCCATCTCGGCAATATCCTTTTCCATCATCTTAGAGATCTTGGCTTCCATTAAACGATTATAACGCTTTTCACGGTCGAGCTCAAATTTTTTCCAGTCGAGCTCAGCTTTCACCTTGTTATAACGGGTATAGAAGGTATAGTAGTAATAAGATAATATAGAGCAAGCCAATACCAGAGCCACCCTGTACAGAAGAAAAATTTTTTCGAAAATTTTTAAAATTTCAAACTTACAAGGCAACCAATATTCCAATAGTAATTTTTGGAGAAAGAGGCCATTGTGTTTCTTCTCCTCTCTTCACCCTTTCTTTGAATACATTCAAGCCATTGTCTTCCTCTTTGTCCAATTCGTTGTTGTTGGAAGCAGCAATTTGAATAAAGCAAATTGATAGAAGATAGTTAACCAAAACAATATGCCCAACAAACATTTTTAGATATTTTGGGCTTTGAATTGGTGAAGAGATCATTTTTGTTTTGTTTGAAGTGTTAACTGACGATTAGGAGAAGAATGAGAGGAGGTTCAAGTTTTGGGTTAAGGCTTTTATAGTGTTTTTTGTATAACTAAATTCGGTTATTTCCTATTAACAGTTTCGGCTTTTGTCTATGATAGGGATCAGGGATGTCATGGGTTATTCGAGCTCCTCCGAGAAATTCTAAAATACGATACTACCAGACTTTCTTCTCTAACCGTGACAAGGTTTTGGTGTATGTGTTTTTAAATTAAATTTTATAGTCTGACCAAACAAAAAATACCCAGAATCTGCAAAAATGGTCCCTTATATGTAGTTACACTAAATAGTTTATCACATAGGCATACCTATCCTTTGCCCAGTTCCAACGTCCCGGTTTTACGAAAATTGCAGATCATCAATCGTTCACCCTCGGTCGCTTTAATTATAAAATTGGAGAATCTCCAAATTAACTTATCACTCAACTAACATTATAAAACATGACAAATTTTAACAATTTTTATTTTTCACTTTAACACAAAAAATTATTTAATGAAACGAATAATTGAATAAACAAGAAATAATAATAATAGTCGAATCTCACTATAAGATAACCTCAATTTAAGAGACCACTGGGAGGAGGAACTCTCCAAATCCCATAGTTAACCCCCCACACGTTTTTTCAGGTTTATCTACAAGTGAGTCCCCGACTTTACAAAATAACCAGCATTCAATCAACTTCCTTCTAATACACCTATATACACAATTTATTTCGTTTATATGAGAGTCATCCTACTATTATCTTCACCATCTTTATCCTTATCTTCTTTAACTTCATCCTTAACTTCATCTTTAACTACAACTTCTTTACTTCCAATCCTTTTCTGGGCTAAATCCTTGTGTAACGCCAGTAGACGTTGATGATGACGCTTTCTTTTGGCGAGCTCAGCTTTCTTCCGGTTATAGCGGCGGACTAAGAAGTAGCCAATTATAGAGCCAATACAAATACCCCTGAAAAGAAAAAAATTTTTTGAAGATTTTTTAAAATTTCAAACTTACAAGAAAGCCAATATTCCAATAATAATTATTGGATTAATAGACCCTTGTGTTTCTTCTCCTCTCTTCACCCTTTCTTTGAACACATTCGAGCCTAAACCATTGTCTTCCTCTTTGCCCAATTCGTTGTTGTTGTTGGAAGCAGCAATTTGAATGAAACAAATTGATAGAAGATAATTAACCAAAAGAATATGTCCAACAAACATTTTTAGATATTTTGGGGCTTGAATTGGTGAAGAGATAATTTTTGGTTTTGTTTGAATTGTTGACTGACGATTAGGAGAAGAATGAGGAGGTTTCTGGGTTGAGGTTTTTATAGTATGTTTTTGTATGAGAGGAAAACAATGAGTTTGGTAGTTTCCCATTGCCATTATTTGGTTTTAGAAGTCTTAAAAGTCTTTAGAAGTCTTAAGTCTTCTTTAGAAGTCTCTCTGACTCCAGCCTGTTGAAAGAAGGCTTTACCCAGTTCTAATTCTCAGATCATTTTGTATATGAGAGAAACTACGTATAACAACAAGTCTCTACACAGAGATGGATCGAGTTAAGAAAAAAGGTATCGGTTCGGGTTTCGGATTTCGGGTCGAAAAAATCAGAGTTTTGTACATTCAGCTCTCATGATCTACACGCATTTCAGTACCTTGTCATTTCAAAATTGGAAACTAAAAGTGTGACCATATTTGCTTAAAAATGCAAAACAATGGAGGAGAAAAATATTTAAAGTGTATTAAAAAATAAAAACAAACAAACTTTTCTTTAAACTAAACAAAAAATTTTTTTCCATAAAAATAAATTTAAAAATCATTCAAAAATGTTGAGGAAATTAAATTTTGAAAATTATTTTTTAAATATTCTTTTTTCAATATTTTTGTCGAATCAAGGAATTATTTATGGTAAATATTAAAATTTAACCTATAAAATTTAAGTAAAGTAGAACCTCATTTTAGATAACCCTTGGAGCTGAAAAATTCTATTTTGTACTAAGGTGTACCTTAAATGGAGGGTATTGCTTTAACAACTCCCAAACACTAGGTACGGGGCGGAAAACAGGGTAATCGGGAACAGAGGTGAGCGCATTGAGTTTTGATGCGTTTTGATGCGCATTGAGTTTTGACTTTGGCCTTGCGTTGCGTTTTTCACGAGTGCCTCCTGCGCTATCATGCGGCCAAAAAACGTGGGAGGGAAAGGGAGTAATTTCATGGAGGAGTTTGATATACCTCAAATTATCTTCATAGGTATGTAAAGAATGAGGAGGTGCTCTAAAAATGAGGGTTCTACTGTAATCGAAAAAATTTCAAATTTCTATCCTCGAATATATTTGCCCTATATAGCTATCGATAACTGTCCAATGAGAGTTGTTAAACACATAATTATTCGAACAATTGAAGTAACAAATCGTGGTGATACTTCCTCACAGATGCAGGTTCTTTATCTCTTTACAATTTCCAAAATTACAATTTAATAGCTAATTCGTCGTATAATGGAAGATATTTATGGAGGCACTTGGGGTGTTTTAATTATTGAAGGGACTAATTTAGTTGGAAAATCTGTCCATTGGACAATTCCAGACCACAAACATCGGGATGGTTCTGCAGCTTTTTGTTTATATGACGAGAATGAAGTTCAATATAATGTCTTCAAAACGGGAGATAAAGATACTGAGGATAGAATAACTTTAGAACAAGCTATGGCAAAAATAAGTGATAATATTCGAGGATAATTTTTTATTTGTTTAGTGAAAGAAATAAAAGTCAGCCTCACTATGCCCCCTTAAAGTCATAAAATGGTCTCTTATAATGAGGTGTATCTTAAATCGAGAGTAAAGTTGTGTAGCTCCTTTCAGATAGTAGTTAACCTCCCGATTTTAAGCTGTAAATCAGCAATTGTCCTACTACATTTTTCCTCAAGCACAATAATTATACCAGTCTAACAGCCTGTTTTTAGAATATATTTATCATTAAATAGAACGTTTCATTGTCAAAATAAAATCAAATTAATCACGATAATAATTTAGAGATTAAAATTTTTTCAATATTTCTCGTTGATTTCAACACATTTTCAAATTTATTTTCCTCCATAACCACCATATCCTCCTCAACCACCCATTTGACCTCCAAAGCCTTGCATACCTCCACCACCAAATTGTGAACCTTTATAATAAAGTAATTAAGATCTCGTTATTCTAATTTACCTCCTCCCATACCGCCAAAACCTCCTCCACCTCCACTCATACCACCACCATAGCCATAACCTCCAGGCACACACTCGATCATATTAAATGTATTAATTAAAGCAAGGAAGAATAAAGGGAACAAAAATTTGAGCATTTTGAAAATTTTTAAATTAAAAAATTATTTTTAAAATAGAAATGAAAGTTAATTGTTAATTTTAGACTTATTCCACCCATCTATTTATACTAAAATTTCTGTGTGGTAATATATTATTTTAGTCATCGAACACTGGTCAGCGAAGAAAATCGGCTTAATAAGAAATGTTGAAGATTGCAGATTTTATTAATATAACGGCCGAAATTGGGTAAATATTTGGCGAATATAATTTCTAGAAAATGGAAAAACTGAAAGAAAAAATAAAAGAAAAATATACTTCCTTAGTAAGTACAGTTAATAAGCAATTTTAGTCATCAAACACTGACGGTGAAAAAACTGTCCCTAAAATTAATCAGCGTAGCTATCTAGACAATACATCCATTTTAAGATACATTCATTATAAGGTGGATATCAAAGGTTTTCCGAAACAGATTTTAACAAGCGAAAGATGAAACTTTCCGCGAAAGGCCTAATAAATATGATTTTCCGCAGTTTGGTCCTCAGTTTCTGTAAGTTCTGTTAGTTCTGTAAGATACCTCCAGTCTGAGATATTTTTGTGAATCTTACTTGGTCACTGAGTGAAAAGAGCTATCAAAACAACACAAACCTTCTAAAATACACCTCATAAGATAGATAATCAAATGTTTGCCGAAACTGTTTTTAAAAATCGAAAGACGAAACACCGAAATAGGCGAAGGCACATACCTAATAGGCATGTTGATCCTTTTCCACTATTTAGTCACCCAAAAAATTCCAAAAATGTTTCTTTTTAATTTTACACTTTATTTAATAAATCTACAACATATTTTGTTCTTTCCATCAATTTATTATTTGCAATATACTCATTCATCCAAATCCTAAAACTATTAATTCATTCACTCAACCGATGTTTCATACACCAAACAATCAATCCATCTCAATCCAGAGCATCTTTCTTCTTTTCTTTCAATCCGCTCTTTCACCACCCATACATACACACAACATTCATCAACCAATTTTCAATCCCTAAAAACATTCAAACAACTATGTATATATTTTTATTTATTCTTCCACGCATTCTCTCCCCCTCCTCCCAATTTTCATTTATTCACCGCCAATTCTTCATTTTTCAATCGCCCGGTTGTTGTTCTAGTTTGTGGCGTTGTTAATTCTTTTTTCTCCTTTTATTTCTCCGTCAAAGTCCGGTATATTTGCTTTTATAGCTTTTCGTGTGTCCGCTTTGTTTTTAGTAAATCTATCAGTTTTTATCGATGTGTAACGTAAAACCCAAAACAATTAAAAATTAGCAAACAATTGGAAAAATTAAAATAAAAAGAATGGAACGATATGATCTTATTTGAGTGCATTCTAATTAATTTTTGATTTGATGTCTTCGAGAAAATGCTGGAAAAGTGCCTCTCACTACAATTTTTCAACTAACAGATTTTCCACCAACTTTTATACTCTCTTCCAGAATTTCGTACATGTCGGATGTCAAGCCTTAAATTTTTAAGTGAACGCCTTAAATGGTCATTTACCTTTACAAAAACACTCAAAAACACAAAAACAGTTCGTTAGTTAGTTATGACCATTTCTCTATGGCGAATTGCAACATTGGCAAGCTCTAAAGTTGAACTCTTCTTTCCTTTATTTTTATTTTCATTGCCTAAAATGTATTAAAGAGAAAATTATTTGGAGAGGATACCATCTTATATTGCTAAAACCATACGTTCATCATTGCGCCAGGCAAAACTATTACTATTTTTTGGGCCTCTTACCTCCGATATGTGCAGTTTCACTGCATTCAACCTTTTTATACTCTCTTCCAAAATTTCGCCTCATTCATAAAACTCTCACATATAATACATACAAAATCATCACCACATTGCTGTGACAATTGCTTCTCTCAATTCCCCTCCACTATACTAACTTGAAGTTACCTCCGCTCAATTTTTCTTTATATAAAATGCCCAATTACAAAACGTCCATTTTTAATTTTTGTCTCTAATCATGATTAAAATTTCTTGTGATTTGCCGCTTACCATCTAAGATTCGTAAAATAAATCATATGATCAGCATTTTTAACCGGCTTTTGCTAGATCTTCTTGCAAGAACCTTATTAATTGTTCCTTAAATGTATTAAAAGTTATCGATCTCTATCCTGGCATTTTGTATCCTGGATGTTTTGTACTCGCGCCTCTTTTCATTGTTATTTCTCTGCTATACTGGCTGCTCATTGCTTTGCTTACCCACTTCTCATCACCGCACCATGTCGCCTATATATATCGCCGCTTGGGTTTTTAGTGTCGAAGAAAGCTGTTGTGTGTGAGGAGTTGTTCTCTTTTTCTTTTTGGCTGTGTCCTTCCTTCATTTATTTTATTTATTCACTTAATTAAATACTTACAACCTACGAGACTGAATAAATTTATATAAAACAACAAATTTGATCAATTTCTTCAACGGGCGCTAATTGATATTTTTTAAATGCCATTATGTAGTTTTTACTATGTTTGTTAATTAACGTCATCAATCAGTTTTTAACGCCGCAATATAAATCTATTAATAAAAAGCATTTGTTATCTAATTAATTTTACTTGAAATTTTTACTAATTGTTTTTGAAAAAAGTGATATTAAGTACTTCATCTGGACATTTGAGTCTCAATTAAGAAGTCATTAATAAATTATCGATAAATAATGCAGTCGAACCTCTCTATAGTGTACTTTCTTGGGGCTAAAAGATAGTCTCTTATAATGGGGTGTATGTTATATAGAGGGTATCTTTTAGCTAATCCCTATTTAAGGTACCCCCTCCAATGGTCAAAAAGACTTAAAATGTATCTTAAATGGAGGTGTATCTAGTGTTGGATGTATCTTATAGAGAGGTCCGTCTGTACATAACTTGCTGTCTTATTTCGATAAAAAATCTAAGAAAAAACGTCTGCCCAAAAAAAATTTTTTTTAATTCAACCAAAATATTACAACTTTTTAATTATCGACATTCTTTTTTCTCCTCGATGGGTTAGTAAATAGTTTTTTTTATTATTTCTCCTCACTCTCAAGCAAATTGATTTTTCTCTTACCGCTTCTACATACATTAATGCTGCATATTTTTTTCCATATTGTTTATATAAATAAATGTATGAATTTTTAAGGATATTAGAGTATATCAATTACCTTGAAAATTTTGAAAAATTTTTTTGTTGAAAAATTTTTTTGCAACATTACGCCAAAAAAATTAAATTTTGAAAACAGTGCCAAAATTTTCGCGTGTCAGGCCAAATGCCAGTTTTTCAAATTTTTAAAATACGCCAAACACCAGAACGCCAAAATCTGCCAAAAATAGCACCAAAACATTATGTGAAGTTTTTTTCTCTTCGAATTTCTTCTAAAATCATCTCTGGGGGTCTGATTTTGGATTGGGAATTTTTTAAAATACAAAAAGGCAATGCCATCTTTCATGTTTTCCTGGATCTTCCACAAAAATCATGGTTCTTTTCCTAGTCAGTTCCAAAATTTTTTTGGCTGTTCTGCGGACATTTTTTGGAACCAAGCACTAGTTTCCTTCTTTGTTTTTCTACACACACATTTTTTGTATTTTCAATCCTTTTTCCCTTCCTGTTTTTCCTATTTTTTCCTTATTATTTTCCTTATTTGTTTACCCACTTTTTTCTTTTTTTCTAACTTTGCCATAATTTAAACTTATTTTTTTACGCTCCGTATAATTTTTTTTCTTATTAAAAAGTTATTTTTAAAACGAACTCAAAATACCTTTTTTAAATATTTTTATTATTTTTTAAATATCAAGAATCCTTTCTCTTTTGTTTGTCTAAAAATTTCCTCACCGCTCACCTCAAATAAAAAAAATTTTTCGCCTTTCAATAACTCACCTTTTTTTTAATCATTCTGTTGGTGTTAATATTCGATAAAATTAAAAAAAAGTAAAAGAAAACTTGAGAGTTGTTTAGTGTATTTTTGTTTTTCTGTTAATATAAGAATTTTGAAATGAATGCGCGAGACTTCCTTTCTTGATTACCCATTTTATTCCGAATCTCACTATAAGATACTCCCAATAATAGATACACCTCTACTTAATGAACTTCTTTTTAATTTGGCTGAACACTGGGAAGGGCCGTCTAAATTTTACTCTCTATTTAATAGACATTTCATTATTAGGCACACCTCTTTATAGGATACTCCCAATAATAGATACACCTCTATTTAATGGATTTTTTTAAATTTGGTTTATCAGTGGGTGGTTATTACAAGATACCTCTTTATAGGATACTCTCAATATTGGATACACCTCGTTTTAAGCTAAATTTTCTTAAACTCGTTTATCCACTGGATGATGGAGCTGCCCAAACGATACCCTCTATTTAAGATACGCCTCATTATAAGAGACAATTTTTTAACCTCGAGGGCGTATCTTATAGTGAGTTTTAATTGTTGCTTTTTTCAATTAAAAAATTTATTTTTTAGTGATAAGAAATTTTTTGATAAAAAATCAATAAACTTATATAATTTTCAACAATAACGACATCAATAAACAACCATTTCCCTTATAATTTAATTAATAATTTTTCCAAATCCAACATTTCCAAACTGTTAGAAGAAAGGCCCAGTTCAAATGGGCCCCACCAACAAAATTTACAAAAAGCACACCAAAAACAACAAAAAATGGTTAATATTACAACAAAAGAAACAGAAGAGGAAATTGAAAAATCTTCTTTTGAGGCAACAGAAAAAGTTGTTGTTTCAAGTGGAGAGATGAGTTTTGAGGCTGTTCCGTGTATGTTTAAAAGCCGTCAAGAGGATGGGGCGGAAGGATCTCTTTTTGGGCTTTTAATTAGACCTGCTACTATTGCCTCAACTAGTACAACAACAACAGAGCTTAATAATACAATTTTAATTAATAATGGGGTAGTGAACAATGATAGCGGGAAGGATATGTTGGTGGCTACAAGTGGGAATGTGGCTATTGAAGGGGTGGGTAATTGATGACTTTTGAAGATCAACGTATTTTTAATATAGACAGTCAACCTCATTATAAGAGACCCAGATAAACTCTGTTCTATTACAAGGACACTCATTATAAGAGACAGATACACCTCCGTTTAAGATACGATAGTCATTGTGTGGAGCAGTGATAACGGAAGGCGAAAAATAAAAAACGGAGGACGGAAGGGCCAGAAAGACGGAATTCGGCTGAGGAAATAGAAGCGACCTCATCTCTGGTGGGGAAACTGTTTAAGCGATTCCTCTGTTTAAGATAAGCTCTACTATAAGGTACAGTCAGTTTACCAAAGAGCGTTTATCACACGCTTTTTCAGCCCCAAGGGTGAATCCAAAAATTGTTTGTTTATTTACTATTTATTTATTTTTAACATCACAAAGTACGTGAAAAATTAAAGAACGTGACAGAAAACAATAAAATATTTTGTCTATTAATTTACTTAATATGATTTATTCTATTTTTCAATTAAAAATTTTTTTCTAAAGCTCATTCTTTCTCTTTTTTATTAAACTCTTTGGCATTTTGTTTACATTTTCAATTTTTATTTTGTACTCCAAGAGAAAAAATTTTTTCTTTTATTTTATGCCAAAGTCTGTTTACTGCCACAAGTTGAGAAGAAACATAAGATTATTATAATATTCAGAGATATCTTCATTTTTATGTTTTTCTTTCTCTATATACAATTTATTCCTCCTTTTTTACCTTCCATATTTTAAAAGAAGCATTTCTCCAAGGGTTGAGGTCATAAGGGCGCGGGGCCATTAGGGCGCCAGCACTAGAAACTGACACTTAGACGAAACCGAAATTTATGCAAATTTTCTCAAATTTCTTTAACATCGTTGACTACCTCCTCCAGAAATTTCAGAATTTTTCATCGAATATTTCTGAAGTTATAGTCGATAGACCGCGAAAAATTTGGGTTTTTTCAGAAAATCAACATTTTTGGCCACAATTTCTTAAATTCTTGATCAAAAATGCTGAAATTTTTGGAGAACGTAGATAAAGGCATGAGAGTTATTATTGCAAAATTTTATCTTTTTTGATAACCAATTCAATGTTTTATAAGCTCGCGCCCTAATGGCCCTCTAAAAACCTTAATGACGCCCTAATGGCCCAGTCCCTTCTCCAACTCTATTTGACTTTTAAAAATTTATATTTTATATATCTACACACATTTTTACTCTTCGACCCTTCGCCTCCAATATAATGGACAAAAATGATAGTCCCATAGAAAGAGTCAAATTCTCCTTCCCGCATTTTGTTTTCTTTCCCTCTTCAATATATTCTATTATTCCTTCATCCATTAACCAATTTTCCACATTTTTTCTGCCATTTCTCTTTAAGCTACTGCCACAAAATTCCTCGCTAACCTAAAGGTTTATATTATTGTCTGAAAGGGAAAAATGGTAAAAACAACTAAAAAAAGTGTTAAGGCTAATATGAATTGGTTTTTGAGATGATAAAAGGGAGAGAATGCTTTCGGTTAAAAAGAGAATAAACTTGAAGAACATTTTATTAGCCAGCTAATAAATTGCATGTAAACAAAAACAAGATTTTTGTTTTTTTTTGATGAGAGAGGCATATAATAAGAACCTTTAGGAAGGGGGCTTGGAAATTTTTTTGGTATATCTTAAGCTTTTTTAATTGTCTTTGAAATAAAGTTTAATCTCATCTTTAGATATCCCCTTTTGGCTGGAAAAATAGTCTCTTATAATGGGGTGTATGTTAAATAGAAATAAGTCTCTTATAATGAGGCGTACGTTAGATAGAAATAGTCTCTTATAATGAAATGTATGTTAAATAGAAATAAGTCTCTTATAATGAAGCGTACGTAAAATAGAGGGTATCGTTTAGTCAACTTCCCCTTCCTGTTGCCATCCAAATTATGAAAAACGTCTCTTAAATAAAGGTATAGCTAGTATTTGATGGTATCTTATAGTGAGAGTTTCTTATAATGAGGTGTCAGTATATCTCCAAAAAGGGATAGAATTAGACCATCTTTTCCTTGGCTCTTTTAAAATTTTTTTGTAAATTTTTAGAATCCATCATCCTCAACAATTTCTACAAATCAGCCCAGCATAATGCAAGTTTTACCAGCTTGTACTAACAACGCCAATTCAATAAGAGTTAACCAACAACAAATGACTTCTTCCGTTATTATAGCTTCCAAAATGCTTCAATTCCAACAACCAAAGGGCAGACTAATCCCTTCTGCTTCCTTCCCTCTTTTGCCCGCACCTTCTGGAGTCCCTCCAATTTTGCCTAAAACATCAAAACATCACCACCACCAACAAAAAAAGCTTAAGAATTTATTACTTAAATCTTCCCCAAAAGTCATTCCAATACAACCGAAAATAGCAAAAACATCTTTATCGACTTTAACTAAAACTACAACGTTTAATAAAAGTGATGGGTGTTGTAGTAGTAATAATATTAATTCTTTACGTCCTGAAATGTTTGCTGCTTCTTTACATGTAAAAATTTAAAATTGATTATATTTTTTAGTTTTTCTTGTTTGAATAAGACAAGTTAGTTGGCCGGTATAATTGTGTTTGTTGTGTGGCCATTGGATTTTCTGGGATCAACCCCGCAAATCAAAAAAGCATAATATATCCCTCATGGAGGACACGCCGCGCGCGGGCAAGTAGAAAGCCATTACCTGGAAAATTTCTGAACCTTAACAATTTTGGTACCAATCTCTTTATCTCGATGAGAGGAATCGCTTAATACTAAATTTTGAATGATTTCGAAAATTTTGAAGCAAATTATGGCTTTGCGCCTACTGCTGTACCGGCCCTTGTGGAATCCCCGTCAAGCACCGGTCAAGCAAAAAATTTTCGAAAATCGTAACGAGGAATTTTTTTGTGGGACGAGATCTTGCAAGATTTCCGGGGATTTCTCCCGAAAATCGGAAAAGTTAGGGATTGGAGTGACATCCCGCAAAATCCCTCTTGGATCCCGTCGAGCACTGGTCAAACTGAAAATTTTTCGAAAATCGTACATCAAAAATATTTCAAAAATATCGAAAAGATTTTTTCAAAATCTTAGAGGGAGAGAGCTTTTCTGCCTCTCGAATGTACTAAAGTACTGGCTTTTTTTGGAATCAATCCCGCAAATCGAAAAAGTTCCGGATTGGTGTGACATCCCGTAAAATCCTTGTGGGATCCCGTGATCAAACTAAAAAATTTTTGAAAATCATAAATCAAAAATATATTTGAAAAATACTTTTCAAAATCTTAGAAATCTAAAGAAAAATAGCCTCTCAAATTTACTAAAGTACTAATTTTCCAAAAAAGAAAATATATTTAGTATCTTTACACTTTAACATTTTTTTTGCAAAAATAAAATGCCAAAAGTTTTCTTTCTTAAAATGTCAGTTATTCTAAAAAGGGTTGTTTGGCACAAAATAAAAAAAATTGTTTGGAAGAGTAAATGAATATATTTTTAATTGAGATAATTGCGTGTTTAAAGGGGGGATATATTACGAATATAAAAATAATTATTATTAAAAGGAGGAAGAGAAAAGAGACATTTCCAAATTTGTTTTTATGATTATTACAAAAATATTATTATTTTTAGTAAATTAAAAAAAAAGAGAACTTCAAGAAATATTTTTTAAGTTATAAAACTGGTAATAAGAAATGTGTAAATATTTATTTTTAAAATTTAGAATGTCTCTTTATGAAATTAATTTAGTAGACCAATTTGTCTTTTTGGTACTATTCACATTTTTCCTACCTGTTAATCAACTTCCCCAAATTCCAGCTTCATCAATTTACCACACCAATTTTTGTGAAATAGAGAAATAAGCATAGCTTTAAAAACTAAATTTTAAATTCCTACCTACCCCAAAAATAAACACAATGGAATTTTAAGGAGACTTAAACTGGAAAAAGAGCCAGACTTTTCAGCAAAACTCGAATAATTTTTAATTCTTCAATAATATTCACCCCCTTTCCTCCTCCCTTTTTTTCCTTTCTCGACTTAACTCTATTTTTTGTGGCATTTTATCAGTCAATAAAAAGATTACCAATTTTAAATTTGACGTAAAAATATAAGAGATTGAGCAAGAAAAAAGAGGAGATTGTTACGAAATTGAATATTACCTAGTAGAGATCGAGATTTCTGAAAGCCTGGGCCTGTTCCTGGGTTCTGGGTTTTTATTAACATGGACCGGATCCTGGGCCTGTAGTACAGGAAGAAACCAATCCCAGGAAAAACCCAGGAAGGTCAAAAAATTCCTGGGCCTGGACTCTGGGTACAGGAAAAACCCAGGTCTTAGTCCAGGCCCGGCTCGATCTCTATTACCCACCATTTTTCTATCAAAAAAAATTTTTTAAATTTTTTTCAGGCCCACCAAATCCCCTCAACTAGCCAATTCCAACAACAAACAGCAACAACAAATAATTTAAGTATTTCTACCTCTCCAAATATTTGCCAAACTTCTCTAGATGCCCCCCAACAACAGCAACTTGTTCCTTCCGGTCTTTTATCAATTAATTTATCTCCTTCCCAAAAATCGGCAACAATTACTAGCAAAAAGTGTCAAAAACAACAAAAAACCCCAATAAAAGAAAATAAAAAGGGGGAAGAAAAAAGTTCTTCTTCTTCCTCCCCTATACCCCAAACACCTCCAAATAAACTTAAAAAACATCAAAAACGAAATAATAAAAAAATTAAACAATTAAATCAGCAAAGTAATTCGGAAGTGATGCTTGGGGAGGATTTACACGAAATTGATCTTTCTCAGCTAGTTAATTCGACTGTTATTACTACTGAGGACTATTTACCTAGGTATTGAATTTTTGCAAAGTAAAGGTCGAATCTCATTATGAGAGCCTCTTAAAATTTTTTTATCTGAGTTCAAGATACCCCAAACCTCAGAGCCCTACCCAGAGACCGAAGACTCCAGAGACCTGGACCCCGGAGTCCTAGAGCCTCTTTTCAAGCATATCATTTTAAGTACACTCAATATTAAATACTAGAGAAGGAATAGAGGCAAAATTTTGAACAAAAATGTCGATCACCGAGATTCGAGATCCCATAACGAGATGCTACTCACTCTAAGATACCTCGGTTTAAAATATTCCCAATTGTAAATACACTACATTTTAAGCATCTCAGTTTAAGATAAACCCAACATTAGTGTTCGGCATCAGGATTTTTTCAATACCACTGGGAATACCGAAAAAGTACCAAGTCGATATTTTCGGGAGAACCGCGGGAGTACTGAACCGTGCCTAACACTATCCAATACTAGATACTTTTCTGCTTAAGTGCATTTTTTAAAAGTTGATTGGCTGCCAAAGCGATACTCCATTGTGTTCGTTGGTGTATTTTGATAGAGGGATTTAGATACACTTTATTATAAGATAAGAGTTTTTTAGTTCCATTCGGGATGTCTATTTTATAGTGAGTATTCTATAGTGAGGTTCGACTAATAATTTTTTTTAATTTCTTTAAAATTTTTTTGTGCAATATGTAAAAGCTAAACTTTGTATGGATTATTTAATCCTTTTGGATTTTTAAAACTAAGAAAGGAATTTTCTTTTTTTCTTATTAAGAAAATATTTTTTCCTAAAAAAAGTAAAAAATCCATTAACTGTGTAAAATCTAAATTTGGAATAGTCTTGGATTAAAAGTAAAAAATTGACTGAAAACTAAGGGAAAATAATTTTTGTTCTAACAGGGATTTTTAAAATTAATTTTAATTAATTTTAAGCCAATCAGAACCTCCAATTTACACAAATATGGATATGTATAATCCAAATAATAATGGTAATTGTGTTGGTTTACATCAGCAATCGACTACTAGCAATAATAATATTTGCCACCAAATGCAATCTACAAATAAAGATGTACGTGACATCCCAATAAGCAACTCCCCAATGCAGTTAATAACTCAACAACAAAGGCCGCCGTTGAATTTTGTTGAAAATGTAAAGAAAAATTTAAAAAAAATTTTAAATCGGGCCTCATTATTTTGTACACCCTTGGAATCAAAAAATTATCTTAGGAGTATCGCTTGAGCAACTTGGGTGTAACGAATAGGGGGAAAAGTCTGGTAGGATTTCGGATTCGATTTTCGGACTAAAAACATATCCCAAATTGATGGGCATCTAACTTTGAGTGGATCATATGTTTGGGATTCACCCCTTCTGTTTATACACCTCCAAAGGCCTTCGGCCTTCTATCCAAGTTTTTAAAAATAGAACAAAAATTTTTAAATTTAAATCGGTCCTCATTATTCTGTACACCCTTGGGACTAAAAAATTATCTTAAGGGTATAGCTTAAGCAAGTGAGGTGTAATGGGTAGGGGGAAAAGTCTGGTAGAATTTCGGATTGGATTTTCGAACTAAAAACGTATCCCTAGTGAATGGGCATCTAACTTTGAGTGTATCCTATAATCAGGATTCACCTTCTTCTGCTTATACACCTCCAAAGGCCTTCTACCCTAGTTTTTAAAAATTGAGCAAAAACTTTTCTAATTAGTATATTTGTTAAAATAATATTTTAAATTTAGCCTAACACCCAACAACAATCATCACATCATTCTGTTAGTATAATTCCAAAAAATACAAATATCCAAAGGCCTTCGACATCTAATAATAATAATATTATTCATCATCCTTCTACTACAACAATATCTTCAAATCACCAATATAATAATGATCACCATCACCAACACCACCAACAACAACATTCTTCTTCAAATATTTCAACCGTATCGGTCATCCCTTCATTAATTTCACAACAACAAACATGCAATTCCCAGCAGGGATGGAGTCCTTATTTGGTCCCACTTCCCGGCGGTTCACACATTTCTTCAACCCCGGATAGTGGGATTCAATCACTTGATTCACCCCCTTCTGTTTACACACCTCCAATGGTTTCTCCATACTCTTCACAGGTACAGAGGGTTTTTTGTGTTTTGAATTTGAACGATTTTTAGGTCCGCTCTTGTGAATCAATTAGTGCTTCGCTTGGAGGGCATGGAATTAATTTAGGTAAAAATTGGAGTAGATTATACAGTCAGACCTTCACTATAAGATACACCCAAGACTGGATACACCTCTATTTAATGGACGTTTTTTAAAATTTGGTTGACCATCGTGGGTCGCTGTCTAGACGTTACCCTTGATCTAAACGTTACCTTCCATCATAAAACATCTCTCACTTCAAAAGTCATCTTATTTTTTTGGTAACTCCCTTCTGGTTTAACACTCGTTTGGGGAACTTAAGTAAATTTTTCCCCTTAAAAATAAGTGACCTTTCAATTTAACTCCCTCTTGTTTAAGATATATCTTAATTATAAGATAAAATTTCTAAGTCACCGAGGTCTGATTGTATTGAGTCAAACAGTTTATATTTATTCATTTTTAACAAATAATTTCAGCATTTCCAATTGCACTTACTCAAAATAATTGTTTAGAAACATTTTTACAAATAAATAATACTGCTGCTTTACCTCCTCAATTAATTGGACAACAACAACAAAATATATCAGATGAACATAATTTAAATAAACAAAATGAGGTAGTTAAAAAAATAAAAATCTCTAAAAATAAGCAAGAGCAAGCTTATAATAGCAAGAACAGTCTAGTCAATCGCATAGTCATAACTAAGAGTAAAAATGAGATAGAAAGTCGATTTTGGTACCTTCCGAAGCAGCTCGATGAGATGCGTCGAACTATGCTAAAATTAACTTGATTAGACGTTTATAGACTTAGTTTTGGTTTCTGAATTAGACCGGGTTGTTGTGGTTGTAGATAGCAGAGATCGGTATTTTCAAAAAGTCTGGATCTGGTTCTAGATTTAGGTTAGTTACTTGGACAAGATTCTTGGTCCGGATCCAGGAAAAATCAAGACTGTATCCAGATCCTGGCCGATCTCTAGTAGATAGGAGAGCGTTTTTAATGTTGATGCGACTTTTGCGGCCCAGACATTTGCGGTCCCGACACGCGGCTATAAAATTTGAAATTCTCTTTCATTTTTGCCTCAGAAAAATTTTAAAATATTTTTTTTCTCAGGAGGAAAAGGAGCTTAACGAGTCTTCTACTTCCTCTGATTTTTCTGATATGCCAAAATTAATCCCAATAACAAATTCACAACATGATGACTCTTTAGATGGAGAAGAGAATAATAATAATGTTGCTGAAGTAAAATCCAAAGATTTTGAGGAAGAAAAACCTCAACAAAAACCTTCAACATCCACTAATAAATCAACAACAAAAGAATTACTAATACATCAAGGAATGACTTTACAAGAATTGGCTGAATGTATTTCTTCTAGTATTCCACCAGAACAGGTAAAGGAACAAAAACAAAAATAGAGGAGGAATTAGAGCTGGGTTTAATGCGAAATTTTTTCTTTAAATTGTCAAAAATGAGAAGAAAAAATATCAAAGCGGAAATTTCATTTGAGCTTTAGTTCGGACCTGTGATGAGCTATACCTCTGACATATTAGAAAAAATAGACAGGTCTTCCTGATTTTTTTTTGGATTTTTTCTGAAGCTAGACTTGCGTCCATTTAAAATTAAAAAGTACTGAATTAGTGCCTTAAAGGTTTGAAATGCCCAAATTCTTGCCAAAAAATGGCTTTTTATTAGCTTAAATTTTTTTAAATATGTATTTTGGGCTTAATAATTTGTAAAAATTGTATTTCTCTTGTAAAGGAGATTGTATTTATAAAAATATTTTTTTCGTTTTCCCCTATTCTCTTAGCAACAGAATATTTTTTAGACAATTTTTCTAAATGTTACATAAGCCCGTTCACTTTTTTTGTTGGTATTGACAACTAATATTTTACTAAATTGAAAAGAGAGCATTAAAAAGAAATATTAAAACAAATAAAATATATTAACCAAACTTAGTTTTTCTATTTATTTTCGACATTTGCGTACCGACGTTTGCGAACAAGATTAAAACCCCTGTTGGAACTTGGAACTAACGGACATATATTGAAATTGGAACTAGATTATGTTCAGTACTATAAAATATACCTACAGTACTATTTCGGTGTTCATCTTAGTTCCATGACACACAAAAGCTAAGTCGATGTCCACAAATGTCGGTGTTCGCAAATGTCGCTAAACATAAGACAAAATGTTTTCATTGTCTTATTTTTGTTTTCCAGTTAAAACAATTAACTTCTTTGATACAATCAAAAGCATTGGGTGCTAAAGAAATACATATAGTAGAACAAGAAAAGGAAATTGAAAAAGTGGCAACAAAAGAAAAAGAAGAAATGATTGTTGAATGTTTACAGCTTTCAACAATTAAAAATAATAAAGAATTGAAAAGTAAAGAAGTTAAAAAACAAAAATTAAATTTAACAAAAAAGAAAAAATTGAGGAGAGAGGAGGAGGAATCCAATAAAAGTCTATCTAAAAAGTGAGTAAAAAAGCAGAAAATGTTTAGGAACTTAAGGATTGAAGGCGATGTGCGATCGAGAAAGATATCTCGCATAATCTCGGTCTCATGGCTAAGATTCTATGAACGAGATCTCGCCTCTTTTCTATCTCTAATTAGAACCATTTAGCTAAATATAAGTACAAGAAGGGTTTTCGCATTTTTCTGAATATTAAAGTTCATACTTATAGGGTTAATCCTCGGTTCGGTTCCGAACCGACAACTTTAGTTATAATTAATTTTTTGTTATTTTTTTGAGAAAATTTTTTTATGAATATTGCTGGACAGAGTTGCCGCGGGTACAAAAAATCTTCAGGTACGGGCTTCGGGTTTCGGGCTGCAACCCTGTTGCTTGGAATTATTCCCTTAATTTTTAAAAGAATTTTATAATTTAAATAAATTAATTCTAAAAATAGATTTAATAATGAATCGCCTTCTTCCTCTACTTGTTCTACATTACAACAACAACAAAAGAAGCCTTTAAATAATTTGCCTAATAACCACCAAAATTTATCAACACAACAACCACCTTCATGTTCAACATCCTCAAATTATCGTTCCCAAGTTCGTCTTCAATTAAAACAAAAATTGGATAAATTTATTGAAAGAGTTTGTAATCAACTAGAAAATACACATTTAAATATTCGAGAGGAAGAGGAAGAAAAATATTTTTTAAATCAAAAACATCCTTTACAAAAATTAAATTGGAAATTAATTAATGAAAGATTAAATGAAAAAAAGGAGAAGAAAAAGAGAAGAGTGTCAACAGAGGAGAACGATTTTTTATTAATTAATTTGTTTTTAAATAATAAATTGTTAATTAAAAATGAAAGGAATAGAAAAAGGAGAAGAAAAAATGAAGAAGATGAAGGAGATGAAAGAAATTTTAATATAATTAAGCAACATCGTATTTAAAAATTATATTAAAAAAACAGTCAAATCTCGCTATAAGATGCCCACACCTCTATTTTGTGGAAAAATCGTCTCTTATAATGAAGGGTATACCCTTAAATAGAGGGTATTTTTGAGGAAGCTTCCCCTACTTAATGGGTGACCAACTTTTAAAGAGCGTATGTTAAATAGAGTTTATCTAGTATTGGATGTCTCTTATAATGAGGGGTATATTAAACGGAGGGTATCTCTGAGAAAGCTTCCCCTACCTAATGGGTGACCAACTTTTAAAGAGCGTATGTTAAATAGAGTTTATCTAGTATTGGATGTCTCTTATAATGAGGGGTATATTAAACGGAGGGTATCTCTGAGAAAGCTTCCCCTACCTAATGGGTGACCAACTTTTAAAGAGCGTATGTTAAATAGAGTTTATCTAGTATTGGATGTCTCTTATAATGAGGGGTATATTAAACGGAGGGTATCTCTGAGAAAGCTTCCCCTACCTAATGGGTGACCAACTTTTAAAGAGCGTATGTTAAATAGAGTTTATCTAGTATTGGATGTCTCTTATAATGAGGGGTATATTAAACGGAGGGTATCTCTGAGAAAGCTTCCCCTACCTAATGGGTGACCAACTTTTAAAGAGCGTATGTTAAATAGAGTTTATCTAGTATTGGATGTCTCTTATAATGAGGGGTATATTAAACGGAGGGTATCTCTGAGAAAGCTTCCCCTACCTAATGGGTGACCAACTTTTAAAGAGCGCATGATAAATAGAGTTGTATCGAGAATTGGATGTCTCTTATAATGAGGGGTATATCAAATAGAGGGTGTCTCTGAGGAAGCTTCCCCTACTTAATGGGTGACCAAATTTTAAAGAGCGTATGTTAAATAGAGTTGTATCTAGCATTAGAGGTCTCCTATAATGAGGGGTATCTTAAATAGAGGATGCCGTTTAGAGACCCTGTCGTACGGCTTTTTCTACTCAGGCTTTCCTTCTCTTTTTTTAAAACGTGTCCTTTAAATAGAGTTATATAGTATTGGAGGTCTTATAATGTGTATATTAAATAGAGGGTATCCGCTTTGACGCCCCCTCGTTTTGCTTTCTCTTCCCAGGAACTGGAACTTCCGGCGAAGCTCTACTACCCTCCTCTTTTTTTAAAAATCGTGTCCTAAATAGAGGTTTAGTAGTATTTAGGGTATCTTATAATGAGGTTAGACTGTACTATTATTATTATGATCCTCATTTGCCACCCAGAAAATTAAGGATTTTAATTAAAAATCTAATTGCTGTACCCTTAACCTCTTTATTATTTTTTATTTTATTTTTATACATATTTTTACTTAAATTTTAATATATTTACATATACTTTAATAAAAACAAATAAATTTGATTTTGAAGGAAAACAACGTGTTTTTTATAGGGTCGTAATTTGGAAAATAAGCAATCTTTCGATTTGCAAAAGATAAAAAAATTAGCTAGTCTTAAGGGGTTTTTGGTCAACCACAAATTGTATTTATCATTTACATGTGGAGGGCGAGAGTTAAGGATTTATCTACTTGGTAGTATTCCGTATGTCAATGTCTTGCTGCCTTGGGACTTACAAACAGAGCCAACTAAACCGGTCAAGTTTTTTTAGAAAATCATATATGGTGAAAAAATATATGGGGAAAATTGGGGATAAAAAAGGGGGGTCTGTACGCTTCAATATTACCATAAAAAGTGATTCTTTACCAATTTAGTACTTTTAAAGAAAGAAAGAAAAGATCAAAAAATAATAATTTTGCAAATATTATTTTTAGCAAAAAATTTTGCTTAATATACAAAAATTAATTAATTTATTTATGTATGTAAATAAAGTTGCAAACCGATAATTTAGGCCAATTATTTTGCTTCGGCTTTGAATTTTTGGACTGGGGGGTTTACGCGTGACCCCCTTTAAAATCTTGTTGGCACAGAATCTCTATATAACGTCACCCCTCTCAAACTTAGCGACATCAGAGAGGCGAGTGACAGGTGTGTGCCTTTTGGCAGAATTTCGCCATTTTTGGACTTTTGCCTTTCAAGTTTCCCTTTTTTAAATTGACTCTCATCTTCTCAAATTTCGGCTTTTAAAATCAGTTTCGGCACATTCCTGGATTTAGGTACCTTCAATCGCCTCAAGCAATTAATTAAAAATGAAACAGTACTTAGGCAATTAGCGAGATACGGTAAATTTTCCTTTTTTGTCATTCTTTTGCTGGGGAAAACAGAAACAAAAATAAGTGTATTTCTGGTTATTTTACTCTTTATTTGCCAACATCCTCATAAAAAGACTTCCCTCCTTTCCAATTTACCACCAAGTCTCTGACAGTTAATTGTGACGAAACACAAATAAAACAAGTTTGTGGCAAAGTGTCCAATTGGCAAAATGTCGGGAATCAAATTTTGATGTATACTGTCGTTTTTTGAAAATTTTTTTTGTTTTTTTCCAACTTTAAAAAATTTTTTTAAGTTACTAATTTAAATTAAACAAAAATGGGTACAAGAGAAAGACGTTCAGGATTATTTGGACATGCAAAATATTCAGACACAATTATTCGAAATATTCCAGAATCTGTTCGGAAAGCTGTGTGTTTTCTTCAAAATTGAGAAAAAAATTTTTCTTTTTAAGGTAAGGGAAGTTATTGCTGCAATTGTTGATCCTTTATTGGCAAATACTAGAGCAATTTCTGGACGAAAACGTTCTCACCGCGATTTGACTAATCTGGAGCAGATGCAGTCTCATCAAAATGAAGTTGGTTTAACCCAAAAGATCACCCCTAAAGAGGAAGAAAAGGGTAGGGGAAAATGAGAGAGACATTGACTTTGGTAGAGCTGCCTAGTCCTCTATTAAATATACGTCTGTTTAAGTCTTGGGTTGGTCATTGGGGAGGGGAAGAAAGGAGAAGCTGCCTAAGTGCTGCCCTCTATTTAAGATACACCCCACTTTTTCTACCCCAAGGGTGTATCTATAATAAAATCTGACTTAGAATTTTATTTTATTTTTTCAAGTGTATTGAACGTCTCGTTTTGGAAGTCAAGCCATCTAGTCGTTTACCCACATCTTCTTGGAAAGCTCTAATTCAAGCGCGTTTATATGTTGCAGAATATGGTGGTCCTTTTCGTTTGGTGATGGGGGAAGTGTTTGAATTGTCAACCAATAGTTCTGACCCTCCTTTGGAATTGAGAATTGATCAAAAAATATTTGCGATTAAATTGGAGATGCGTTACATAAATGAAGTAAGGAATTTAAAATAATTTTCTCTTACAAATTTTTTTATTTTTTGAAGTGTTATCGTGAAATGCCTTTGTTCAAAGATGGAGATTTGGAAGTTTTTGCTACTAAATATGATCCTGAACCTTTTGCTTGGATTCATCGTGCTTTGTTGGTATTGTATACGCAAAAATAGGGTATTTTTAAAATTTTTCCGACCTGGAGAATGGGGGCTAGGAATTTTTATGAGAGAATGAGTAAATCTAAATTCTATTATTCAGACTGGAAAAGATGTCTGTTTCAGAACAGAAACACCAGCACTGACTCTTCTCTCACATTGACGTCTTCGATGCTTCAAACAGGATCAATTGCTAATAATATTGAAGGATATATGTTTCTAATTATGGTATATAAAATTTCTATATAAAAATATTCCCTTCCTTCCTTATTTTACAACAAAAAAGGAGACACAAAATCCGGCTTTAATCCCAAAAAAGTAACAACACAAACAAATTTTGATTTTTTTCCAAAACCAATTTCCTCCAACAATCAAAGTATTTATTCCCTCGAATTATTTCTTTCCTACTAAAAATATTATTGAATTAGCATTTAATACGTTTAAAGAAAAAATTATGGATATTAGAAAAATGATGGAAAATTCCTTTTTAGACTAAAAACAAAGAAATAATCTAAAGTAAATTTACAATTTAAATTTTTCAACATTGGAAGGACAATTTCTTCAAATACAAGCAATTCTATCAGTGGACGTACCAGCAAAATAAAACCTTTAAAGGTAACTTCAATTCTTTTCTCTTCATTTGGCTGTAAAATTCCAACACCAGGTTTGGTTGCAATCCTTCTTACAGTTCGTTTAAAGTAAAAAGCAATTGTTCGCCTAGATTTGTTAACAATCTTAATTTCAAAAAATAATTATTTAAAATTATTGAGGGATTTAAGGGAAACATAAGTAACTTTCCAGGCGTTGATCTTCCTGCATTAATAATTTGACGAATAATTGCTTGATCTGTTGAAGAAGAAGAGCGAGCAGGTGAAGGAGTAAATGAACGTGAAGCTAATTAAATTTAGAATTTAATCTAATTTAAAAATTTTCGTGTGATCAGACGAGAAAAATGGCTTCTCGTTCATTTACTCCTTCGCCTGCTCGCTCTTTTTCTTCAATAGATCAAGCAATTATTCGACAAATTATTAATGCAGGAAGATTAACGCCTGGAAAGTTACTTATGTTTCCCTCAAATCTCTCAATAATTTTAAATAATTATTTTTTGAAATTAAGATTGTTAACATATCTAGGCGACCAATTGCTTTTTACTTTAAACAAACTGTAAGAAGGATTGCAACCAAACCTGGTGTTGGAATTTTACAGCCAAATGAAGAGAAAAGAATTGAAGTTACCTTTAAAGGTTTTATTTTGCTGATACGTCCACTGATAGAATTGCTTGTATTTGGAGAAATTGTCCTTCCAATATTCAGAAATTTAAATTGTAAATTTACTTTAAATTATTTCTTTGTTTTTAGTCCAAAAAGGAATTTTCCATCATTTTTTTAATATCCGTTATTTTTTCTTAAACGTATTAAATGCTAATTCAATAATAAAAGTTTTTTAGTAGGAAAGAAATAATTCGAGGGAATAAATACTTTGATTGTTGGAGGAAATTGGTTTTGGAAAAAAGTCTAAATTTGTTTGTGTTGTTACTTTTTTGAGATTAAAGCCGGATTTTGTGTCGCCTTTGTTGTAAATTAAGGAGGGAACATGTTGTATTTTCTTTTATTTAATTAATAAATATATTTTTCTTAAATTTTATATTAATCTCATTTGTACGATACCCCGAGCAGAAAAATGTTTTTAAAAATTGAGAAAAAAAACCTAAGGTTGTGAAAGTGTGTGGATGCCTATTTCGCCTATTCTGTCCATTTATCTAGTAATAGTTCGCCTTTAGTCTCTCTTTTTTAGATCCGTTCGGCATAGTGCTTTTAGATTTTAAGTAAAACTATTTTTAAAAACAGCCTTAATTTATTATAAAATTATAAAATCCATTAATGTACTCCCACCTAATAAGATTTATGAACTACAAAGGCATAAAGTGCCACTAGTACTATACCTCTCGAGCAGAAAGAGGGGTGTCCTCCGTTGGGAGCAGGCCAATCTACCGCGAGCCCAACCTACCGCCGAGCTATAACTTCGTTCAGAATTGTCGAATCCGGGACGCCCTTGTATGGTTCGATTCAGTTCATCGAGGCGCATCGAACCATACTAGAGTGTCCCGGATTCGACAATTCTGAACGAAGTTATAGCTCGGCGGTAGGTTGAGCTCGCGGTAGGTTGGGGTGTACCCCCTCCGTTTTACTTTTTTCCATTAATTTAATCTTTAATTCAATATTTTTTCTGTTATTAAAAAGAAAAATCACTTAAAAACCATGAACATCTTGTTAGTTATTCACTAAGGCAAGTGGATTTTTCAAAATTTCAGATTACTACTAAAAAAATTTTTTTAATTTTTGCTTTAAAGTATATTTAAAAAAATGGATATTTTCATTTGTAAAATTTTATTTCAAAAATAAAAAATATTTTTAAAAAATTAATTAAAAACATATTTTCATTTTTTTGTCTGTTTTATTATTTCCATATTTTTCTAAAAAAAATTTTTTTTTAATTTTTTAACGTTTAAAAAAATAAAGAAATTCTTTTTAAATCCTCAATATTTTTAAATTATCAATTTATATATTTATTTTAAGTTTTAATATTAAACTTTTAAGGAAGCAAAAATAAAATGTAATAAGTTGTCAATTAAAGGTGTCAAAAATTAGGAGGAAGTGTCATCTAATTTTGACAAGGTCCGTTTGTTTAAAAAATTTTTTTCTTTGATTTTGTTGAAATTAAATGACACTTTTTCGACAGTTTAAATTGACAATTTATTGAATAATCTTATTTAAAAAACCCCAATATGAGATACTCTCAATAATAGATAAACCTCTATCTAACAAATAAGAGACATTTTTTAACTAAATTGAGTGGGGTGGGTGGGGGAAACCTTCCGTCCGATACTCCCAATTTAGTATAAGGGATGACTTTTTCGGCTCTAAGGGTAAAGATAAAATAATTTATGAAGTATCTTTAAGCTTTTATTTTTTTAAGTAAAAATATATGTCATATTTTTAATTAAATATTTTTTGATGTTTTAATGCTTTTTATTAGATAATTGCCGAATTAGGTTAATTAACAAAACCAGCATGGTTTTTTTCAACAATATTTTGTTCACTAAATATTTACACACCACTCCAACCGAAAAACCAACCTAGTTAAAAAACCTACACTGAAATTAATTATATGTATTAATGGGAGTATATACCTTTTGGCCTTTTAAAATCCTGGAGTATACCATATTTTCTGTATTATAGTCCCGTCTCTATTAAACGAAGATTTAATTACGGCCTATTTTAATATACCTAGTCCCCTATGTGGAATAGTTGAAAAAATAGAGCCGCACTCCCTCGATCAATTACTCCCTCCAGCGGAAGGTCGAAACAATAATTACCCAGGATATTTATTAAAAGATATACGGTATACAACCTTTTTACATCATTTTATAATAAATATGTATTTATTATTATTGCCAAATTTTCGCGCTTTTCCTTCCTTTCCTTTCCTTTTTATTTTTAAAGAGCCTTTAGTGTTGTCCAGACATTGATTTGTATAAATAAATACAAGAAAAGCTAAAAAAGATAATTTGTTTTTACAAAAGAAAAAGTCTCTTTTTTAATGTTTATCCTTTCTTGAGAGAGAAGGAACAAAGAAGAAAGAGATCAACTAAAAGCTATGTAGATTTGGTAGTTGATTTGTAATTTTTGAGTGGATATTTCTCTTTACATAAAAAAATATTTTCTTCTTCTTTTTTCTTTGTTTTACATGCAACAATTAATTTATTTTTTAAATAAAATTCAAAAAAATATAAAAAAATATTTTTTAGATTAATTTAGAAAATGCCTTGTCTGGGCAAGAATAATAATAAAAACAAAAATAAAAATTATTATAATCGTTGTTGCCGCAAACGTAGTTTTGAAACTGAATCTTTTTCTTCATCGGCAGATTGCGTAAATAATATTAATGAATGTGACTTTGAAAAGGTAAGTAAAAAAATTTAAAGGAAATATTCTTGAAAAATAAAAAAAATATTCTTAAAAAATATCTCACTATTAGAGATCCCCTTTGAGATTAAAAAATCATTGCATATAATGAGGTGTATCCCTAAATTGAGGGTATCACTTGGGAATCTCCTCACATCCATAGGTGGGTCGGAATTCCGATTTCCAACTTCCGATTTCCGACGTTTTTTTTCCTTCCGATTTCCGATTTCCGAAAAAAATTTTTATTTCCGATTTCCGACTTTTGAGCCAGTTCCAATTTCCGGCTCTTCCGATTTCCGACACCTCTGACTGTTCTGACCCACCTCTGCTCCCATCCTATAGCCCAACAAAATTGAAAAAGCGCCTTTCAAATAGAGAGTGTATAATATGTCTCATATTTTATAATTTTATTTTATTGTAAAAAGGCCTCGTTATCAATTAGTATTATTCATCTTTATTAAAATTTTATAAATTTTTTTTGATAATTTAATTTTTCAAATCATCACTTTTCTTCTCTTTAATACCTTCAAATCAAAATTGAAAAGATCAAAAATTAAATAAAAATATATTTTAAATTGGTCATTTGGTCATTTTAAAAATCTTTAAAATTTCCCTCAAATACCTTTCAAAAAATTTTTTTTATTTATTTTTATATTGACTGATTTGTTAAACAACTGACAGAAATTACTTTAATTTAATGACCCCTTTTCTTTTACTGGCCAAAACTTTTATTTTTAGTGAAAAAAGGTCGTCCATCACTTTAACTAGCAAAGAAATTTTTTCTTAATTTTATTATTATAATTAATTTAAAAATTTTTTTTGTTTTCTGACATCTAAAAGAAAGGGGGAAGGTATTAGGGGAAAAGGCATTGGAGTGGCAGGCTGCTAAAAATCTTTTCCACAAACATACTTTTACTACACCAATTTTATTTTCATTGATCAACTAATTTGAACATTCTTGGCCCTAATTTTGATCTCCTGGACTTTCTTCGATTTTTAAGAAGCAAGCATCTGGTTAGTCACTGGGTGGGGAGCTGCCTTAGAGGATACCCTCTATTTAAGATACAAAAATATTATAATATACAAAAATACCCTCTATTTAAGATACAAAAATATTATAAGATACACCTCTATTTAAGGAACATTTCATTATAAGAGACAATTTTTTAACCTCAAGAGAGGTGTCTTATAGGGAGGGTTTACTGCTCAAAATTTTAACCCAAAAAAGATAACGGACTGTTCCAAAGCATTATAGGTCCAGAAACTAGGAAATATTAAAGACCCCTCAAAATAACCTTTAAAATTGACGAATTTTAATTTAAAAAATTCTGCTAGTTGAATGAAAAAAAATGTTTATTTTTAAGCACACCTTTTCATGTTCATTTACCTTCTTTTAATTAACTACTTTTCTTAAAAGCTTTTAGAGACGTCCTTGACTTAACTTTTTGTGGGGTTAACCACGACCTTACACAAACACACACACGTTCCCCCACAAAATTAATGATTTTAAATAAATATATTTATCAATAATTTTTGCTTAAAATATACTAAATATAGTCTGGCCTCCTTGTAAGATATCGCCATTATTAGATACACCTCTATGTAGGATAAGCTTTTCTAAAATTTGGTTGGCCACTGGGTGGGGTGCTGCCTAAGGCTTCTTTGACATCGAGGGGCATCTTATAAATTAGGTTTTGACATGTCGTGTACATATGCTCAAATAATTGCCCCTCTCGATTAAATAGCAATAAGTTGAAAAAATAATTATCCTCACACTAGTGCCATACGGCATTTTAAATTTCAGAATTCGAATTTAGCATGAGGGTGAAGCAATAATAAACCGTATTTGCTAAAATAGTTGCCCAGGGTAATTATTTTTCAACCTTTCGTTGGAGGGGGTAATTAATAGGAAAGGGGTAATTATTTGAGAGAGGGACATTATGTCAGCATTTGCGTTAACCAGGATAATTATTTGAGCACATACGGTATATACCTAGTCTAATACTCTTACTTAAGTAACACCTCCTTATTTAAGCTACACCTCGTTATAGGAGACTATTTTTCCATTCTCAAGGGAGTGTCTTATAGTGAGGTCCGACATACTATCTATTTTAAAAAAATACATATTATCCAAATCCCTCACTTTTAATTTTCACATGTACTCTTTTTCCCTTATAAATTGCGCAGTAAAAATATTTCTATAAATAAAGGATTTAAAAAATTTTTTTTCGATTGAAATAAATGAGATGTGACCAACAGTCCTTCCCCCTCTTTTAATAAATAAAAATATTTCTAAAAAAATTTTTTCAATCGATCAACCCAAATAACCCAAAAATATGTTTAGCCCTTTCTGCTTATTTCTGCTTATTTTTTCTCTTTTTTTTTTAATTTTTACCGCATCAATGACCGAATTCTTTAATATTTTCTCTTTTGTTTTTCTTGACCATTTAAAAGAAAAAAATATTTTTTGGAAGGAAAAAAGGGGGTTAGAAAAAAGTAATATTTTTTGGCGCTTTCCCAAGTGACCAATATTTTTGTAAAAAATATAAGGGAAGAATAATAAAAAATGAAAAAGATTGGAGAAAATAAAGGAGAAAATTGGTAAAAATAGGCAACATTAATATGTATCACAGAAACGGAAATCACAAACAGAAATCACCAATAGATTAGCGAAAACAAAAAAAAAACTCACACCCTTGGAGTCGAAAAAATTATACATATAAGGGAGGTGTGACCAGGAATCTTCATCCCTGGTGTAATTAATACTGGGGGTAGCTCTCCTCCTAAGGCCAATTAGGTTAAAGATGTACATTAAGTCAAGATGGGCTGGGTAGAGAAAAAAGCCTAGTAGGATTTTGCATCAAAAATTGCCCGGGTTTGAACTTCGGTATCGGATACATTATTTCAATTTGATTCAACTGACATGACTTAAATTTTGATTTTAAGCAAAGCTCCTAATATTGCCATTCATTTTTTGTTGTAAATTTTAAAAAATAAATTTATTAAAGAAAACTAAACAATTAAATAAACAATTAAAAACAAAACAAAAAAATAAAATGAACGAGAATAACAACAAAAATAGTGCAAGCAGTAGCGGAAGTGAAATAAATATATTAAATAATAATTTAACAACAAATATTCAACATTCTTTAAGTGGAAGTGCTTTAGAATTTAATAAAAATAATTTATTTGGAGATGGATTACAATTTGTTAAAATTACAGAAAGAATTTTTGGTTCTTGTTTTTTGATTTATTTTTAGCACTATTGTAGACTGAGGGCTTTAACGGGCTTTAACTTTTACCAGAAATAAAAAAAGTCCGAAAAAAGCCGCAAAAGAGAGTCCGCAAAAAATAGTTGCAAAAAATGTCCGCAAAAAATGTCCGCAAAAACAAAGTCCGCTGAAGAAGGCCCGCAAGAATTTTCCGTAAGATTGCCCGCAAAAAAAAAGTCCACAAGAATTGACCCAAAAACTGACCGAAAGAAACTGTCAGCAAGCTAAGTCAATAAGTCTGCAAAAAATCATCCCAGTCTAAAGCAGACTTGGTAATGGACATGGATTTTAGTATCCATATCCGGATATTTACGGCGGATACAGACGGATATCCGCAGGCATTTGGACTTATCTGTATCCATATCCGTATCCATTACCCAGCCTGGTCTACAGTAGTGCCGACTTTAATAAATTATTTAATTCATTATATTTTTAAGCCATACTTTTTCATTCTGGTTCTGATGCTATTTATCGAAATAATATTAAAGCAATTTCTGAACGGTTGAAAAAGACATTTTTAGACAAATATAAAGTAAACTTTAATGGATTATTTTTTAAAAATAAATTAAAAGATTTTTAATCTCTCACAAAAACGTTCTGATCTTGGCCGTGCAAACCAACAAGGAAATGTTTTAGAATTTGGATGGCCTGAACCTTTAGCGCCTCCACTAGATAGGCTTTGTTCCATTTGTAAACAATTAGAAAATCATTTAAATTGTTCTAAAGAAAATGTAGCGGTTATACATTGTAAAGGAGGGATTTATAGAGGTGTTCTTTAATTAAATAAAATATTGGGAATATAAAAATTAAAAATTTGATAGGTAGGAGAGAATATTTTCTATTTAGTAGTAGGCGTTCCCTTAACGATAGTTATAGTCTGAAGGGAACATATCCCGTTAGTAGGTGTTCTCTTCGCACTAGAGTAGTGTGAGGGGAACATGCCTTGTTTGAATAAATATTCCACTTTTTTCGGAGTCGGATCCCGATTCAGAATTTGCAATTAAGCCGGACAGGAAGGAAATGCCGGATTTTGCTGGATTAATCAGGTCCGAAAAGAAATTCAGAAATTCTGAAAAAAGCCAGACTTAGGACCATTGCTCCAAAAAATAGCCGGGCTGAACCCGGCGCTGCGCACTTCACACTATCTTTTTTTAAGGAATTCTGATTGAAAAAAAAATAAAAATTATTTTTAAAATTATTCTTATTTAGCTGGAATTGTAATTGCTGCATTTATGAATTATACAAATATTTGTGCTGGGTTATTTTATTTTTTTAATAAATTTAAAATATTTGTTATATTTTAGTGAAGAGAATTTACCTGACAGATTTTCTATGAAATTGTTTACGGAAAAATATATGGAAATAAATACACAGCCTTCACATAAAAGGTGTTTTTTGATGTTTTGTAGATTTAATAAAAACCTCCTTATAAAATACCCTCTTGGGGCTGAAAAAGAGTCTCTCATAATGAGATGTTGCTTAAATAGAGGGCATAGTAGCTTAATCAGCTCCCCCACTCAGGGGCCTCCAATTTATCAAAACGTCTCTTAAATAGAGGTGTCTCTAATATAGGGGGTACACTATGGACCCTATAATGAGGTGTGGTTAAATAGAGGGTATCATTTGGGGTATCGTCCTTGTAGGGGGTATCGTCCTCCACCCAGTAAACAACCAAGTTTTAAAAAACGTCCTTTACATAGAGGGGGTATCTAGTATTGGTTTACCTCATAAAGAGGTTTTTTATTGATTTATAAAAATTAATTAATTCAAAGATATGTAAATTATTTTATCAATCTTTTGACTGGAACAACAAAAGTGTATCCATCACCAATATTTTTATTACATATTTCTTTATCTAAACTATTCTCTGGACAAACAGTTAAACTAAAATTGTATGAAAGAATGAAGCCAATTTGGAGTTCTGGCAAAATGTAACTTAAAAGATTATTTTAATTTAGATTTGGGGGAATTTAGGGATGGGAGGGAGGGCATTTCTAAACTCTTTTTAGAGTTGCTTTATTGTTGACTAGAGACATGACTAGGAGTGTCGTAGAAGAATCGAGAGCGAGATCTCGGAAAAAAATTTTTTCGATCGAGATCTCGTCTCGGTTCGGTCTCTATTGATGACCACTCTCTTCAGATTAAAAGGGAGAGAAGAATTCCGAATTTTCTGAAATCAGTACGATACAAGAGACCTTCCAGAGTCTTCAGAGAATCTTCGGTTATTTAGTACCGATATCGGTACCAAAACTTTCAAATGTCTCTGGATTAGTGTTCGACACTTTTCGGACTCCCGATACCAAAAAAAGTTATTAGCCGATCTTGTACCTCCAATCTTCCAATAACCCCAACTGAATCCTCCAACTACATATATCTACCTAATCCTCCCTCTAATTTTTTTAATTTTAACAGAATATTAAAAGAATATACTTTAATTGAAATGCCCGGAAATAAGCAATCTTTACGTGGAGATGTTTTATTAAAATGTTATCAGTCAACAACAATAATTAATAATAACATAAATGAAAAACAATTATTATTTCAATGTCAATTTAATACTTGTGCTATAGGAATTGAATGTTTTAATATTCCAAAAATATTTTTTACAAAAATTGAATTGGATTGCTTAAATAATTGTAAAAATAATTACATTATATTATGTATTATAGTCCTGGAATTCCCCCAAACTGTCAGACCTCCTTATAAGATACCCCCAATATAAGAGACACACCTCTATTTAAAAGACGATTTTTTAAGTTTGGTTTGCCACTGGCGGGGAGGGTGTGACTAAGCGATGCCCTCTATTTAAGATACACTTCATTAGAAGGTACCTCCAATACTGGAGGTCTTATTTTTTTGGATACACCTCTATTCAGCAGATGTTTTAAAAATTGGCGGCCACTGAATGGGAGGAGGAAAAGTACAAGAGGATGTGACTATTATAGTCCTAGGAATTCCTCAAACTGTCGGACCTCGTTGTAAGATACTCCCAATATAAAATTCCTCAAACTGTCAAATTCTATAAATATTATATCCTCCATTTAGGATACACTTCATTATGTGTATATGCTAAATAGAGGGTATATCTCATTATAAGATACCCCCAATACTTGATACACCTCTATTTAAAAGACCTTTGGATTTTAATTATTTTATTTTTAGCTTCTTCAATAGACAACAAAGCTTGTTTAGAATTAGCTTTTGAATTGAGTCGTGAACCACGAAGAAGTAGCAGTACACCTAGACGGGGAAAGTCTTCATCCCCACGTTCATATCAACAATTAAGTGGTGGAGACTTTTCTAGAGCTGACAGTTATGAAAATTTTGAAAGGGCTGAAGGTATTTTAATTTATTTAATTTCTCCTTGTAAGGGAGAAAAGAGATCTGGTTTAAGATCTATTAAGGAATAGCTCAATCGATAAAAAAGTTCAGTACGACAAACAGGAGTTTGCGGGGTCAATGCCTGCTTGGGGCTAAACTTTTACCCCTCTCTTACCTAATCCCTTTTGGTGTATTATTGCCAGTAAGAGGCATTTAAAATCGTTTTATATTTTTAAATTTAAAGGATCAGAAGGAGTGGATTTCGCGACGGTTTAGGCACTTTAGCTAATATAAATTCTATTTTTAAGCTAATTAATCAATATTAAATATTTATTTTTTTTTTATTAAAAATTACCTTCCTTCCATTCCTTCTCTCGTAAATAAGCTCAGATGCAAGCATTTCCTTTTGTTTTTACAAAAAAATTATTTTTTTATATATATAATTCAATTTTACTTTTATTTATATCTTTTTAACATTCTTCTCCATGTCTAGAAAATAGAGCAAAACATAAAACAAAAACAAATGCTTTTTAAATATAAATTCTTTTGTTGGGGACAACTGTTTTGTTTTTCAAAACTTTTCTCCAATTTTTTGCTTTTATTAATCAAGAATAGGTATATCCCTATTTTTAAATTTATTTCTTTTTTAGCAAGGTTTTTTCTCCTATTTTTTAGATTTTTATGATTATATTTTTTAAGAAAAAAATATGGAATTTTTTAAGAGAATTTTCTTAAATTTTTAAAAAGTTCTATAGTCCGCAAAAATCGGTCCGCAAGTTTCGGCCTGTCTTTTAAATGAGTTCAAATTATTATATGATATATCTGGGGCTGAAAAAATCGTATTTTAATGTGAGATCTACCGTATAGCCTGTAGCCCTCCCTCAAATAATTACCCCTACTTTCATTAATTACCCCATCAAGCGATGGATTGAAACAATAATTACCCCCAAAACAAAGGCCCTAAAACGCGTTCAAATTTCAAACCTCGTAGAATTACCCTCCCTCGATTAATTACCCCCTCCAAGGGAAGGTCGAAACAATAATTACCTAGGGTAGTAATTAAAGGATATACGGTATCTTAAAGAGGGTCTCCCCCTATCTCTCACCCACTTAGCTCTACAAGTAATTTTAAGGGCAATATCTTAAAATGAGATTTTTAAATTTAGTATTGGGGGTATCTTATAATGAGATTAAACCTAAAAACGAGGTATCAAAAAAATGAAGTCATTATCTAAATTCGAAAAATATTTTTTTCACCTCTTCTGGCAATACTTTAATCATTTCTCCATTTTCTAAAATTTATTTTTAAAAATCGATCACTTTATGATAGCCAGCTTTTCATATGCAGAATCATTTTTGTGTGTTTTTTTCTTTTTTCTCTCTTTCAATTTTTTCACTTTCCAACAAAATCAGTTGAAAAACTTTTTTGGCCAAAAAGTGCCTTTTACTCTGATATTTTTATTGCAGATTTTTTACTACTTGCGGCTGCTTCTCTTTTTATTTTTTAGTGACTGGTACTTCTCTTTTTTTCTCGTCAATCAAAGAAATATTTTTCTAACGACAAAAAGCATTTTGGGGGTCACCCCATAAGATCACCTCCCTATAGCAGTGTTGATCTTTTCCCCTAGGTGGTGATCTTGTGGGTTAAGCCCCTTCCCTTTAATACTATTTTTGCCCTTTTCTCTCTTTCTCTATTTTTATGCTGGCTACCCTACAACTCATCCAATCCTTAACTCATCTAACACTTAACTCATCCACACGGCCAAAAACGCTCAACTCATCCAATCCTCAACTCATCTAATGCTTAACTCATCCACACGCCCAAAAACGCTCAACTCATCCAATCCTCAACTCATCCAATCCTTGAAATATCGGCCGGTTGAGTCCCTAGCCGGGTGAGTCCCTGGTCAGTTGAGTCTCAACCGGCCCAAGACTCAACCGGCGGTAATCAACCACTCAAACGGCCGGGACTCAACTGACCAGGGACTTAACCGGCTAGAGACTCAACTGGTCATGGACTCAAACGGCCAGGGACTCAACTGGTCATGGACTCAAACGGCCAGAGACTCAACTGGTCATGGACTCAGACGGCCAGGGACTCAACTGGTCATGGACTCAAACGGCCAGAGACTCAACTGGTCATGGACTCAAACGGCCAGAGACTCAACTGGTCATGGACTCAGACGGCCAGACTCAAACGGCCAGGGACTCAAACGACTGGTACTCAATAGTCTCGTTCCAAAGGATTGGATGAGTTGAGCGTTTTTGGCCGTGTAGATGAGTTAAGCATTAGATGAGTTGAGGATTGGATGAGTTGAGCGTTTTTGGGCGTATGGATGAGTTAAGCATTAGATGAGTTGAGGATTGGATGAGTTGAGCGTTTTTGGCCGTGTGGATGAGTTAAGGAATTTTAGCCGTTTAGATGAGTTGAGCGTTTTTGGGCGTGTGGATGAGTTAAGTATTAGATGAGTTGAGCGGGCACGTTTATGCTTCTCCTCTTTTGCTTGATCTAAAGCAACGTTTAAACAGAAAACCGCTGTTATTGAGACTTTTTCGATCCAGTCATTTGCTTTTATATATTGCCCCTTTAGCCTTTTTTTATATTTTTTTATCAATCCATTCATTTATTTTTGCATGCTTCTTCTCTTCTTATTTTTCTTCTTTTCACACCCGTTTAGTTTCATTGTCTCGTTATTCTTTATAAGCCCACCCTGAATTTTTTTTCTTGTTTTTTGAATGTTATTTTAGTTGATTTAAAGAGGATTGTTAATCTGATAATGTTTTTCAAAATACAGTCGGACCTCTTTATAAGATACCCCCAAAAGTAGGACTAGTTGAAGATACCTTCTGTTTAAGATACACCTCATTATAAGGTATACCCCCAATACTAGAAAACTTCTATCTAAGATACACTTCAAAATTTGATTGCCACGGGACGTGGGTAACTGTTTGGGCGATACCCTCTATTTAATATACATCTCATTATAAGAGACTATTTACTAGCCACAAGGGGGGTCTTATAATTAGGCCTGCCTGGATATATTTTACATAATTAAAATTTTCTATTTTTTAAGACGAACGTAGTCTATCATTACCCATCGGAATCTGCAACCAGAACCTTCTTAACGAAGATAATTACCAAAAATTAAATGATGAAATTAAATTATTAGTAGCAGATCAGCCAAATTTACAAGAAAATTCAATCGAAAAAAATTCAAAAAATAATTTAAATAAACAACAAACACAAGACGGGGCTGATTCTGGAATTGGTTCAGATTCTCCTAAAGTAGCAGTATCTCAATCAATTTTGTTAAACGGATTACAACAACAAATAGTTGAGGAAAATAATGAAAAAGAACAACAACAAAGTGATCAGGAATTTAATAAAGTGAGGGGAATTTTTCTGTTGAATTATCTACAAAATCTGGAGGAAAATTATAGACAGACCTAATTGGGCTAAGACACCTTTGGGGCTGAAAAATTGTCACTTATAATGAGGTTTCTGTTAAATAGAGGGTATTCCTTAGGGAACTTCTCTACCCATTGATCAACCAGATTTTGAAAAACGTCTATTAAATAGAGGGTATATCTAGTATTGGGGGTATCTCGCTTATATTAGAGGTATCTTTTTTATCGCTTATATTAGGTATCTTAAAGCAAGGTTATTTTTAATGAGTTGAATTATTTACAAAATCTAGAGGCAACTTATAGACAGACCTCATTGGGCTGAGACACGTGGGATTTTTGTGATTTTCGCTTATATTAGGGAGTATCGCTTATATAGCTCTTTCAATCCATTGACCATCCAAATTTTAAGCATTGTCTCTTGAATAGAGGTGTATCTAAAATTGAGGGTAGCTTAAAGAGAGGTCTGACTGTCTTTAAAATTTAAATATTTACTCAAGGTCCAATCTTCAATATATTTTTATTAGATAACCAATATGCCACCTCCAGTCCCACCAAAATCATCTTCTGTTTATAAACATTCCCCTCTAACTGTTAATGATGGAAAAGATGTAAATCAGGAATTAAATAATCAAAATCAACATTATTCCCCCAAAAAACATTCTGAAATTATGAATGGAGAGGGGGAAGAAGAAAATGACCCAATGAGAAGCGCTTTTGAGGATTCTACAATTGGGAGAGACCATTCTGTTCTTCCTCCGGGTGCACGTTCTTCAAGTAGAAGACGTTCTCCACATGCATCTATTGAAAAAGGTAGAATTGCAAATTTAAAAAAATTAAATAAGGGGAAAGCAGGCTAGATTATCGCGAACCCAACCATCGTTGAAAGTCCAACCCAGACCCAATCTAATGTGACACCATCCAACACCTATACTGGGTTTCCTAGTTTACCTTAGACTAGGAGACTAAACCTAGAAATGTCATAGCAGGTCTATTTTGATACCACCAGACTTGGCTCGACGAATTCGTCAAAAATATTGAACTTGCTAGATCCAGTTTTCATTGAGCTTGTTATAAGCTCAGTGATAGGGCTTATAAAGGGGAGGGGTATCCGATATTAAATCGATAGCTGTTTATTTGTGAGTCAAATTCTATCCAAGGATATAAAATTTTAAAAATGATTTTCTTTATTTTTCTGATGGTGGTGGAACTTCTGCCTCTTCTGGTGATGAAAGGCCAAGGAGACGAGTTATTATTTCTCCAATGGTTCAGCCACAATTAGTTGCTAGTGGAAGGTATTTAGACAAGGGATGATCCTCCTTAAATTTTTAATTTTTAGATATGACCCCAATTCACGTTGTTTTTCCTATGTTCCTGCCAAATCATTAAAAGAGCATTATAAAGCTCCAAAAAAGCCATCACTTAAAAGACGTACTTCAGTTATAGAACCTGCAGATTTAGAAGTTAGCCCTTTGGAAGCAAAGATGGCACTAGAGAATTTTGGACTACAAAGTTGTAGTTCTGAGACATATCGAAAAACAGAAACACCTAAATGGGAAGCAGAAATTGACAAATTAACCGGTGGGAAAATTGAACATCGCCCTAGAAGAGCGAGTACTGCTGGAACGCCTGTGAGTAGACAAATATACTTTTCAGATCTTACTATAGGGTACCTTCAAGAATACAATCAGATCTCACTATAGGATACCTCCATGAAACTGAAAGAGTGTATCTTATAATGAGGTGTATATTAAATAGAGGGATTGCTAAGAGAGCTCTCCCACCCTCTCACTATAAGACCCCCTTGTTGGACAAAGTGTATTTTATAATGATATTTTAATAGAGGGTATCGCTTGGAGAGCTCTCCCAATCTTACTATTAACCTTTCCTGGAAATCCTACATATTATGTGTATATTAAATAGTGGTGTAACTAGTATTTGGTGTACCTTATATTTAAGTTCGAATTGTATTTTACTTAAAAGGTTGGCCATATCCAGCATGATTTTGTACGTTCTCCTTCTGCTGCCCAACAAACCCGTTCTTCCAGAAATGACTGGAATTACCCCCAACAACAACCTCAAAAACAACCTCAACATTGGAATTGGCCAACACCAAAAACTTTAAATTATCAAAAACCAAACGGGGAAATATCAAATAAATGGCCAAACGAATCTTTAACAACACAAAGGTTATCTAGGGCACAAATGCCCCATAGAGATAGTTACAATACAATGACTACATCAATGCCCTCCTCTACAATACCCTTTACTGAACAACCTATAGTAAGAATTTTTTAGATAAAAAAATAATCCTTGCTAATGTAAGTCAGGTTGGGCATGATATACGAGTTAAAATTAAATCTATTAATTTTACAAAAAGGAAGGGGGGACAAGCTAGCTAGAAGAAAGCCATTAAGAGCCTTTATAAAGCCATCGTGACATTAACTAAATTTTCTTAGTTACACAAACTGTTCCGCGGTCCTGGCCCTAACGATACCAATTTCTTAACGTTTTCAGTTCCAGGAACCTCAACTGGAGTTCCCAAAAGCGAGAGAAAAATCTGTTCCTGGTTGAAAAGAATTTATTAACTGTTTACTATAATTTTAAATTAGTCTCCCCTCCTAAATAAAATTTTTCTAGGTCTTTGAACAAGCTAAAAGAGCAACCCCAACACTTTTACAACAACAACAGTCAACAGGTACACGTCGTCGTCCAATTCCCGGTGTTCGTCCATCTCCGCGTCGAAGTGAAATGGATGCTTTGTGTGACCCAGAATTCTATCTTTCATATTCTACACCAACAGCCTCACCTATTTTTAATAAAAAATATCCTTTGAAGGAAAAAAATATTGAGAGAAATCTCTCAAAATCTGTTCCCGATGGAAAAGAATTTAATCAAATGGCTAAAAAGTACAAATTTGATTTTTTGGATCTGGTCTAGTTTATGAGTCTTATGAAGGATGTTGAGTTTTATACGTAGTTTTGTTGCCGTGGAAATTCTTGGGACTCTATTTATAGGCTCCCTGGGTTGCCCAGGTTGACTAAGTATAAGGGGTTCTCTTTCGCTGAAATCGTATTGTTTGGTGTTTCAACTTTCGTCCTCTTTTTAAGATCAGATTGGCATCCCCTGGTACGTACCATATGATCGACAGGATTCAAAAAATTAATTATGATTAACCATTTGGTGAGATTATACTGTGATTGAAGATGATTTACCCACTATAAATGGCAGATCCTTTATTTCTGTTCTATCAGCACCATGGGAAAATCTGAAAAAAATAGAAAGGCTCCTTTAAAAATTTTTTCTGATTCATAAAACTAGGTAGAACTTTTCTAGGCCCATAACTAGATATATTCGTATTCATAAACTAGACCAGATTTATTTTATATTTTTTAAAGTGAATTACAAAGAGATGATGTTAAAGAATTACTTGCACAACATTTAATTGGCAACAATAATAAGGCTAATTTTAATTCATCCGTTCGTCGTTCACAAACACCACAAAATCCTTTAATTACTTCCAAAGAATTAGATAAACCTTTAAAAATGGATGATGATTATAGAGCTAGAAATTGTAGATCAGTTAATTCTACACCTTTGATTAGGTAAAGTAAATTATTGTTCTCCACCTAAGTAATCCTCTCATTTATATAGATTTTTTAAAAATTTTCTAGGGCACTCGGGACTTTTCCCAGCGATACTCTCAGTTATATAAACCAGGGATCCTGCCATAAAAAACCAAAATTTCCTATTTCGGGAAATTGAGAATTCCCGAAATCTTTCCGATTCCCAATTTCAGGAAATCAGAATCTCGGCCCAAAAATAACGTCGGGAATTTCCGATTTTCGGGAATCGGGACGGCTTGATCCCTGATATAAACCTCCACATATACCTATGCCTCTCAAATTAATATACGTTTCTTTAATTTTGTTCAGCCTTACTAACATTTGGTTGAGTATCCGTTCCCAAGGGATATAGTAGGTATATTGGAATATCCGTTATTTATTTTTATATATACATATGTATATCAGTTATTTAATATCCAATATCCGTTCCCAAAATTTTTAAAAATTTTTAAAAATAAAAAATTGCTATTAAGTGAGATGACCATAATTAAAAGTTTAATTTTTTAAAGAAATCGTCGGCTATTTTTATACAAAGACGTTGATGAACCTTCTACAGACCCTGAATGTGCTGAGGATTGGCTACATTCAAAATTACAAGCATTAAAAGGCCGTAGAGAGCCTATTGCTAGAAATAAAAAAGAAGCAGAAAAAATGCTTCTTGAAGTAAAATTTAAAATTAATTTGGAGTTCTAGTTCATTTTATGAGCCCCCTAAAGTTGTTTGGATTTTCTTTGATTTTCAAAGTTAGGTTTGAGTTCAGGAAGATTCTTTTGCTTGGGACAGATGGCCTGATGGACTAGGATCTTCCGTTTATTTTTATCAATTCTGAGCAGTTAGAAAAGCAAACTAACTAAACCAGACCTCTATAGTTCACGACCACAAAAAACCTTGGGCAGTTCAAACCGAATCAAGGAAAATCCTATGCACCGGAGATGGACCTTTTCGAATTTTAAAAATCGGAAGAAAGCGGAACAAAATAAAACCGGCAGAGAACTTTGAAGCGGCAGGGCAAGTCAGGAATGCAAGCAGCCCATCCCTGCTATACTCCAATATTATGGGACGCATAAACTGAAAAATAACATTAAAAATTTTTAATTTTTAAAAGGAATTAAAAAATAAAGCAACAAAATTAATATCAAAAGAACATGAAGGTGATCCTTTAGAAGAATATAAAAAAGAAGAACAAAGACTAAAAAATACAAAATCACCATTTAACACGGAAATTGACGGGCTTAGAAAAGCAAATAAATTTTTACAAAATGAGAGGGCTAAGCAAAATTTTTTTAAACAAAGTTTTCTTTTCGAAAAAAATTTTCAAAAATATTTTTTTAAAGATCCTTCTTTTATTTCTTCAACAATTTCAAAAAGTTTACCTTCCACAAACGAATTTTCTGCAACTCAGCGTTCATTAAGTGCTGCACCTGGAATTAATAATAATTTTAATTTTAATGGTCAAAGTCAACACTTTGGCAATTTAAATTCTGATTCTCCTATACCTCAGGCTAATGTTAAAAGAGGTATACTCTCTATTTAATATACCGTTGAATCTCATTATAAGATACACCTCTATTTAAGAGACGTTTTTAACTTTAATTAGGTACTTGGTGTGAGCCGCTAGAGCGATACCCTTTAAGCTTCACTTCATATTCAAGCTATACTTCATTATAACAGACGATTTATACCAGACCCCCAATAGTAGATGACGTTTCTTTAATTTGGGTGGCTACAGGACTCCTTATTTAAGATACCCTCTATTTAAGCTACGCCTCTATAAGGCACAATCTATCAGCCCTAAGGGGCGCATAGCGTATGTCCGCTGAACATTTATCGTTATACCCTCTATTTAATATACACCTCGTTATAAGAGACTACTTTTCAGACCTACGGGTGTATCTTATAATGAGATCTACTGTAATTTAAATATAAAATTTATTTTTCTTTAATTTTTAGGAGCAACACCAACAGGCCAAATACTTAGTTCAAAACCTCCAACACCTCCCCCAAACATAAGAGGAGATTATCGTGAACGTTCAAAAAGCCCGCACAATTCAAAATTAATTTTAAAAAATTCTTCAAAAAAATCTTTTGAAGAATTGGAACCTTCAACATCTTCTTTAAATAATTCTGCTGTAAATCCAAATTTATTAGCTTTGAGGCAATCACTTTATGCAAAAGAAAGGCAAAGAATGGGGTTACCTTTGAATGGAAATGTTAATGAATTAATTAATTATGAAAATAATAATGATGAGGATGAATTTGTATCTTCAATAGAGACTCAAAAGAAGAAGAAATGGGCACTTCCGGGTTTAGCAAAAAATACGGAAAGTGTAAGAGATTTTTTGAAGATAATAACAGTTAGAACCACATTAAAATATACACCTCCATGTGGCTGAAATATGAGTCTCTTATAATGAGATTTATCTTCAATAGAGGGTATCTCTCAAGTGGCACTCCCACCCGTAGCTAACCGAATTTTGAGAAACGTCTCTTAAATAGAGGTGTTCTAATATTGGTGGTATTTTATATAGAGGGTACCCTATAATGGGGTTATCTCAAATAGAGGTATCTCAATTGGCTTCCACCACCCAGTGGCCAAACAAATTTAAAAAATCTCTTAAATAGAGGTGTATCTAGTATTGGGGGTATTTTATTATGAGGTTTGACTGTACTCAGTTTTAAAAACAATTAAATATTTCCTTTTTAAAGAATTTCCAACAACAAAACAATTTAAATAATCAACAATTAACAAATGTAAAACCAATATTAAAAAGAGGTACTCAACAACAACAATTAAATAATGGAACTGAATCTCCCATTTTAAATAATAAAAAACAATTTAGTGAAGTTGGTTTTTCTTTTTTTTTGAAAAATTATTTTCTCCCTTTCTTTGTTCTGATAATTGTTTTTTATTGTGTAAGGAAGAAGGGAAGAGATCCAGCTGGTTATCATTTAATTATTAGGCGCAGGTTTATGATCTATCAAAAGCGAAGATAGACTACCGATTGAGAGTAGTTGTACGTGCTGAGCAAAGGGGCCTAGGAAGGGCGCAGAATCGATGCCTGACCAGTGAATTTTACGAAATTAGTATGATTAATAGAGGACGTATTTAAATCAGGGCTGATCAAAATTTTGATTTGCTGCGAACCGAAATTTAATGAAACGAAATAAAAAATTTTTACGTTATCCTTGATCCCTATTTTCTTTTGGTTTTTACCGTTATTTTTCTCAAAATGTTGCGAATTAATAGAAAATTATCAATTTTTATCAAACATAAAAAATATCATGGTTAAAAAAAATCGCGCACCTTAGCCGCACCTTATAAGTAGTACATATAATAATGGATTTCCTTCTTAGAAATATTTGAAGATTTTTTTCTTTCCATCTACTACCATTAATATCATCCACTATACTGCAGTAAATAAAATAAATAAAACATTCTAGTATTTATTTTCCATATATCACAACCATAATAAAACATTGGAGAATTATGACTAATCTTTTCTTCGATTATTCTCCCCTTTTATTTCCTTTCTAAAAATAAAAATAAATATTTATTTATTTAATCAATTTTTAGGATTTAACACCAAATTATCAACAAAAACAACATTTTAACGGCAATAATTGGTCATTAGAACGTAGTGATACTCCACAATTCCCTCTAGTTTCCGACAGAGAAACACCACTTCCTTATCACCCACTTTTATACAAAAGTGATGATTCTAGCCAAAAATTAATTTTTACAAAAAATATTAGTCAATCTACTATTCCTGCTAATAGGTAAATTTGGAAAAAATTTTTAAAAAAAAATTATTAATTTTAGAATAAGGTCCAGGAATAGGGGGAATAAGGCCCATTTTTGGAATAGGGGTCAGGAATAGGGGGAATAGAGTTTATTCTGGAATAGGGGTCAGTGTTGTGTCCGCATCTGCAGAAAGAATATAAATGAAAATTAACCCAGAATTGGGTTGGATGGTGGCACAGTCGGTTGTGCTTCGGTTTGGGCCCTTTCCGTGATAGTTCAATTCCATCTCCCATCCAACCAATTTTTCCACAGCATGAACAATCGGACATGACAGTCAGGGACCAAATCCTTGCAATCTAGGGACTTATTCCCTGGCAATTTATTCCCTAGAATCCACGTTTGAAAAAATTCTCTCCGACGAGTAAAAGGGACCAAGCAAGGGACTCAACCTATTTTAGAATAAAAAAATATTTTCATACAGGCGGATCTCGAATTCATACTATTAGACTCCCTAAAGGGTTGTCGGTTCTTGGAAAATCTTCGGATATCCTAAACCATGCCGAAGAACCGAAACGAAAAATCTTTAGCTCTCTGGTTCCTTTCTAAACAGCAGAACCTTACTCCCAAAATTATTTTTAAATTTTTTGCCCTAAATTCGAGGACCGATTTAGTACATATTTTAACATATTTCAATCATTTTTTTCCTTTTTTCGGCATTCCCAAAGGTGCCAGATGGATTTTTTACAACCAACATAAAAATAGTATTTTGTTGCCAAATATACATATTTTTTACTAAATCCTCTTTCCAAAAAATACGAGAAAAAATACACATTTTTTCAATATGGTCTAGCCTCGTTTTTAACTACAGATCGGACCGAGACAAGATCCCGATCAAAAATCTCGGTGATCGAAATCGAAAATTTTTCGAGATCTTGATTCTCATACGACAATTTTTTGGGTTTTCGAGATTTCGATCGAAATTTAACGATCTCGAAAAATTCAAGTCCGATCCCTAAATTTGAATACCCTTTTTTAACTTTGTTTTTAAATTTTTTGGAAAGAAAAAATATTAGGTATTATATAATGAAGGTTAACTTAAATTGGGGACAGTTTTTTTCATTTTATTTCTTAAATTAATTTTTTAATTAAAGAATAGGCAATTTAACTCCTCAATCAATGTACGGACTTGGACAAGGAAATGGATTTGGTCGCCGGGCATCTCTTAATTCTATTGGTGGGTAAATATAAAATATTTTTTATTGTTTTTTTTAAATCAGAATAAAATTTAAATTTAAATTTAAATTAAAATATAAAAATAAAACAAAATATTTTAAATTTAAATGTTTATGTAAATTACCATAAATATATTTTTAAAATCAAAAAGTACTTTTTGTATTGGGGTTTTGCTAGATAGACGAGATCCCGATCCCGAATAAAAATCCTGCTTATAGAGATCAATATTTTTCGTGATATCAATCTCGATTCTTTTCCGACCCTCTTAATTTATTCTGGATCCATACCTTGATTTTTGTTGGATCCTAATTTAAAATCAGAGAACATTTTTCAGAGTTCCTTAATTTTTAATAAGTACAATTTTTGGTCTCTAATATGTAGCTAACAATAAATAAATAAGAAACAAATTTTTCTCATAAAATTAATTTTTGCAACAAAATTACAAAGAAAAACCAGCAATTTTTTGTAAATATTACACATTTTTAAAATTAAATTTTTTTAAGATTTTATATATTAGATAATTTATTTTTTACTCTTAAAAAATTTTTTTCTTCCATTTTTACTTCCATTTTTTCATTAAACTTTAACCTTCTCTTTTTTTTAATAATTACTTAGGTTGTCAACTAAATTTTGAGCCCCCTTGGGTTAAGCGTATTAAATAATTATTAAAATTCATCAAAATCTTTTCAAAATTTAATTTATTTTTCCTTATGTTCCTAAGAGAGTTGCCTATTTTTGGGCGAAAAATCAGAGTCATACATAGGATTAAGTTAGCAGAACAGACAAAAACCAGCAATTGTCTGTAAATACATTACACATTAGAGATCGAGATTTTTGAAAAGCCTGGACCTGTTCCCGGACTCTGGAGTTTGATTCTTGACCTGGACTGGATCCTGGGCCTGTAGTCCAGGAAAAACCCAGGAAGGTCAAAAAATGCCTGGACCTGGACTCTGGGTACAGGAAAAACCCAGGCCTTGGTCCAGGTCCAACTCGATCTTTATTACACATTTATTTTTACAATTACAAATTAATTTTTTAATGATTTTATATATTAGATAATTTATTTTTTACTCTTAAAAATTTTTTCTGCCATTTTTCTTCCATTTTTTCTATTAAACTTCAACCTTTCCTTTATGTAGTAATTAATTTTATTTTTCGCGCATTATTGTTCATTTCTTTTAAAAATTCTTTTTCTAATCCAATATTAAAATAAATGACCCTATTGTGTTTGATTTTGTGGTCAGTTTTATTTTTATTTTCACACATTCAATCGTGACAGACAAAAAAAGAAAAATTTATTTTTACAATTTTTTCGCGCGCCAGATGCGTAGATTTTTCAAGTTATTTATTTCTTTTTTTATTTTTAGTCTGTTCGAGCTTTTCAAATTTATTTTTTAATTAATTCATTATCAACACATTTTGACATTTTTTGATTTTTTAAAATACCCAGAACCAGGGATGGGCCTGGTTACCCGTAACCCTAGAGCCGAGACTTGGCCTTTTTTCGACCCGAAATCCGAAACTGATCCGAAGAAAATTTTTTAAATCCGATCCAGAATTCGACCCTCTGGACCTTCAAGGGCGGGTATTTCGAGGATATGGAGTTTTCCCATTTGTTTTGGGGTTTGGAACAAGTTAAGATTAGAGTAATAGGTGTTCCCCGTCTGGTATAGATAATTAAAAATTTTTTGTTTCGCCTCTAAATTAAAATTATAACTAGAGCTAGCTAGGATTTTTAGCTAGCTAAGATTTTTAGACAAATGCCTGTTTTTTCCCTAGATAGGTCTGAAGCTAAAACGACCAAATCAGACGTTATTTTATTGAAATTTGCTTTCAAACTACTTTTAACGTTGCTAAAATTACATATTTTGGCTTTTTCTTTATGCCTTCTTTCAGCCTATTTACATATTTTTACTAAAAATTGCGCTATTTTGGCATTTTTTGAGAGCTCTAATTATTTAACACTAGGTGCCAGAAATTCTTATTTTCAATTTCAGATCAATCCAGAAAAATGATATAGAAAAAATGCCTCTATTTTAGAATTATTTAAAATTAAACAGAATATTTTAAAATATTTTTTTAACCTTTTTTCCATCTTTTTTTAGCTAAAAAATAATTTTAAAAAATATAAAAAATAACCATTAAGTACACTTTTTATTTAAAAAAATCCAAAAATATTTATTCCCTTCACTTTTTTCTATTTATTTATTCACTTGCCAATCTTTTTTTGGCTATTTTTATATTTATTAATTGGCCCACTCTTTTACTTTTTTTTTGCTTTTTGTTTATTCGCTTATATCCACTGTTCTTTCCATACTTTTCTCAATTTTTTGCAAAAATTTTTTTCTAAAAATTTAGGGCTTCTGGCACTAGTTCATTTAGTACTTTAGACATTAATTACATAAATATTCCTCTAAGTTTGTTAAAAATATTTTTCAAAAATACCCTCCTACCCGTCATTGATGCTTCTACCCCCTTCCTGATATTATGAATTTTTTCCTGGATTTATTTATTTATTTATATTTTATTTTCCCTGGACCGATATCATCCTTTCTTAAGCCCTGAAAAATTTAAACTCCACCCCAAGGATGGGATGGGTTACCCAAACCTCCTATTCGACACGAACCCAAACCCCCCTACCCAAACCCCCCTATTCGACACGAACCCCTGTTCCCACCCCAAATTTTTCTCAACCAAGCTTCTCCAGTATCCGCATACCCTTTCCCGTGCATTCGAGGTATACCTCAAATTCTGTCACTTTTTACGTCTCAAAACAATTTCAAAAACAATTTCAATATCTCAAACAATCATGGAATGAAAATTAACACACTTGTGTACATGTCAATCAAAATCCAGTTTGTCCCAAAAAAAACAAAATTTTTTTATAAATTTTTGATTAGTTTTTTATTCTCGCTTAAATATCCATTTCTCGCCTTTTTAACATTCACTTATTTCAGCCAATTCCCGCTGGGATGACTAAAATACGTGTAAAAGTTTTTTGTGTGCCCTTCAAAATATTTGTGTGTATGACTGTTTCTTTTTTTATTTTTAAAATTAAAAAAAAATTTTGTGTTCAAATTCTCAGAATTGTATTATTCATTTTAAATATTTATAGAAAATAGGAATTGTTTTTTCCTATTATTTTAAAAATTAGAATTTGGACCAACAAGCCCTGCCGATGGTTTTTAAGGGTTTTGATTCGACTCTGACATTTTGAGGAAAATTAAGGTTTCCGGAGTATAGGTATCTAGCAGGGCTTGGCTTTTTCTGCACGAAAAATTTTTCACTTCGCATTTCGCTTTTTATTTTGAGATTTTGCCCAGCCCTGGTATTTAGTCTTTTTAACTATGAAACAACTAGGCCCTAATCTTCCATAGCCCTGACCAGGGGCAAGCGTGTGAGACAACTTTAAGAAACGCAAAAAACACTCCAAAAACCAGCGCATAACGCAATGTGCCCTAACTTTGACCTAATAATCCCTGGCCCTGACTTATAAATCAGAGGAGCTTTCCTGAGTATGTCTACTCATTTTTAACTAAAAAAAAATTTTAAAAATATAAATTGAAAAAATAACCGCCCTCGGTCCTTCATAAAATCCCCCAAATTTGGACGGAGAATAATGAAAAATTAGAGACCCGTCTAAAAATTTATTTAATCTTCAAATTTATTTTTTTAGTATAATTTTTAACGAACACAAAAAAAAATAAAAATATTTTTTAAATAAAAATATACGTTCTATTTTTTTACAAATTCCGCTTAATTTAATTCTAAAATAGTAATTTTGCTAATTTATTTTTCTATTTTTTTTCTCTCAATTTCAATTTTTTACTTTATTTTTCTCTTTTTTAGAGTTTTTTTTATTTTTGTGTTCTTCCAAAATTTTTAAAATTAAAAAAAAATTATTTTTTGTTTATTCAAATGGATTTTTTTATATTTTTTAAAAAATTGATTATTGAATTTCAAATAAGCCCCGGCCAAGAAAATAAAATAAAAATTCTTTTTGCCTCTTAAATCTCCTCAACAGTTGTCCTCCTTATTTTTCTTTCTTGGCTTATGTCCATTTATCTTTTTTTTTATTTTCAAAATATAATTGAATAAATAGGTAGATGATCTGAAAACATTTTTAAGGTTTTCCTTCTTAAAAATAAAGTCACCTGTACAGGGACAATTGTTGTTTTTGGTTGTTTTTAAAAAGGAATGTTGTTCAATCTACCCCTTATTTTGTGGATTCTTCCTTTAACCTTTCTTTTTAAATCTTTTTAGTTTTGGCAAAAATAATTAGACAGCCGTTAAAAGAAGGGGATTTTCTTACTTTTTAATTTAATATAGGTGAAGTAATTGTTTTATGGATTTTCTCTTCTTTCCGTTCACAGTTTTGCTTACTTCCCAGCTGATAGATACATACTTCTTTTACTTTTGATCTTTCTAATATTTTTAATTTTCGTCTGACGATTTTTTTTCGAAATAAATCGAAATTGGAAAATTTTTTCGAGTGGCACGCCAACCGTCGATTTTTCAAATTTTTAAAAAACGCCAAAAGCAAAATGCCAAAATTGGTCCAAAAATAAATGCCAAATTAATGCGCACAGCTCTAGACTACATTACAGGAAGACCCAAAAGTTTAGGACACACTATTTTTGGGATAACTTTATTCAAGCTCAAATAAAGATTAAATCATGGGGAATTAATAAGGAACAAGAATTTTTTGAGTTTGGGTCACCCTGTAAATTCGGATATTCCGGATTTATATTTACGGATATTTTTGTTTATTCAACATTTTTTTATTTTTTTAATTTTTTTCTCCTTTTATTTCCCCCTATTTATTTTTTCTAAATTAATTTTTAAACAGTAAATAAATGTCAGAATCTTCTAATTTTCATTCAATTCCAATAATAAGTAATTTAAACAATTCTGGACAGCCATTAATTGTTGGAATTTCTACGACTAGAATACCAAATCCATCAGAACAAAATAAAGAAATAGTTTCTGTTGAGGTCCATCGAATAGTTCCTTTGGCGGATTTAGAAGATGAAGATGAGGAGGAAAGTGAAATTGATTTAAAAGTTGAGGAATTGGTGGATAGGTTAGATACGATTGATGAACATGAGGATGAAGGAAAGGGGGAAGAGGTTGAAGTAGAAGGTGAAGGGAAGGAAGAGGACGGAAGAAGAAGGGATGAGGAAGAACAAAGGAAGGAAGAGGAGGAAAGAAGGAAGGGAGGTGAGGAAGGAAGTGAAGAAGGGGAAGTGGACAGAAGAAAGGATGAAGAAAGAAGAATGAAGGAAGATGAAGAAGGAAGAAAGGAAGAGGAAGGAAGAAGGAAGGAAGATAACGAAAGAAGAGAGGAAGAAAAAAGAAGAAAAGAGGAAGAAAGAAGACAGGAAGAGGAAGAAAGAAGAGGAGTAGTAGAAAGGGAAGAAGGGGAAGAGGACAGAAGAAAGGATGAAGAAGGAAGAGATCAAGAGGAACGACGAAGAAGGGAAGAGGAAAGGAGAAGGAAGGAAGAGGACGGAAGAAGAGAGGAAGAAGAAAGAAGAAGAAAAGAGGAGGAAGAAATTGAAGAAAAAAGAAGAAAGGAAAAATTTGAAAAGGAAGAAGGAAGAATAAGAGACGAGAAGGAAGCACAAATTGAAGAAAAAGATGAAGCAAAGTCAATTAAATGTGATATTCCCATAATTAAAATAGCAGAAGAATCAGAATTTAAAATTTCTGAAAATAAAATATCAGAAGAAGAGAGAGCAGAAGAAAAAGGAGAGACAGAACGAGGAGAATCGGAAGGAGGAGAAACAGAATTAGGAGAAAAAAGGGAAGATTTAATTCTAATAAAAGAATTTAACAATAAAACAAATAAATTTGAAACAACAAAAACTTTAAATGAATATTTTAAATTTAACAGAGAAGATACGGAAGGAAATAAAAATGTTGTAGAAAATAGAATAGCTGATGAAATGATTTCTGAAATGTTTAATAAAATTAATGGAGGAAGGGAAGAAGAGAATTTAACAATAGAAATGGAAATAAAAAATTCTGACAGATTATCTTCATTTTTAATAGAAAAAGTGATTTTAGAGAATAATAATGTTTATATTGAACCTTTTACTGAAGATGTGAGTCAACAAAAATGTTCTGATTTTAATAAATTTGAAGAATTAATGGGAAAAGAGAAAGAGAAGGAAGAAATAGTGGAAGAAAAAGGTTTTAAAAATATATCAGAATTTAATAATTCTGAAATCAGAATAAAAGAACAGAAGGGAAGGGAAGAGGAAGAGAAAGAAAAATCAGAATTTAAACAATACAAAATAGAATCAGAATTTAATAATTCTGGAATAAAAGAAAAAGAAGAGAAAGAAAAAGAAAAAACAGAATTTAATAATTCTGAAATCAGAATAAGAGAACAGAAAGAAAGGGAAGAGGAAGGAAAAGAAAAACCAGAATTTAATAATTCTGAAATCAGAATAAAAGAAGAGAAAAGGACACTAGAGTCCTGTTTTGATTCTATTTATGGATTTAACAATAACAATGATCAAAAACCAGAACAAATAATTTTTCCAGAAGAAGAAAAAAATATAAAAATAAATATTATTAAAAATGACGAGCAAAATAATAATATTAAAATAGAAAATAAAAAGAATAATATAAAAGCAGCAGAAATTGAACTTTGTAAAATGGTAGAGGAATTAAAAGCTTTACAACAAATGGAAGAAGAATCAGAATTTATTAAAAATTCTGAAAATAAAATAAAAGAGCAGAAAGAAACGAGAGACAGAGAGAAAGCAAAATCAGAATTTTTAGACAATAAAATAAAATCAGAATTTAAAAATTCTGAAATTAAAGAGGTAGAGAATGGTTTTATAAAAACAGAAGAAACAGAAGGGACAACAGATATGATTAGAGAAAAAAATCAGAATAATTTAATAAAAATAATTCCAATAGAAAAAGAATCAGAAAATAATTATAAAATTCAGAATAAATTTAATTCAACAACAAATATTATTCCAATAAAAATAGAAACAAAACAAGAAACATCAAAATTTTATCAATTTCCTTTTGCTTCAACTTTTAATAATAATAAAAATATTTATTTATCTTCTACATTGCCTAAAACTACAAAACAGCCTCAACAGCCTCCCCCTCCCGGTCAACACTCCCCTTTTGGGTATTTTAATAATCAGGGGGAGGGGGAAGAAGAAGATTTTAGATTATCTCCCAAAACACTTTGTCGAATTAAAAAATTAAATATTATAATGAATACTGAACAGGAACCATTTAATAATGGGTGTAATGGTGAAGTAATTAATGGAGAGGGGAAAGGTGTTTAATTGTTTTTTTTAATTTAATGTGAGGGGAGGGGAGGGTGGGATTGAGGAAGTTTCCCAGTCACCTTCCAATCACTTATCTTTAGTCCTTAAAGCATTTTTCAAAGAAAAAGTATTTTTTGAAATTAAAAGAATAATATTATTTAAAAACTAGGAAAAATATCAAAAAATAAAATTAAAATACTTAGTAGTATAATAGATAAAAAACATTAAAAGAATTTTTTAAATTAGGAAATTCATCATTTACAATCAGACCTTTCTTGACCTCACTTTAGGACACAAATTTTCTCCTAAAGTTAGTTCGTCCCCTATTAACACTCATTCTTAAATACACATCAGGGATGCGCTGTCTTCCACTTCCGATTTCCAACTTTTTAAATCCCTGGTACACATAATTATAGGGCAGAATTTTTTACCCCTAGGATATGCTTATAAGCGAGGTCTGAAAGAATTTAAAAATAAAATTTAAAACTATTCGTTTAATAATTTTATGTAAATTTAATTATTTTTTTTGTAGATTCTGCAGATGTAATTCACCATCATCCAATTTTCGTAAAAGATACTAGTCGTTTTTGGTATAAACCAAAAATTAGTAGAGAAGAAGGTGCTTATTTTTAATTGAAATTTATTTAAAAAATATTTTTTTAGCAATTTCAATGCTTAAAAATAAACCTCCAGGCACTTTTGTTGTTCGTGACAGTAATTCATTTCCGGGCGCTTTTGGTTTGGCATTAAAAGTAGCCCAGCCACCTGCTGGGGTTGTGCCAGGTGAATAATAATTTTACAGACGAATCACGTTATAAGATACCCCTTTGGAGCTGGAAAGATCGTACCTTATAATGAGATGTAGTTTAAATTGAGAGTATCGCCTAGACAGCTCCTCTATTTAGTGGCTAACCAAAAATTTTAAAAATTTACTTAAACAGAGGTGTATCTAATATTGGGAGTATCTTAAAATGAGAGAATCGTACCTTATAATGAATGTAGCTTAAATGGGAGGTATCTCTGAAGCAGCTACCCCACCCAATGGTAGATCGAATTTAGTAAGACGTATCCTAAATTGAGGTTTTTTTCAGCCCCAATGGGGTCTTATAAGTGAGATATTGGGTGTAACTTATAGTGAGGTTCAACTATATTTTTCAATTTAAAAACTCGAAGATTATATTTTTGTTAAGCTGATGGAAGTGAATTAGTCAGACATTTCCTAATTGAGCCAAGTCCAAAAGGTGTTCGTCTGAAAGGTTGTTCTAATGAACCCGTTTTTGGTACATTAGCAGCACTTGTATATCAACATTCAATTACTCCTTTAGCTTTGTTTGTTTTGTTAGATTTTGAAAAAATATTTTTTTTAATTTAAAGACCTTGTCGATTAATTTTACCTTCAATCGACCCAGCAACAACACCAGAAAGTATTAATTCAAATCAAGCTTTACTTGAACGTGGAGCTGGTAATTCTTTTTAAAATATTTGTATGGTAATTTGTCAGGGACTATCAAAATATGCTCTAAATGTAGGAAATGTCATATACCAAAATATACTCTAGATATACCACCCCCCCCCCCTCTCCCAGAAACTTTTGTTCTTCAAAGCATATATCCACATTAGAGGTCGGTGCGGGACAGGATCCCCGAGAGCGATTTTTTATCCACGAGGGACTTTGCGAGACCCCTCTCTCCCAATCCTCATTTTTATCATATTCTACGGAATCCTGTTCCACAAGGATCTTTGGAAAAAATCCCACACGTTGTATCACTTAACCACGATTTTACTGACCACTAATTCACATACAAATATACATATCGGGGATGTTGTTTTTTCCGTTTTAGCTTTCCTTCTGTCATTTATTTTCCTCTTCGGTCCTCCAATTTTAAAAATTCGATTTGCACCCATCCCTGATACATTTCATTCTTCTAATTTTTTACTCTTTTAAAGCTTGTAACGTGACTTATTTATGTTCTGTTGACACCGAAAGTTTGACAGGCCCTGAAGCTGTCCGTCGATCAACAGCATTTGTTTTAAAATTATTATTGAGGCATGAACTTCGTGCTGTACCTATTCACATAAAAGTATCTGTGCAAGGAATTACTTTAACTGTAAAAAATTGAAAATTTTAAACCTTACTTTTTAATTTTTTAAAAGGATAATACTCGAACATTATTCTTTAGAAGACATTACCCTGTTAATTCTGTTACTTTTGCTGGTATTGATCCTGAGAATAGAGTGTTTGTTTTTTTATTTTATTGAGTGTTGTGGGCAAAAATACAAAAGTCAGGACCTCATTTAAGATACGCCCTTAGGGTTGAAAAATTGTCTCCTATAATGAGATGTATCTTAAATCGAGGTGTGCCTAATATTGAGTGTATTTTATAGTAAGGTCTGAATTAAGGTTGGCGGTTCCTGGGAAATCTTCGGTTATCCGGAACCGACAACCGAACCGAAAATTTTCGGTTATCCGTCTTTTTTCGGTTCCGGATAACCGGAACCGCCAACCTTAGTCTGAATGTATGTAAGATATTCAAAGGGAGACAACTGCGAACTGACATTTTCTGGCACCCAGTAAGGTTCCTGTTTAAGGTGATTGAGGGATGGGCTCTTTAATTGATGGGCTCTCCTCTGTTTGCGAAAGGACCCTTGGTTCTTCGGCCTTCAGTTTTTAAATGTGAAGGGCTCACCCCTATACTACACACCAAAATAGTACAGTATTTATAAACTATGATACTGGACAGGACCCATGACCGTTTTCAATTTTATTAGGGTTAAGTTTTGTCCGCAACTATCGACAAAAGAAATATTTTATTCAAAAAAATTTTTTAGCTTTGACAATAATAATGTTATACAATTACCTCCAACATATGTTAGACAGGTTTTTTGTTTCCAAAAAAAATTATTTTAAAAATAAAAATTAAAGGCTCCAATCTTTGGATTTGTTGCTCACAAAATTCCAGTTAATGGAAATGTAGAAAATTCTTGTCATATGTTTGCTGAATTAGACCCAGGCATTTTATTAAAATTAAAAATTAAAAGAAAAATTTTTTTGAAATTAAAGATCAACCAGCTTCAGCTGTCGTTAGATTTATCACAAATGTAATGATGCCAGCTGGACGTGTACAGTTACAACAAAGGCACCAACAACAACAAAATAATAATTTGAATAATTTACATTAGAATACATAGTCGGATTTCATTATATAAAATACCCCTTAGTACTTCATAGTGAATCTAAGAGACACCTCTATTTAATAGACGTTTTTAAAATTCTGTTTGAAGGAAATTCGGGTTAGCCACTGGGTCGGGGAATTTCCCAAAGCTATTATCCCTCTATTTAAGTTACTCCTATAATAAGAGACAATTTTTTCAGTCACAAGGGGGTATCACATAATGAGAGGTTTACATTAGAAATGGAGCTGGGTCTGGACCAAGGCCTTGGTTTTTCCTGTACACAGAGTCCAGGCCCATGCATTTTTTTACCTTCCTGGGTTTTTCTCGGACTAACGGACCCAGGATCCTGCCCAGGTTAATAAAAGAACCCAAGAACCAGGAACAGGTCCAGGCTTTTCAAAAATCTCGATTTCAAGTTTACATACCCTATTCAGCTGTCCAAGTTTCAGCTCATTTTTAAGATAAATCTCTTTATAGGGCAATTTTTCCTACTCTCATGGGGGTATGATATAATGAAGTCTGAATGTATAAATAAATTTATTTCTTTTTAATTAAATTCCCAGTCAATTAATTTTCTTTATTTTCCCAAATTAAAAAAAATATTTTATTATTTTTTATCCCAATTATTGCTCACATCGATTCAACCGAAAATATTTTTTTTTATTAAAAATATTTTTCAAAAATTTTCAAAAATTTTCATAAATTGCCTTATATTTAAAAAAATAAATTCTATTTTTTTATTCTCATTTCTGCCTTTATTTTTTAAAAACTTTTTTTCTAGATTTTATTTTTAACGATATTTTTTAAATAAAATAAATTTTGTAAAACAAAAAAAAATTAATTTTGCAAAAAAGTAATTTTTTTGTTTTAATTTTGTGTCTCCAAGGTTATTTTAAGAATATGTAGAAGCGTGTTGTGTATTTAATTTTTTAATATACAAAAAATTGACCAAATTTTTGGAACAAAAAAAATTTTTTTTTGGAATATTCTTCAAGAATAGTACTCGAATTAGATTAAACTTAGACTGATAGCCTCGCATAGACGGAGACTCACGCCAATTTTAAAATCTTGTTTTTAATCATCTCCGCCTTGGATTGATGGATTGATTAATTTGCTAGGTATTTTAAATTGTAGGATTTTATCAAAACATAAATTGCTAAAAGTTGAATCTCTTAAAAGTGTACAATCTTGGGACTGAAAATTATATACTAAACCGAGCAGTATATATTAGTGGATCCTCAATTTTGTAAAAAAAATCTAAAATTCCCAACATTTCGAAATTTCGACTTTCGAGGTTATTCTGACTTTCGATTTTTGATTTAGAAAGAGTTTGCAAAAGTTTAGCCACCGGGCAGGATTCGAACCTGCGACCACCTGCTAGTTATTGCTAGGCCCCCCGCCTAAACGTAATGCTGCTGGATGACCTACAATTTCGAAGATTTTTTTGTCTCAAAACAGCTCTACACTCGACAAGAATTTTTTTATTTAGTGTCCAAAACTCTCGATAACTCGAAAATTCTTTTTATAAAAAAGACAATTAATCTACCCAATATTTAAATATATTTACGTAAAATTATAATTGTTATATATCTAGATCAGGGCTCCGATTCGTACTTTTTTAAAAGTATTGTACTTTTTTATCGACCTTCGTACTTCCGAAATTGAATTTGTACTTTTTTGAAAGTATGTACTTTTTTATCAACATTTTTGAAAAAACGAAGAAATCTGGCTTAAGGACCTCCAAAATTCTCAAAATTTTCGCCTGCGGCGCAAAAAATGGAAGAAATCTGGCTTAAGGACCTCCAAAATTCTCAAAATTTTCGCCTGCGGCGCTTCTCAATGGCAAACATTCAATGGACGAAGGAAAGAAACTCGCTTGAGGTTGACTGTCAGAGCTTTGCTTCATGTGACAGCAAATTTTGACATGTCATGCAATGAAATGCACAAAATGCTCAGTTGAAACAAGAAATTATTAGAAAAGATTAATTTAGGAGAGAAATATAAAAGATTGATCACGAATAAATATTTTCAAATTTAATTTTGAGTGTACTTTTTATTTGCAAATTTTCTCCCTATGTACTTTTTTTACAAGATTTTGATACTTTTGAGTGGCATTTTGTCGATCGGAGCCCTGATCTAGATATACCCTCATTTAAATATAAAAATGTCCTCTTTCCCAATTATAAAAAAATGTTTCTTCTCGGCTTTTTGCTTTCTCTTGGTAATATAAATATTTTTTATTTTAAAATTGCTATGCAAACAAACCCGTTGCTATGGACGCTTGAAAAATTGGTTATAAAAATATTTAAATTGGGTAATCTTTTAATTTTTCTTTTTTTTTATTTTAAAAAATTTTCTTTTATTCTAAATATTTTTTTGAAATTAATTTTTGGAGAAAATTAAAAATTAAATGCAGGCGAACCTCATTTTTTGATACCCCTAACACTAGATAAACCCCCAATTCAAGATAGATTTTTTTAAGTTAGTTGACCATTGTCAGGTATGTCATGGGTTACGAAACCCCCACCTTTTCCGTCCCAAAACCGACCCGAGAAATTTTCTAAACCCCGACTCGACTTTTTTCCCCTCTTTCAACTGACCCGACTTGGAACCCGTCCCGAAACCCGAACCCCGAGGTAACTTATTTTGACCCGAAACCCGATCCGAAGAGAATTCTGAAACCCAACCCGAGAAATTTTCTTAACTCGACCCGACTTTTTTCCCTCTTTCAACTGACCCGACTTGGAACCCGTCCCGAAACCCGAACACCGTAAAAACTTTTTTCGACCCGAAACCCGATCAGAAGAGAATTCTGAAACCCCTGCTCGAAACCCGACTTTTTTCTCAACAAGATCCTCCCTAGACCATGTTTTTTTGATTGTTCCAGTGGGTAACTTTCAACTTTAATTAAATAAAAGTACCTAATTTCTATTTAAAAATGACAGATTAAATTATTTTTAAAAAACAAAAAAATGTTATTTTTTCTTTCTTCTTTTTACTCATGCCAGTAATTAATGGGAAATTGTGTTGGAGGTTTTAAACGAAGAACAAATCGAATTGCTCCTTGGAAGCGAAATAAAGCTATTGTTCTTTGTTTTCTTGGGGTTGATGGTGCTGGAAAGACAACAATAGTTAAAGCATTACAAGGAGGTTTTAAATTTTAAATTAAGGTTGGACCTCATTATAAGAAGCCCTTGGGTTCAAAATAAGAGGGATACTTCGTACAATCAAAATCTAACCAAATAATGAGAAGGATAGGCAATTAGATGTTCAGTCTACTAGATATACCATTGAGGCTGGAAAATCGTACCTTATACAGAGATATATAAATGGAGGGGGCACTGTCTGTCGCACTGTCTATAAGACCTTGGGGCTGAAAATAGACCTTATAGGGTACAGTGTATCTTAAATAGGGGGTATCGCTTAAACAGCTCCCTCCAATCAGTGAGCAACTAAAATTTTTAAAAACGTTTCTAAATTAGAGGTGTATCTAATAATGGGCGTACCTTATAATGAAGTTCGACTATTTATAGAAATCCCATTTTTCAGAGGATTTCGGCACTGTCCACCAAACTGTTGGATTTAGCAGAGCAGAAGTAAACATCCTCAAATATAAAGTAACCGTTTACGATCTGGGTGGGTCCCAAAGAATAAGAGAAATTTGGACAACATATTTTGCTGAGGTCTACGGAATTGTTTATGTCGTCGATTCTAGCGCCGCTAGCAGAATATCAGAAAATAAACAAATTGTGGATGAATTAATTGAAGTATCCGAATTAATGGGAAAGCCAATACTTTTCCTTCTAAACAAAAAAGATTTGCCAGAAGCAATGGATGAAATCCAATTTTCTGAAAAATTCAAACTCCACAGTATGGCAAAAAGGAATAAAACGGATATAAGGGTGGAAGGTGTTTGTGCTGTTAAAGGAACGGGAAAGGAAATTGATCAAGTTTTCCTTAATTATTTGAATTAAAAAAAAATTTAATTTTACTTAAAGGTAATTGTTGAAGGATTGGAATGGTTAATTGATAAAATTTTGGATAATTATGAAAATATTTCTAAAGGTGTTGAAATTGCACTTAAAAAACTTAAGGAAAGACAAGCTCAAGAAAGGCTAGAAAGACAACACAGACTTGCTATTGCGTAAATATTTTGATTAAAATTTCAATTTAAATATGGTCAACCTCACTAATAGATATTTCCTAGGGTTGAGAAATGATACCTTATAATGAGGTGTATCTTAAATAGAAGGTATTGTTAGACATCCAAACCCATTAAGTAGCCAAACAAGGGTTTTAAAACATTTGTTAAGTAGAGGTGTATTTAATACCAAAGGGTGTCTTGTAAGCAGGGCTGCATGCAATTGAGGTCTGCGAGTTGCGGATTGCGTTTGCGGATTTTTAATAAGAAATTGCGGATTGCGGAATTTTTATTTCTTTATAGTGGGGCTCCAGCCCTTGTAATACATAATAAAATTTTTCTATTCTCTTTATTCAAAATTATTAAATTTTATTTATTATCAAAATTTATTTTAAAAATATAATTTAAAATAATAATTTATAATTATTAATATAAAAACCTAATTTATTATTATCGCAAATCCTCGCAAATCATCGCAAATCCTCGCAAATTATCGCAAATCCTCGCAAATCCTCGCAAATTATCGCAAATCCTCGCAAATTAGCGCAAATTATTCCACATACCAAATTTAGATTTTATTAGAAAACCTTAGATTTATAAACTAAAATATTTGAAAACATTAATTAATTCTAAAGTAAGAGCGATGTAAAAGTTTAATCCCGGGCAGGCTTCGATCCTGCGACCTCCTGGCAGTTATTGCTAGGCGCTTTCGCTTACCACGTACAGGTGCTCTACCAACCGAGCTTCCGGGACACCTTCTCTTTTAATAGATCGTAAACCCTCGCCTAGTAAGCGTTTTAAATGGACGCTTCTTCCACCTTCTCATTTAATAGATCTTAAACCCTCGCCTAGTAAGCGTTTTAAATGTTTTTTAAAAATTTAAGAGCAGCACTTTCCCCGGAAGATAGTCCAGAAACTAGAAGTGAAAACAATGCTGACAAAGAAGAGACCCATGAAAGGGATATTGAAGAAACTAATGAAGTAAAGGATAATGAAGATATTTTGTCAAATGAAGTGCCTTCTTTAAAACAAAATGGAAATATTATTCAAAAAAGAGCTCAAAGTTCATTAAGTAATGGAAAGGTTAATTGAAAATTTTGCTCTACTCCAGTTTATGCGTCCAATCGACTTTTATGCGGTGGGCGCCAGACCCAGTGGGCGTAGGTCCTGAACATGAAGAAATGTTTTGAACCCATACCCCTACATTGCAATTCCAAGGAAAATCCAATTATTTTTTGATTGGACGCATAAACTTTCATTGGACGCATAAAAGTCGATTGAACGCATAAACTGGAGTAGAGCCGAAAATTTTTGGTTAAAATTCTGTTTCTGATTTAAAGACTAATGAAAGAAGAGAAAGTAGCACCTCTAATTCTACTTTAAATCGACGACCAGCAACTTCGGGAAATGGAGAAGTTGATTTTAAAGTTTTTGAAATTCAAAATAAAAAGTTGGAAAATAATGAAGAAGCTATGGAAATGAAAGAAATGGAGGAGGGGAAGGTTAAGGAAAATGAATAAAGAAAAATTTTTTTAATAAAATTTGTTAGAAAATCGTTTTTTAAATTTATATTTAATCCTACTCATTTTTTGGCTAAGCTCAGATTCGGACTCAGCAAGCTCGATTATCTACTGGCATGCCTCAAAAATGTCTAACAAGCACTTTACACAAAAATTTATTTTGGGTTCCAGGTTCTTTACGATTACCCTCAAAAGTCCTAAAAAAAGTTGGATTTATAATTTGGAAAAATTGAAAGAAAAAAACACAGAAAAGTTAGATATAATTAAGCTAAAAAATAAGGGTACAGCCCATTACGGCGCGGGCCAAAACGGCGCGACCGAAACGACGCAGGCCGAAACGGCGCAAGGCCAAAACGGCGCAAAAATTTTTCATAAGCTATTGTTACGTGAGGTTTAGCTCGAATGGTGATGTTATCTTTTGGCGATGTGAACAAAAAAATAACAGATGTAAAGGTTGCATTTGGACAACATCTTGTGATAACAAAGAGTGATACAAAAACTGAGCGATAACAAAACTATTTAGATCGTATACTTACTAGTAAGTATAACTGCGAGAAATAACTGCGGGATTCAGATAGTTCCAATATAACTAGATAACTAGTTAGTTTCCCCTATAACTACATACAGTCGTGGAAAAAAGTATGGAAGCGCTAGAAAAATTTGATTTAATTCTTAATTTTTTATTCAAAAAATACGTTCTATATACCAATCGAAAGCTCTATTCGTATCTCAGTTGACATGTTTCTGCATTTTTCATGAAAATGAAAATTGGCCGAGATAATCCGGATCTACCGGATATACCAAATCCCATTTTTTCGGAAAAATTTTTTTGGAACAAATTTAACAAACCCAAATGATAAAGCATATTTTTCTGAGTATTTCCCACAAGACCGCTTAGAAATATCTATTTCCAGTCCAGAGATATGATTTTTTGAAAATCTCATTTTTTGTCTATTTTTGCAAAAAATTCAATTTTTAAGGGAAAAATGCGATTTTCAAAAAGCCAATTTTCATAGTTTTTTTTAGATTTTGCACCGATTTTTAGGCAAATTTTAGGAAAAATTGCTAAAATAGGCAAAAATAGTACCAAAAATTTCAAAATAGGCAAAAAGGCTCAAAAAGTCCAAAATAGGCAAAAATAGGCATATTAAAAGTCATGCTAGACTCTTCAAACCAAGCTAAAAACACGTTTTTTGAACGTATTACATCATCCCAAGCTTGCAGAAAAAATAGGCATTTGCCTATAAATCACAGCCTTAGTTATGACTGTCCAAAGTTTATATGAACAAATTGTCCATGGCCCAGGCTCACGACATAAAAAATAAATATTGAACCATCAATAAAAAAAACCTTGAAGAGGCAGATATACCGAAAAGCTGTTTGCGTTTTTATATATATTTTTAATTAAAAATCTCGAAACGTCAAAGCTTTAACAATTTGATAAATTTTCCCAACATCAGCTTCACAAAACCAAACCAAATTCAGACGAATCAATCACTGAAAAACTAACAAGATGGCCGTGAATCGTCGACGTTTGAAAATCATTTTGTAGTAAAATGACTGTTGACAAGACTTCAAAACTGCAATTAATTTAAAAGATAACGAAAAACACTCGGATCTGAGCTGACTAAGTTAAAAATGATTAAAAAAAAAGTTTAGTGTTCGAACATATACATAGAAAAAATACATAAACTAAGTCAATTTATTTTTTATATAAAATAGGCAGTCAAATAAAAATTTAAAGCAAATATGTACCAGCAAAAAATATTTAAAAAAAATCTGTCTATTCTTCAATCTCCTCATCGCCTCTCAATTCCATTTCAAGTGCCTAAAAACAATATTTAAAATTTTGATTGATTTTAAATTGAACTGTTAAAAATATTTTCAAATTAAAAATAACATACCGTTATTTCATTCATAATATCAGTCGCTGGAACGATCAGACACTTGGGAAGATGTTTAGCAGCTTCTTTAACCGGATCCTTATGAGCTTCTTTAACCGGATCCTTAGGAGCTTTCTTGAACTTATTCGTTCCAACGCTTATGCCCTTCAGACCATGGGGGCAGAACACAGCACATCCAGAATCTCCAGGCGCTGTTGTGACAACTCCAAGCAAAAACGGACCACGTCCAAGTCTCTTACCACTACTACCTGAATAGTTCAATACTAATCTTAAATAAAAAAATAATTCAAACTTCTAAGAATTGTAGTTTCTGGACCCTGAAGACATCCCTCCTTTTTACATTGCTCTAATCTATCAAATTCATTGGTATAACACCCACAGAGTAAAATTGCGCCAGAACACGGAGTTTTACAGATGTGAGGTCCCCGATCAACAATTTTTTTCTCAGATTTTAAAACCACAAAATCTTGTTCAATTGAAATATGCTTCACTACAGTGTTGTATTCGGTGCCATCCTTTGCATAAACTCTAACTTGCGTAACATCCTTTTTGTATTCAACTCTTGATGTGTGAAAGTAAGTAGTAAAGTAGTATGGGTGGATACAAACAACTGGAGATCTAACTTCGTTTTCCTGATCAAATTTTGAAGCAAAAAAACAAAATTTCTCCGGTTCTTCCAATTCCGGGAGTGGACCTCAAAAAAGGCATATGAATTAATTAACAATTAACGGATAAATCGAAACGAAATAAAAAAATCTTTAATAACCTTTTATAAAAAAATTTTTACTTTGAACTTTCATGTATGGGCTGATTGAACGTGAATCTAAAAAAGTATTTATTAAGGTGTTAAAAAAATTAAAAATAACCTTTATACACAACTTGATAAATAATATCTTTGGACCAACCGTTAAGTGGAGGCGGAAAAGATTGAGTTTCTTTGTCAAATCTATTAATTTTAAATAGCCAAAATTTAGATCAAATCAACATACTTGAGGGAAAGAAGGTACCCATTGTTTGTATTTAAATAGTGTAAACCATTAGCTCCAGGAACTGCACGCTCAAGTTCGGACAATGGAAGATTCTCATTTTCTGGAAGATCAATCCCTACAGGATCGTCAAAGCATCCTTTAAAGAGTACAATCTGAAAATAAAATTTCAAAGAGGAAATTTAAAAAATATAATACATGTCGATTATCTTCGACGAGCTTCTGCCTCTTCTAAATATATAAATTAATTTAAAATTAAATTTAAAAAGAAAACGTTTTCAGGTTCACCAGTTTGAGACATTTTGAATTTTTTAAATAAATCTTTGATCAAAATATTAAATCTAAAAATTTTTAAAAATCGATTCAATTAAATCAAGCTTATGTTAACTCAAAAGTTAACATAAGGTTGGGTTTACAATCTGGAAAAATCGAAAAAAAAGAACACGGAAAAGTTAGATAGTTAGATAGCTAGATAGCTAGATAGTTAGATAGTTAGATATATATAATATATATGGCTCCCATACAAAATCTCTATTCCTTAAAATCGCTATTCCTCAAAATCTCTACTAGGCTAAAAATGCTTAAAATCTCTATTCCTTAAAATAACTATTCCTTAAAATCTCTACTGGGGTAATAATAATTAAAATCTCTACACCGCGCAAATGGACGGTTGAGTCTCAACTAAAGTGTACCATCTGAATCTTTTGCTGGAAAAACCAGACTTGGTAATAGATACGGATATGGATATGGATACAATTTCAAAATGGCGGCGGATATCCGCCTGTATCCGCCGTAAATATCGAAGATATACTACACGACTGCTTCACTGCAGTCGTGTTCATTTTGCTTGCGGCGATCGTATCGAAGCGGCTGCTGTCGTTCCGCTGGACTTGACTGGGTTAATCAGCAACGGCAAAAACTATACAAGCAAAATAATATCAAAAGATAATCCCAGAAATCAGAACAACGTTTCCGCACTTAACGTTGGTACTCAAAAGGCTTCCAATGAAAAATAGACATTTTATCTTATTTATGGCCGTGTAGAGATTTTAAGGCATGTCACCGTGTAGAGATTATGAGGAATAGAGATTTTAAGGAATAGTTATTTTAATCATTTTTAGCCGAGTAGAGATTTTAATGCATTTTAGTTCTGTAGAGATTATAAGGCATTTTACCCCAGTAGAGATTTTAAGGAATAGAGATTTTGAGGGGATACGAATATATATATATATTATATATAAAAGTTAGATAGCCATTTTTAAAAAATTCAAAATGGCTCCCCTACAAAAGATAGACTCGCCAAAATATAGATGCACTAAAAGATAGATTAGGCCAAAATCGATTAAAAGATAGATGCATTAAAAGATAGATGCACTAAAAGATAGACTGGGGTAAAATCTATTAAAATATAGACTGCGAAATAGGCCGGTTGAGTCTGGACAAAAAATTTAACCATCTGAATCTCTCGCTGGAAAAACTTTTTGTGCTGCTACGGAGGGTAGGCCGGGCATGGTTTTCGCTACACGATGGCCGTGCTTCGCTGCGGTCGTGCTCACTTGCTCGCGGCGACCGATGCGAAGCGGCGGCCGTCGTCCCGCTCGACATGCCTGGCTTCCTCCGCAGCGGCAAAAACTTTTTTTCGCGAATATACTAAGGTACGAATAAAACAAAAATCAGAACAGAAACATGAAATCAGAACAAAGATCAGAAAAAACAAACAAAGATCAGGCACTCAACAGTTGGTACTCAACTGGACCCCAAACTTTATCTGTGTTTTGCCCAATTTTAGACCTGTCTATATTTTAATAGATTTTACCCCTATCTTTCTTTTATTGCATCTATATTTTAGTGCATCTATCTTTTAATCGATTTTTGCCTTATCTATCTTTTAGCTGCTTTTGGCTGCGTCTATCTTTTAATCGATTTTAGCCGTATCTATATTTTAGTGCGTCTATCTTTTGAGGGGATACGGTTAGATATAATTAGAGAAAAAAACAAAATTTAGCTCCAATTTAATTACTTGGCGTTATGCCCAATAAACAACATTTTGCGGAGCAGTTCAATTGAGTCCCGGCTCAATTGAGTCCCGGCCCTATAACTTAGCAAGGAATGGTCATTTTTTCATGATCTTGGTATAAATGAATAGAGAATCTAAAGCTCTATAACATATCAAAAAATCAGAATTTTTGTCTGATTGATAAAAAAGTTATGATTTAAAAACTAACTTTTTCAAAAAAATCTGATTTTTCGGCACTTTATCGATCATAACTTTTTTAACAGTCGGTCATGAATTTTGATTTTTTGGTATATTGTAGCCTATTTAATGCCCTATCCAATGGTACCAAGATTAACAAAAAGCGACCATCCCTTCATAAGTTATAGGGTCCGGGACTCAATTGAGTCGGGACTCAATTGAGGTGTACCGACATTTTGGCTTTTTTTACACGACTTTTCGTCAAAGGACTTTCCGTCAAAGGACCTTACGTCAACAGACTTTTCATCAAGAAATGAACGATTTTAAGGCGCGCCCTTAAAACGGCCCACCCTCAAAATGGCCCATTGAACAAAAACCCGTAAAATGGCCCAATGAACAAAAACCCTCAAAAAGGCCCACTTCAAAACGGCCCACCCTCAAAATGGCCCAATGTAGAAATATGGTCCAATGTAGAATGGCCCAATGTAGAATATTCTGAAGGTCGAACGGGAGGGACCCGGACCGGGAAAACCAGGAATTCCGTTCCCGGTTTCATCCCGGTTGCTTCAAAAAAACCGGGAAAAGGTACCCGAAAACCGGGAAACGGGTCCGGGTCTCGGACCCGTTCCGATCTCTATTAATTAGCGGAAACTTTTTTTGTTTTATTTGATTCAAGTTGAATTTTAAAGAAAATTATTTTTGACATTTAATTTAAAAATCAACTTATTTTTAAAAAATTTTATTTTTTAGGTGAAAAATGGCAGCTTTATCATGTCGATTTTATGAAAATGAATTTCCAGATATTGAAGATACTGTTATGGTTAAAGTCCAAAAAATTGAAGATATGGGTGCTTATGTAACACTTTCTGAATATGATGGAAAGGAGGGAATGATTTTATTATCAGAATTGTCACGTCGAAGAATCCGTTCAGTCAATAAATTAATTCGTGTTGGAAGAAGTGAATGTGTTGTTGTTATTAGAGTGGATAAAGATAAAGGTTTTTTCTTAATAAATTAATTTTGGGAGGAAGGCTTTTTTCTTTGTTTTTCGCGTTTTATTTCTTGAAACTAGGGTTGCACGGGATCGTTTAATTCGGGGTTTTTTTTCCCTGTGGCGTATTTTCCCCTTTTCTCTTCTCTTCTTGACTCGCCACAGGGAAAAATAGACGAGGAATTAAACGGTCTCGTGCAACCCTACTTGAAACAATCAACAGTCCAAGACCAATTTTTAAATGATTTTGTAGTCAGAGCACTAAAAAAGTTTCAATCCGTTATTTTCCTCTTTTTCCTGCGCTAGTCTGTTGTGTCGATATTCATATGAAAATTATGAGAAGCGTTATGTTCTCATTTTAATGAATAAATTCCTTTATGGACAACAATAATTTCACATCTTTTGGGATTTATAAAAATTGGTTCAAGCGTTTTGGCTGTCTGGACTAGAGATGGATATAGACCGGATCGAACAAAAATCTCTCTTATTCAATCATTATCTTTTAACATATTTCTCTTTATTATCGTACGACCCTCCAAGTTTTTATAATTATTTTTAAGACTGCTGGGCATATAAAAAAGATTTTTTTGGGGGAAATGAAGCCCTTAAAATTCAAAACTCTATTAAGTAATTTTAAAGGTTATATTGATTTGTCCAAAAGACGTGTATATTCCAAAGATTTAATTCAATGTGAAGATCGTTTTGCTAAAGCAAAGGCTGTTAATAGTATTTTGAGACATGTTGCTGATCAATTGGGATATACAGAAAATGAAAAGTTGGAAGAATTGTATCAAAAGGTTTTTTTTTAATTTAGTTTTTTTATTTATTTCTTTTAAAGACTGCTTGGCATTTTGACAGAAAATTGAAGAAAAAGGCTGCTTCTTTTGAAATATTTACCAAAGCTTTAACGTTGGTTTTTTTATAATTTTTAAAGATGAGGGTTATCCCATAATCCAGATTATGCGAATAAATCAAGTCGTATCCAAGGCGTAGGTATCCAAGGGTGTATCCAAGGCGTATCCAAGGGGCGGTTTTTTTAAATTTCATTTTTTCGACCGTACTTCTTGAAATTGTTTCCCCTTTCTCCGATTTCGGCCCCAGTCCTCTGGATACGCCCTTAGGATAAATAATTAAAAGTATCACTCCAATAATTACTTCGCCGAAAGTGCTTTCTAGATAGTGATCTAAATTTGCTACTAAAAGAAATGAAGGAAAGTTTTCTTTCTTCAAGAGCCAGTTTTCCATTTCTTTCTTTAAAATAAAATGAAGGAAAAACTTTTTTTGTTTATTTCTTTGAAATGTAAAAACGGGAGAGAGCCAAGGCCCTCTGGATCAGAAAGTTAATAAATTTGTCCCCATTAATATGTCCTCATTATTGTGATTACTCAGTAACTGCCATTATCAATTCTCTATTTTACCTTTAAGCGAACCAAATGTTTTTGATGAATGCGGAATTGAAGATCCAATAAAAAATAAATTGCTTGAAGAAATTCGAAAAAAATTAGCTCCAAAACCTCTAAAAATCCGAGCAGATATTGAAGTCAGTTGCTTTTCTTATGAGGGAATTGAAGCGGTTAAAAAGGCTTTAATTGCTGGTAAAAAATGTTCAACTGAAGAATTGGTTATTAAGGTTAGTTTTTTATTTATTTATGAGAATTAATTTTTTATTTTAATAGATTAATTTAATTGCTGCTCCTCTTTTTGTTGTTAGTAAGTAATTTTTATTTTTTTCACAAGTCGACCCTTATTATAAAATACACTCAATATTAGATACACTTCTATTTAAGATATATTCAATTAAATTGTGGTTAATTATTGATTGAGTGTAGGAGAGCTGCTAAGGCGATAGATACCCTCTATTTGAAATAAATCCTGTTATAAGATACATCTCGTTATTAAATACACCCAATATTAGGTACACCTCTATCCAAGGTACACATCTATCCTCTCGAAATTTAATTATAATTTACCTCAATTATAATTTAATTGGCCACTGGGAGGGGTGCCCAAGCAATATCTTCGATTTAAGGTACCCTCATTATAAGAGACAAATCATTCCGAAGGTGTATTTATAAGAGGGTTTGGTTTGTTTTTTAATAATATATAGATGTATTTACTTATTCTCCAGCTACACAAACAATGGATAGAGAAGGTGGATTTAAAGCAGTTCAGGATGCTCTTGATGCAATAAAAACAACTATAGAATCATTTGAAGGAAGTTTTAGAATTATTATGGCGGTTAGTTTTTTTTGAAATTTTTGTAAGAAAGTTGGGGGATTTGTTGGGGATAAATCTTTATAACTCTCACTCTCATGGCAAAATTACTTTTCAGTCAAAAAATTTACGTTTTCTTTACAATGCCATAAAATTGGTTTGATTAACCATGTTTTATATCTAACTGGGATTAAAGGATTTTTGTTCTTGTATTTTTCAAAATTATGGAGCGTGTCCAATGTCAGCCCCCGAAATCGCCCCCTGTCTTCGCCCTTGACTTGAAACCCTTCGGACTTTTTTCTGATCCGACTCGTAAAATCTGTTGGATGAAGAAGAAACTTTTTAGTTAATTTTCGGTTTAATAGTTTTGGTTCGATTTTCCAAAAATTAGTTTTATGTGGTTATTAATCGTTCAGTTTAGGGTTGTCGTTTTCGAGTAGGGTCTGTACGAGTCGGGTCTTTCGGTCCGAGTTGGGTCATTTTAGCAACCCTAGTCTAGTCATTAATCTCCTCATTTTCCTTATTGATTTTGAAATATATTTTTTTCAAATTCTAAATAATATTCCTTAATTTCTAGCCAAAAGTATTGACTGATTTGGATGAGGAAGAAATTAAAAAAAGAATGGAATTGCTTGAAGAAGGTGATGAAGAAGGAGGAAGTTCTGATGATGAAGGTTTGGTGGCACCTAAAGGTTTGGATCAAGCAGCTGATAAAGAAGAGTCTAATAGGAAAGAGAAGAAACAAAAAAATGATAAAAATGAAGAAAGTGATGAAGAAGATGATGAGTAAATATTTTAGAAAATGTTGGTGGGAGAGGGTATATTTTGTTTGGGTAATTAATATATTTAATTGTTTTTTGTTTTAATAAATTTAAATTTAAAAATATTTTTTAAGTTCAAACCTCAGCTCATGTATATTCAAAAAAATCCATTCAAAAAAACCCTCAAAGATTCCAGTTAATCTTTGTACATATCAGGGATCCTGCCGTCTCGATTCCTGAAAATCGGGAATTTCCGACGTTTTTTTTGGGTCGGGATCCCGATTTCTCGAAATCGTTAATTTTGGTTTTTTGACGACATTATTCAAAAAAAATTTTTTTTAGCTCAGCGAAAGTTAGCCAATTTGTGCTGTAAGAACAGCTCAACGTCGAGCCATTGACCCGAAGAAATTTTTAAATTTGACCCGAAGAAATTCCCTCGAATAGCGTTCCAAAGCGAAAACGAAACTGCAAACTTTAAACCCTCGATGACCAACTATTATCAGCATATTAACCGTTTTTCCTCCTTTCTAGTCAATACATACATATGTATATCCATTTAAAAATGAATCTTGTATTTATTCTATTTATTAAATAAATCCAATGTCAAGAGGGTTTACTTTTCAAGAGCAAAAATAAATTCCGGGATCTTTTATTTTCTCTTTTATTTTTGTACATTTAAGATCAAGAGATTTTAATTAAAATATAGGAGAGAGAAAGTTTTCACGCAATTTAAGCGTTTAGATTGTATTTTTTAATTCCTTTATTATTGTAATATAGGAGAAAGACAAGGATATGTTATTAGATTCTGCAAAAAAAATTTCTCAAAGCTTTCAATAAAATTGGATGTTCTCTTTTGTAGACTACATTAAATTCGAAGTTTAAAATCTAGCCAGAAAAATTTTTTTCCTTTAAAATTAAAGGAATGTTTTTATAAATTTTTCTTATGACTTTAATTTTGTTTTATTTTCTTCCATTGTTTTTATTTAATCAACCTGTTGGTGGTTGTATGGCTGGCGGAGGACAGTTTAGATTTTTTTATTTTAAGTAGATATAATGGGGTACCTTAAATGGAGGGTATTGCTTAAGCAGCTCCCTCAACCGATACTGGGAGTATATTATATAGAGGGTCTTTATTAGAGGGTATAGTCGCTTAAGAAGATCTCCCGCCCAGTGGCCAACCAACTTAAAAAGCGTTCCTTAAATCGAGGTGTGTTTAGTATTGAGGGTATACTATAGTAAGGCTTGACTGTGTACTAATATTTTATTTTTATCAGAACATTTATTTGTTGCCCACCATTTTCATCAATTGGATGTTCTCCTTCTGTGCCTATTTGCAGGTGCTTTTATTTTTTTGGACAAGAATAAATTTAATTTTTAATTTAGGGGTTATTCTAGTTATGGAGGTAGTTATGAAGCTCCCCAACAAATATTTTATCCGCGTCCTTTTACCTATCAAATAAATGAATGCAAAGAATTTGTTAATTGTGGAGGTTGTGATGAAAGTATTGAGGAAGAAGAAGAATATAAAAAAGTTAAAATTGATTTAGGTAAAAAAGATCTTAGTTTAAAAATTTTCCTTCATTATAAGATACCCATTATTATAGGTAGGCTGAAAACATTAAAAAAACAAAATCATTTTTCAACCTCTCCATTAATGAGATTAGACTATAATTTATTTATGCAAGTAGGGATAATTTCGAAATTGAAATTTAAGTCGGACCTCCCTATAGTCAGACCTCCCTATAGTGTACGCCCAATATTAGCTACAGCTCCATTTACGATAATTTTTAATTTGGTTGGTTACCGGATGGGAGGAGCTGCCTAAGTGATATCCTTTATCTAAGATACCCTTTATTGTAGACACCTCTTATTAGGAGCTAACGGTCCAATGGGGGTATCTTATAATGAGGTCCGATTATGTTATTTTATTCAAAAAGATACAAATTCCGAAAATGGATGTAGTCAACAACAACAACAACAAAAGCCTTGTCCTTCAACGGTTTTAAAGATAGAAAAAAATATATTTCTATTATTTTAAGGGATGTATTGCTACCTTTAACCAATTTCCTAGCTCACTACCTTCGTGTAATGGAGCTTCGGTTATTTTATTTATTTTTAAATTCCAAAAAAAAATTTTTTAGAATTGTAATAATGAACAGCTTCCTTTATCCATTTCTGACGAAAATCTTCCTTGTATTGATGGCTGTTCTAGTGAAACAAATTTACAAATAAATTCCCCCTGTAATCCCCCAATAAATTGTCACAACAATAATTATTTAAAAATCCCTCCCCTATCTCCTTCTGATTCTCTTCCAATTCCTTTACCTTTCGCAACAACTTCTACAGAATTTCCAATAGCTGTTTCTCCAGATATTTTTAATAATAATCAACAAGATTATGAAAGTTTGGATAATAATGAATTGTTGGGAACTTCTTCGCCTTTTCCAACTCTTCAAACTTCCTCCTTTTTATTTCCTTCTCCAGTTGAAGTTTCTCCTTCTAATAGCGTTGAGGAAATATTACAAGCAAGTACTTTAACGTCCACAAATACTGATGAAGGTACTTAAAGGTTTAGGGTCTGCCAACTTCTTTAGTAAAATGGCCAGGGCTCAAAAGGGTCAGACGTCTATGTTTTTTAATAAGATGGTGGTATATCCTTAATGGCAGGTATAAACAAACTTTTGACCATTTTGAGTCCTAAATTCTCAAAAAAACGAAATAAAAATTGGCGGAGTAACTGAGGGTGGTCCCGAACAGAGGTGAATTGGGTTTCTGACTTCCGACGTTTTTTCCCTTCCGATTTCCGAAAATTTAGGCTGATTTCCGACTTCCGACTTTTGAGCCATTTCCGATAGTTCCGATTTCCGGCACCTTCGTCATTTCCGATTCACCTCTGATCCCGACCCATCGGAGTCAAAAAGTTCAGGGTCGAGATTATTTGTGGGACCTTAATAAGTAATTCTCTGCAAATACATATCTATACCTATTACAGAAACAACAATAATTTCACCTCAAAATCCGTATGAAACTAACGAAAACGATAAATTATTAGAACAGATAATAACAACAACTATTTCAATACCTACAACAATAACAGAAATAAAAACAAGTAGTGATTCTTTATTATTAAATTATGAGGATGAAAATAATAAAGAGGATAATAATGAAGTTTTACCAAAAAATGAAGAAATGGCATTTGGAAATGAAGCTGTAAAGAAGGAAAAGTTGAAAGAAAAAGTAAATACAAGTGAAAATGAGGAAATGAAAAATAATTGTGAAGATACTGAATTGAGGTACTTGCTGAGGGAGCAAAAAATTGGTTGGGGGGGGGAGGGAGGTTGATTCGGGTTGAACTATAAAACACAGAAATTTGTGTGTGTAGGGATTGCGCTGACATAAAAATATAATCCCGGTTTTGAGAATTGGGAATTACCGGCACAAAAAAACGTCGTGAATTCCATATTTTCGGAAATTTGGTCTAGTAAAGCAGATGGGCTATAGCTACATATTTCTCTCCTTTAACTAATGCAAAAGCTTATTAGACGGCTGGGAGCGAACCAGCATCTTCAGTAGACCCGGACTGATATGTTTTAGCCATTACACAACGCCGCCTACTGCACAGCCTTAGGAATTAAATATCTATTTGCTTTACAGTCTGCGCAAATGCACAAATGTCGCTCTACGTGGGGGTTCCAAATAATTTGCTTTTTAAAAGCAACAAGCGGCAGTCCTTTATTTCTTGCATATTTTTAAGCGGGGATTTAACAATTATTTTACAAATCTATTTAAAACTAAAATTTTTCGTTAGATAGAGATATTGTCGAGAAAGCATTAATATCAACAAAATTAGACAATTTGGAAGCAGCCCGTAATATTGAAAGTAATTCAGCGGCCAAATTTGGTGGACGTTTTAACTCAATTGTTTCGAATAGTGAATTTGCTTATGTTAATTGGTATGGAAAGAGAAATTGTCAATTAAGAGTTGGAAGTAGACATTCTTTGACTTGGGAAGATTAAAATGAAAGACTTAAAATTATTTTTTGTTTTTTATATTATGCTCGGACTTCATTTTACATATACTTTCGGGGTTGAAAAAATCGTACCTTATAATGAGATTTATATTAACTTGGAGGTATTGTTTAGGCAGGTCCCCTACCTAGTGGCCACCGAAGTTTTAGAAGCGTATCCCAAATAGAGGTATATTTAGTATTGGGGATATCTTATACTGATGGGTATACCCTATAATGAGTTTTAGTTAAATAGGGGGTTTCGCTTAGGTAGCATAGTGAGATTCAGGGGAACGTAAGCGGGAATCCCGGAAAACGCAACGCAAGGCCAAAAATCAACGCAATGCTAAAAATCAACGCCCCTGGTGAGGTCCGATTGCTTTTTTAATAAAGAATTTTTTATTTAATAAATTATTATTTTTAATTTCAATTTTTTAAGTTTTAATATATTTCCAAAAATAAAATTTTTTTCTCCTTTATCCAAAATATTCTCTACAATATAATAAATAAATTTTAAATATTTAAAACACAAAACATTCCTTTTCCTTACCTTAAATATATTTATCTCTCTCCCTCTCAATGTCAAAAATGGGTCGTTTATAGGGGTGCTGATCTGTATATATAATTTTATATTTATTAAATGATTAATTATTTTTTTAATTTTTCTTTCCGCTTTTATTTTTCTTTTCTTTTTTAAATATTTTCTTTAACTTTAAATGGCCGCCAATTTTTAATTTTATATTTTCTTTTTCTCGTCCACTTTTCACATCTTCGAGAGTCAATCGTTTGTTGCTGACAGTCACCCCTCTTTTTAAATTTAATCACGCGTCCGTTCTACTTTTCTCTACTTTATTTGTGGTTTGCTCATTAATTTCTTGATATATTGATAGAAATGCGCAAAGGGCTATCACATTTAAAGAATAATTTTGGCAACAATTAAAGTCGGACTTCACTTGTAAGTCACCTTTGAGATTGAACTGAGTATCTTATAATGGGTGTACCTTAAATAGAGGGGCATATTATAATGAAGGATATCCTATAATGGGGGTGTTTTAAATTGGGTGTATCTTATAATGAGAGGTACCTTAAATAGAGAGGTATCTTAAATATTGGGGTATCCTAGAACGATGGAACGCCTCTTCCAAACTTGCCTCCCTCTATCCAATGGTCACCCGAAATTATAAAACGTATCCGAAGCCGAAGTTTATCTAGATCTCATAGTGAGGTCCGACTGTAACTGAATTTATAAAATCTACTCAAATCTATCATAAAATAGCCTGAATCTAAATAAAAATATTTAAAGTCGGTATTTAAAGAAAAAATTAAAGATAACAATCTTTTTCTTCTTCTCTACCTTTACTCTTCTCCCCATTTAATATTTAACCTTCAACATTGCTCAATCTCCAATCTTTACCCAAATATTTCTTTCATCTTTCCATGTGCCTCTTTATTCAAAAAAAAAGTTAAGGGGAGAGGAAGGGGTACCTTTCTTACCTTTTTCTTCCCCCCCCCCCTCTCCTCCCTTTCCTTCCAAATTAGCCTTTCCCCCCATTTTTCCTTCTAAATTTTTCTCATTAATCGACACATCCCCCTCTTTTCTTCCTCTTCCGTTGTCTTTTTACCTTTCTTTCCTCCTCTTCAAAAACTACCACCCAACCAAACCTATCAATTTTGGGGAAGGATGGTAGTGGTAGCGGCGCAAAAATTCTCGACGTTTCCGTTGCCATTTTACCTTTTAATATTATTTTCTTTTATTATTTTATCTTTTCTAGTCAATTTAGCCCCTAAAAACCACGTTTTCAGTACAGCGATTAAATTTAAAAATTTGTTATTATTTTTAAAAAATTCTTTTTTTTTATTTAACAACAACCTATTAAAAAATTAATATTTATATTTCAAAAAGGGCAGCGTGTGTTTATAGCTTTGGTCATTTAGCTGTATGAATCCGTTGATTTGATCATAAAGCTAGATTACCAGAGCTAGAAGCTTACCAAAAGTCCATTCAACATTTTTTTAATTAAATTTTTAATTTTTGATTGACTGAATTATAAACGAGTCTACTTATGGTGATAAATATCAGACTTCATTAAAATACACCCCATACTAAATAACCTCTATTTATAAGACATTTTTGTAAAATTCGATCGTCCGGTGAAGGAAGCGTCAAAACCCATACACCTCTTTAAGGGTACCCTTCACTATTAGATACAGGCTTTAGCCCCGCCGACGTACATCATAATGAGGTCTGATTATTAGAAAAAAGTAAGGTTAATTTTTTCTAGGAACCAATGTTCTTCATTATTACCTAAGTTTTTTTAATTGTATTGGTATGTATGTTAGGCTGTGGGAAAATTCATTGGATGGGAGATGGACTAGAATCATAATGGAAAAAGCCCAGACTAAACCATAAATAACCATTCAACTCGATGATGGTTTACTTTGAATTTCTTCAAGCATAGACCAACTTTATTAAAAAATAATACACGAACAAACACACAAAAATACATACAACATATAGAAATAATAATAAAAATTATATACCTAGGCTAATTTAAAGCCATAAGGGAAAAGGAATTACAAAATATTATTTAAATACCTATACAATAATTATTTAAGGATTATCTTTCCCTATTTTATTTTTTTTCCTATCCCTAATTTATTTTCCTATACTTCAGTACCAAGCTCTTGCTGGTAAGCATCGAATTCAGCCTCGTTTTCTGTCGCCACAGTGCAAAGATCATCGTTTTTGACTGAAGCCGTTTCAGGCTCACAAGATTGGGTGTTTAACACAAAACGAATAATTCCACTCTTTTCACTTGAAAAAATTAAAAAAAATTTTTTTTAATTAAAAGAAAATAATCTACCGTTTAGCCAAAGATTTGTTATAAACACCCCAACCACTACAAAGACGATCCTCAATATTATATCGCATATTTTTTCCAAGTTTATTATAATCTTCTAATTCGAGCAGTGCAAGGCCTAATTTGTGATACCTTAAAAAGTAAATTAAAAACAACCCTCCCTATGAGATACCCCCGATATTAGATACACCCCCAGTCTAAGAAACTTCTTAAAAATTTGGGTGGTCATTGGATGGGGAGCTGCCTAAGCGATACGTCCAATTTAAGAGACACCTCATATAAGGTACCTCCGTATAACAAACTCACCATATTAGATGACTTCTATTTAAGATACGTTCATAAAAGTCGGTTGAAGGGGCCATCTAAGCGATACCCTCTATCTAAGAGACACCCCATTACAAGAGACTATTTTTCAGCCCCAAGAGGTTATCTTATACCGAGGTCCAGCTTTAATTAATAAATTTATTTACTCTTCACATTCCAATTGCCACAGAGAAAAGCGTTCCAAATTCTTCAAATGATATCTCTCAGCAAATTGGAAATGATTAAGCAGAATATTAGGTCCAGTAATTAATTCATTACAAATCATCTAAATTAAAAAATAAATTAAAAAAAAAACTTTTTTCCAAACCTCTTCCAATTCCTTAACAATTTTTTTCATTCCATGGTCACAAGCAAATATAAGACAAGAACGAATTAAATTGTTAGGTACATTGTCTCCAGTCCCATACATAAGCGCCAACAAAGGAGAGAGAACTTGCTCTAAACGAAGTTGATTATATTCCATTTCTGCTTTCAAATTGGAAGAAATTATTGGGCGAAGTTTTAATTGACCAAATTTCATTCCTACAAAATTAGAAAAAATTTTTAATCAATTTGTGAGGGTCTCTTGGAATTTTTTTAAAACATTTTTTACAAATGACTTATTGTTAGAAAAACCATCGCTTGACAGATATGTAGAAAAAGGAAGATCTAACTGATATCATTTAAAAAGCTTAAAGCGAGTGAGAAAGCAGAGTCGTCCTCTAACAAAGGAGAGTGCCTGAGGTGTCCGTGGGACTTCGGGACACTAAAGTAGTATATAATATAATATAATCTACCTGTCTACCAAATTTCATCCCGAAGTAGCACGGACACCCCAGGCACTCTGCTTTGTAAGACAATTCAGGGCACCTACTGAACGTGGTGACCAAATCGCCTAACAATGACTGACAGGAGTTTACTAGTTCAATCCCTCGCGATGGATAAACTTCTGTCTAAAACTCTTAACCTACATTTTTATTGGAAATCTAAATTTATCAAGAAAATTTACCAGATCCATCAAATCCCGCAAATTTTTCCAAACATTCATTTGCTTGTAGAATTCCAATATTCACATAAATGAACTTCTTATTATCCAATTCGATACTAGCGTTGAATGGATTACTTGCTTCGTATGGACTATCAAAACCAGGCACTGGACATTTATGTTTTTGTTCGTATAAACAGGCACGAAGAAAAGAATTGTTAACATTATTTTTATCGTTGATTGCCTTAAAAATTAAAAAAAAGAAATTTATTTTGGTATTTTTGGTATCCTCCACCATTTTCTTTTTTTTTCCTTTCCTTTTTAAAATCTAATTAAAAAAACAAACAACTCCCGGTTCAGCTGACAATCCCGACCCCTATAACTCAAGAACGAGTAGATAATTTTTAATGTTCTTGGCACTAATGGAAAACCGTTATGACCGATAACGTTCCGAAAAATCATTTTTTTGAAAATTTTAGCCTCTAGATCTTAATTTTTTATCGGTCAGTCGATCTTTGATTTTCCTTGGTATTTTAGAGTGTACTTAATTTACCATACATTGGTGCCAAGAAAGTTAAAAATTATCAAACCCTTCCTGAGTTTCTTGAGCTATAGGGTCGGGACTCAGTTGAACTGCTCCAAGTAGAAGAGAGGAAATGAAAAAAAGGAGAAATGAGGGAAGGACACCAAAATTACTTTTTCGTTTAAAATTTAAAAAGAAAACCTCAACAATTGCAGGCAAAACATAATTACAATAAATCTTTTGACCAAAACATTCACGCGCATCAAAACCTCCATTTTGCAACATTTCCCATTCGCCTGTCTTCACAACATTATAGCTAATTTGTTTAATTGCCTCGTTTAACCCCAATTTTGCAGATTTCTTGACTTTTTCAATAAAATTTAATTCATCAGAATTGCCAGCCATAAATCGACACAATTTCCAAAGAATTAATTCACAATCTAATTTTGTGGCGGCAATTGAAAGATTTTCCAAATTTGAAGAGATTGGACGTCCTGTTCGATAGATTTGATACAGAAGCTCGTAAAACTGTTCTTTGGTGATATCATGATCTTTCAAAACAATACGATTATTGAGCACTGTTCCATCATCAGACAAAACTAAATAAATTAAAAAATTTAAAAATGAAGGGAGTCTAATATCAAATGTCGAAATAGCAAAACTTCAAAATCCGCCGAAATACCAAACTAGCACATAAAAAGAAAAAACGGCTTTTGAGGGTTTAGTATATGGGCATTACAGCGGATAAAGAATATGGTGTCGAATTTCTTTTGGCTTGAAGATTTTTCTTCTCCAAAAAAGGTTCGCAAGTCCTCTAAAAAGCCCGAAAAAAGAAAAATCCTCAAAAATAACACCTTACCCTCCAATTGCAGAAATAATTTTAAAAAAAGAAAATACCCAATTTTGGCGTATACAATGCTAACAAAGCGCGATGAACCCAAGCAAAAGGCTCCGGATCATATTTAGTAACAAAAACTTCCAAATCTCCATCTTTGAACAAAGGCATTTCGCGATAATTCTTAAAAAATTTTTTAGAAAATTAAATTTTTAAGTTCCTTACTTCATTTATGTAACGCATTTCCAATTTAATAGCAAATATTTTTTGATCAATTCTCAATTCCAAAGGAGGGTCAGAACAATTTGTTGACAATTCAAACACTTCCCCCATCACCAAACGAAAAGAACCACCATATTCCGCAACATACAAACGCGCCTGAATTAGAGCTTTCCAAGAAGATGTGGGTAAACGACTGAATGGCTTGACTTCCAAAACGAGACGTTCAATGTTCTTTTTGAAAAAATAAATTTTTAAGTAAGGTAACCCTTCATTATAAGGTAACCCTCGGGGTTTAAAAAGTCGTCTCTTATAATGAGTTAACCGTAAATAGAGGGTATCACTTAGAGGTAGCACTTAGGCTCCTTGTTAGTCAACTTTCCCTCATCAGTGACCAACCCAAGATTTAAGACATCTATTAAATGGAGGTACTCTTAGAGGAGACCCCACCTTAAAATTACTGAGTAAACCTTATGTTGAGTGAAACCGCCTGTATAACAATTATACAAAACTACCTCATCATTATTAAATTTGCCATCATAACGCTCGCTTCGTTTAACAACCAAATCAACATTTTTAAGCTTAAAGCGCAGATTTTCCTTTCCAGAACTACAACATTCATTAATTCCAGTAATTACTCCCTCTTCATTTATTTGCAAAATAATTCCAACAGTGCGCACACCATCCACAGAATTCTCGATTCCAACACCAATTTTGGAGTCTTTGATCGAATCAATACTAATCAGATGCACACCTGGCCATTTTATAATCGAACTTGGAGGTAACTCATCACAAGTATAATTACTGTTGTTGAGATCCTAAAAATAGAAAGGATTAAAAATTGAAAGACCCCTGACTTTTTCTCCCTAAAAAGATTTTCCTAAAGGAAGAGGATTTCCGAAAAATTTTCCAAATTAGAAGTCAGAACCTAGCTAAACTTGAAGAAAAAGTAATCAAAAAGCCGACAAACTATAGGGGACTTCATTCCCCATCAACAATTATGAGGGAAAAATGAGGGACTTTAGTGGCCCCATTAAAAACAGAATGCCAAAGAAAAAAGAAAAATAGTTAAAAAAATTTTTCAAATATTCCTTGAAAGAAAATAAAAAATAAAACTTGCCCTATAACTGTTCGACATTACAGAAGACATTTGACAAAACAATAGAAAATACTTTGAACAAACTAACAGCTAATGAATTATATTTAAAGGCTTTTATAGTAAAATTATTTTTTTCAAAAAATCTCTTTTCTTTTTTTATCTTAAATTGAGATCACCCAATCCCATTTAGTGGCCAACTAAATTTATAAAATCGAGGTGCTTCTAATTTTGGGGATATCTAAATTCGAGATCCGACTGTTTCAGAAAATACCGTTTTGCTTAACAAATAATGTACGTAGTCAAATCTTTTTGTTGATTATTTCAACATTCGTTACTTAAATAAATTTTAGTCTGTGTTCTAGTTGTGTTAATAAATATTCTTTTCAACATAGAATCAGAATTAAGCTTTGAATTAGAGACCGGCAAAATCGAACTTCCGGAATACCGAGTTGGGATTTTTTCTTAATCGTTGCCGGGACGGGATCCCAAGGGATAAATCTCGAAACTCAAAAAAATTCGGGATTTCGGGATCCCAAAAAATCCTGTCGGGATCCCCTCCCGCGCCAGTCTCTACGTTGAATACCTAATTAAAACTTGTCTGTAAAACAGAATTAAAATCAGAATTACCACAACTATTCTCCTCTTCTACCTTTTTCCCAAATGTTTTATTTTTTAATTAATTTTTTTGCCAACTTTTTCTGAAGTTTCTTTATCTATCTTTTCTTTATTGCCCCTACGAAACATTTAAAGTTGTTTTTGTGGCTATTGTAATAGTTAGTATGTATAATGGTTAGCAATAAAGCGCGCATCTTTTCGCATAAATGTAAAAGTATACGAGAAAGAAGGATGTAACTGATCACGTTTAACTGGTTATTTTTATTTTATTTTTATTTAAAAATAAGACTAAAAATCCCCCAAAAATTCCTTCTAAATCCCCCAAAATCCTTCTAAAAATGTATTTAACACAATTAGCATCAAATCTATCCGTCTTCCTTTCAGTAGCTGCCCTAGCCTGTTGTGCATTTTTCATTCCGGCATTAATCGGGAAAATTAATAAAATTACTGAGGACTTGGAAGCTGTAAAATTTTTTTATTTAAATTTATTTTTTAAAATTGTTTTGAAGGAAATGGCGGAATTTAATAAACTTCAATCTCGAATATGGGAAAAAGCTAATTTTATAGGTGGAGAGAATAAAGGAATTGGACAAAATGAAAATATTGGCACTTTCCTTCTTGAGAAAATTAGAGTTTTTGAAATTTTTAGTACCTTTGAATAAACCCCTTTTGAAGAGACAAAGAAGACAAACAAACAATTACTCCGGTGGGGCAAGTGGAACAACTGCTGCAGGACAGTGCTCCTGCCTGGCAGAAAATAAGTGCCCTCCAGGCCCTCCTGGGCCGAAAGGGAAGCCTGGAATGGATGGGGAGGCAGGAAAACCTGGTTGGGTTAAAAGGGGTTTTTGGACGAGAAAAATTGAATGAATTAAGGAACGCCTGGCCCAACAGGTCAGCACGGCTGTAGCCCTCCTGTTATGATTCAACAAGGAGAGGTGAATTGCAGGTATTGTTAAATGATATTCTAAGAAGAAAATTAAATCTTGACAGAATGTGCCCAAACGGTCCTCCAGGTTATCCCGGTCCACCAGGCGAACGTGGCGAAGATGGAAAGCCTGGTACAGATGGGGAGCCGGGCCCTAAAGGATTGCCTGGACATCCTGGACCGCCTGGGCCGCAAGGAATACATGGAGAAGCGGGAATGCCAGGAAAAGCCGGGCCAGCGGGAAGTCCAGGTCGGAATGGTTCTACTGGTGGAAAAGGCGAAGTGGGCGCACCTGGTGAGGAAGTCGTAGTGATAAAATAAAATATCGATTAATTTAGGTACCAAAGGGCAAAAAGGTCCTCAGGGAGTTCCAGGGCATTCAGGTCCTGACGGGAAGCCGGGAATGCCTGGGGCAAGAGGACCACCTGGAAATATGGGCGAACGAGGAGATCAAGGAAAAGAAGGTATTGCAAATTTCCGAACTTTACTTACTGTTATTTAGGGCCATCCGGCAATAGTGGCGATGGGGGAGGGCCAGGAACAGATGCAAGGTAACGGATGTGACAGAATGCCAATATAATTTTAAAAAAATTTTCTATTCAAGTTATTGCCGTTGTCCGCAACGTTCTGGAAAGCTACCATATTTCTTGTGATTTTAAGCAGTATTTAGAAGTCTATGTAGAACTATTCAAAGGATATGTATTAAAAAATTTAAAATTAAAATTTCGAGTTTTAACAAGAATAAAAAATAGTTAATCCTTAAATTTCTTAATTTTTAATTTTTTTCTCGTTTTTCTGTTCCCTTAAACAATGACACACAGAAATAGAGAATTCAAAATTGCCATAATAGATGATAAAAAAGATGAAGAAATTTTGTTAGAATTTTTAGAGAAAAGAGAAATGGCCAAAAAATTTATTTTGTTGTCTGTCACTCTCTCAAAATTCCTTCTATTCTCCACACTATTTCTCCTTTTCTCTAACTTATATTTTTCTCTAATTTTTTCCGGAAAGTAAACACATAAAAAATAAATAAAAAAGAGAGGGAAGAGATAAACACAACACTGACATTGAAATAAATAAAAAAAATGAGTTCGCGTTCCACCAGCTTCCCCCCCCCCTCCCTTCTCCATTTTTTTCATCGTTTTTTAACTGCCAGCCATCGACAACTGACTATATAGTTTTTTGCCTAAAAAAATTTTTCTCTTTCTTCTCTTCAATTTTCTCTTTTTGGCAGTATTTTTGTTTACTTTTCTAATCGAACACATTTTAATGTGTTCTTCTCCCTTCTTCTACACACAAACACATATTGTTTATTTTACTACAATTTTTATAAAATCAATTTTTATGTGTATACATTTTTATTTTTTTTTGTTTAAAATGTCTGAAATTTTATTTATTTTAAATTCAAAAAGAATTAAAGACCATTTAAAAAAAAGTATTTCAAAATCTTGAAAAATTTTTTATAAAAAATTGAGAGTTGTTTGCTTCGATATAATCAAGTATTTGTCTAGTAAATAATTGATGTTTTACCTCGAATTTTAATATTAGGTAAGTAATAGAGTTTCACTGGAGGTTCCGGTTCCGGAAAGTTCCGGTGTTTTTTGGTTCCGGGAACCGGAACTCAAATTGGATCCGGTTCCGGTCAAAATATCGGTTCCGATGAAACACTAGTAAGTAAACGGTGGGGCTGACAATAATTCTTAGCTTTCCTATTTTTAGGACTTTACTAAGGGATTTTTAATGGGTTAAGCCTCAATCTAGTCGAACCTCGCTACAAGATACTCCTCGATTTAAGATACATTTTAAGGTTCATTTGCCCGTTAGGGGAAGAAAAAAACATTAAAAATTCCTACTCCAAAAATTCCTTCCTTCAAAAATCCTTCAAAATATCGCTTAAGCAATACTCTCTATTTAAGATACACTTCATTATAAGAGACGATTTTTCGGTCAAGAAATTGAGGTAAGGTCCATCCCCAAAATTTTTTTAATCGACAAATATCTCCTCTGCTATTGCCTCGCTCTAAGAGCATTAAATATAAGCATTTAGGCTTCCACCAATTATTTTCTAGGGGAATTTTTCTTTTCAATTTTTTTTTAATTTTTTCGCCATTTTACCCCAACAATTTTTTCCGTTCTCTTTTTCTTTTTTCTTTTCATCTCAAATTTTCCGTTCGCCTTTTATATCTTCCTCTCATCCTCTCCCCATTCTTCTCCTCTCTTTTCCCTTTCAATCCATTTGATGGTGGCGCTGTCCCAATCCCCCAGGGGCGTCGAGGGCAACCAACCAAGTAAAAAATGGGACTACTTTTTAGATGAAAAAGAAAAATGTATACACTTGAAATAGAACGGTGCTCAAAGTTTTTTTTAAAGAAAATAGAGGAGAGAAAAGGGAAAAGTGATAGTAGACGAATTAAGGGGTGATAGTATGGCAGAAACAAAAATAGTAGGGGGAAAATTTTTTCTCCTAAATTCTTCTCTTTCCCCCAAGTCTGCCCTCAAAACTCTAACTTAAAAAAAAGAAGAAAGGGCCAAGAAAAAAAAAGAAAAAAAAGCTTTCCCCCCACACAACCATCCTTAAAAACCTCCAAAGGTTTTGTTCCCCACACTGGGGGAGAAAAAGGGAAAGATGTTCGGAGAGACCTAGAAGGGGTGAATTTTTTAGTGAAATAAGGGGGGGCACATCTGTCAATTTCCTTTTTTTTCTTTAACAAAAAAAAAATCCCCCCCAGAATCCCTTTTTTGTTACTACATCTCTTTGTGCCTTCAATGCCTTTATGTCAATCTCCTCTTTGACTCGCGTGACATTTTATTTATTTCCTAACAAAATTTTTTTTGACGTTCTTTTTTCTTTAAGAAACTTTGTGGAATTTTTTTAAATTTTAATTGTCTCCAATTTTAATTTATTTAAAAACATCTTTTTTTGGGAGCAGGCCAACTCACCGCAGAGTCCAACTTACCGCAGAGCTTATAACTTCATTCAGAATCGTCAAATCCAGGACACCATGGTATGTTTCGATGCGCCTCGAAGAGCTGAATCGAACCATACCAGGGCGTCCCGGATTCGACAATTTTGAACGAAGTTATAAGCTCTGCGGTAAGAGGGGCTCGCGGTACGTTGGGGGTGTACCCCTTTTTTCTGTTTTTTTCATTTTTCTCTTAAATTTCCTCATTTATCCAAGCCAGCCGAACACATGAAAAAATACATATCTAATAACAATCAATGCTTATTTTTTCCATTTTTTACTCTTGAAACTGTTCGTCATTTTGTTTTTATTTGTTTTTTTTGTTTGTTTAAAAGGTTAGAGAGGCAAACAAAAAATAAAATATATACTACACTAAAAATTGATTTTTGCCTAAAATTTTTTATGAAATTTTTTTAGTTCTTCAAAAATTAAAAATAGTTCCATGCAAAATACTTTTTAAATTTTTTCAGTTCACAAATTTATTAAAAAAATTTTTTGTAGCGAAATATAAAATTTTATTTTAGTTTTTATCGATATATAGAGGAAGGAATCTCGCTAGTACGCCATCCCAGGCTGAACTGAGCCGACGTATGAATGAGAACGAGGTGTCGGGACCAGGATTAATACCTCGAGTCCGGGCGGAATCGACACGAAGGGAAGTGTCTGTTATCAGGTCCCAACTCTTTTTCCTTTGGTTCTCCAAAATTTTTCATTCATGTTATCAGGGGAGTCGTGTTAGCGGGATTCAGCTGACACAGTTAAAATAATCAAAATTTTCTTTAAAATTACGATTCTTCTCTAAAAAACTTTTATTATAAAACAGTATTTTTCAACTTTTCAGCTAATTTCAACATCCTTTTCTTCCAAAAAAATATTTTTTCAATTAGAAAAAAAGGTTAATGTTAGTGCTGAAAGACATGGGTAGTTGAGACGTGTTGATATAATCTCGGTATTTGGTTAAAAAGAATTTTCTTTTTAGCCATCCGAATTATACTCAAATTTAGACGTGTCATCTACTCTGTTTTTCGGCGTTCGCATTTAACCAAAAATTCTTCCTTCAATTTATAACATCAAAAAAGCATCAAAAAATTCCTTTTTTATTGGCTTGGCCTGTACGCCTAAAGCTGACCAGTGATTTGTTATCGCGTATTTTTTTACGTGAAATTTGTTAAATTCATATCACAGCCTGCTTTAGCGTACAATGCCCTAGTCTGTTAACAGACAAAAAAAACAACACAAAAAATTTTCTAAAATTAATTTAAATGGAAAATACGAGAAGATGAGACTGGTAATGTACAATTTGCTGCTTATTTGTTAAAATCTAGCTATTGGAATAGAAAACAATTTGCAAATTAAATTTAAAATTATTTTATTATTTTTTACAAATTAATTTAATTAAATTATTAAAAAAAAATTTTTTTTTGAATATACACATTGAGAAATCTTATAGTATTAATTTACAATTTTGATATATGTAGGTAGTTTAGGAAGCTTCCTTTACCCAATGGGCAAAAATAAAATATCGTATATCCTGTAATAACTACCCTGGTTTCAACCTTCCGCTGGAGGGAGCAATTAATCGAGGGAGGGTAATTATATGAGGTTTGAAATTTGAACGTGTTTTAGGGCATTTGTTTGGGGGTAATTATTGTTTCAATCAACGCTGGATGGGGTAATTAATAGAAGTGGACTAATTATTTGAGGGAGGGCAATTAATATACGGTTAAAGGCTTGCAATTATATGATAAGAAAGGCTGGAAACAAAAATACAGAAATTTAAACCAAATCAATATGTATATAATTAACATTTTAAGGTTAATTTACTTTTGGGAAGCTTTCATCTGTGGTAATCTAACTTTATACTCAAATCAACAGAATAATATAACTAAATGACCAAAGCTATAAACCAGGGAATTTGCCGATATACAAATAAAATTCCCGATTTTGGGAACCGGAAGCTCATTCTCTGCTATAAACACACATTGCCCTTTGATATTAGTAAATATTAAAAGTTGCCGCTTAAGAGATTTCTAAATATGTTGGAGAAAATATAAAAGAGGCTATACAATTAATTGATAAATAAAAGAAAATTGAGGGAAAAGGCGAAATATACCAATAAAATTATAGGAAAAGGCTGCTTAAATAAAATTTATAAATCATAATTACCAAGCCAACCTAAAAATTCAAAAATTTTCTCATAACCCTTTAAAAACAGAGATTGATGATTAGCTCAAAATAAATATATTTTTATATAATATTAGGCATGCTTTAATTATTTTTCTTTTTTTTTTAAATTTTAAACAAAATTATATATAGCTTTCCAGTCAAATGAACTGTTAATTTTGTGTTTACATTTTGAAAATAAATTTTCGATTACAATTTTTTTAAATTAAAAAAAATTAATTAATTAAAATTTTGTGATTTTAAACAAAAATATATTTTCTAATTTTATCCTTTGTATTGGATATTCTTTGATTTACTCAGTTCAATATTTCTCGAGGTATCTAGTGAGATTATTATGTATGACCCTCCCAGTCTCGTCTAAATAATAACATTAAACTTAGCTACAGCTAAGACTTGCCCCCATAACTAGAGATCGGACCGAAATGATATCTCAAACAAAATTGTGCTATTATATGAGAGACGTACATAATATTGAATATTTAAACTAGTAACACGGATACTGAAAATTTAATTGGGAAAATATCTAGTGATTTAGGCCTGGTTGTAATTTTTTGAAGTCAACTCGACCTGAGTAATAATTAAACATGAAACACCTTTTGTCTACCAAGGCCATAAAATTAATATAATTTTATCATTTGCATTGGATATTCTTTGAATCTAGGCCGCTTTTTGATATTCCGCCCCTTGTTTGAATCGATGTTATTATTTTCTTCTACATGGCAATCATTTATCTTACCCATAAAATGCTTCTCTTAAGTAAACGAATTGCCCGATAAAAAAAATAAAATATACATAAATTATTATTCAAAGAAAATATCAAGCCAAAAAAGAGGGCGGGGATTATTTTTACTGAAAAAAATAATTTTTTAATACATTATATAAAAGTTTTGGCAGAAAGTGTCGGAAAAATTAAAGCTCTTTACATAGTTGAGATAATGGGCTGAAAGTTTTACATGTCCGGGGTCAAATTTTATGCCGCATCTGGGAAAAATACGGACGGAAGATTTTGGTACCCCCTTGGCACCTAAATAATATAGGTGCCGGGGCTATCTCCGGAATGGGTGGGGTTAGCGGAAAATTTCTGCTGGGAGGGCACTGAAGCATCAATAGACGATGTCGAATGCAAAAAACTCAAAGTCGAAATTCGAATTTGAAGGGTACTTATGCTTGACACAAAATTCAGACATTTCCTGTGAATTGTCGGGTGTGTCGGGATTTAAAATTTGACTTTTTTGGAAATAACTCGGAAACGGATAAAGTTACCGAAAAACTTCTGCTGGTAGGATTTTAAGTTGGGATATGTAGATATAGGTAGGAAAAATTTCAAATTTGAAATTCGAACTTTAGGGGTACTTATGCTTGACACAAAATTCTGGTAAGAAAACTGTCTTACCGATAATTGTCGGATTTCTCTAAAGTGAGGAAATTCTGGGGGCAAATCTCATAGGTGAGAGAGAAATTTTGATTGATAGAGGAGAAATTGGAAGCAGAAGCAAGGGTAAACTTGAAGCAGAAGCAAGTTTCAAGTTTAAGTGGGGGAAGTTAAAGCAAATGGGGGAAATTCGAAGCAAGGTCGAAATTAGGGATCCGAGATTTGGGATTTTTAGGGATCTTTGAATATGGTCGAATGAGTAGTCATTCGAAAGCGGATAATGAGGGGAGTTGTATGGGATAAATGATAAGCCTCAAGTCGAAGTTCGAACTTCGAAATCCGGGTTTTTCGGGATTTACGGATATGGGTGAGTGGGTATTCGTTCAAGAGGGGATGATCAGGGGAGTTTTGGGGGGATAAATGAGAAATTCAAAAGTCGAAGTTCGGAGTTCGAACTTCGAAATCCGGTATTTTCGAGATTTGTGGATATGGGTGAGTGGGTAATCATTCAATAGGGGATGATCAGGGGAGTTCGGGGGATAAAGGAGAAATTCGAAAGTCGAAGTTCGGAGTTCGAACTTCAAAATCCGGTATTTTCGGAGGTTGTTGATATGGGCAAGTGGGTAGTCATTCAAGAGCTGGGAGTGAGGGGAGTATAATGGGATAAATGATAAAGCCGCAAGTCGAAGTTCGGAGTTCGAACTTCAAAATCCGGAATTTTCAGGATTGGTAAATGTGGTCGAATGGGTACTCATTCAAGAGGGGATGATGAGGGGAGCTAAATGAGATAAAGGATAAGTACGAAAGTCGAAGTTCGAAGTCGAACTTCGAAATCCTGGATTTCCGGGAGAGAGAAGTATGGTCGAATGAGTACTCTTTCAAGAGGGGATAATTAGTGGAGCTTAGTGGGATAAAGGATCAAGCCAAAAGTCGAAGTTCAGAGTTCGAACTTCGAAATCCGGGATTTTCGGTATTGGGAAGTATGGGTGAGTGGGTAGTCATTCAAGAGGGGATGATCAGGGGAGTCGAATGGGATAAAATATTAAGTCGAAAGTCGAAGTTCGGAGTTCGAACTTCGAAATCCGTGATTTTCGGGATTGGAGATTTAAGTGGATATGGGTGAATGAGTACTCTTTTAAGAGGGGATAATGAGGGGAGATCAATGGGTTTACTAATAATTTCGAATTTCGAAGTTTTTAATAAGGTATTCCCGATTTGAGTCTGAGATTGAAATGGTTTTTAGACTCTAACTTTGTTAAAAAATTTTTAGGATTTTTCCGACAACGGATTCGTACTCAACGGGTATGAATACACTATAAAACACGTTTTTTGTGTCAAAATTTAAAATTTTTTACCCCCCGAATTTTTCCAAAGGGGTACTCTTCTGAAAAATATTCGTAAATTTTTAAAAAATCATATCTATTTAAGGGATTGAAATTTTTGCTTGGAAATTACTTTATAAAATAGAACTAAAAATTAGAAATTTTTTGAGGTAAAAAAATTTCGAAAAAATTGCAAAATGACCATGTAGGGGTCAATTTTCGAAAAAAACCTAAATTTTATGGTTTTTTGAAAATTTTTCGGGATTTTTGCCGGTGGTTTGAGACGAATGTATTTTTCCTTGATAGATAAGAATTTTCTGCATCGGATAGGATTTTAAAATTTTCAAAAAAGGTTTATTTTCAAAAAGTTATGATTTTTTGAAAATTTTAGTGATTTTTTCCGGCAGAAATTTCCGGCCAAAAAATATTTTTTCCAAAATGGATATAAATATGCCAAATGATATATTATTCGAAAGCTCTCATCGAGCTGGATATAAAAATATTTTTTTTCGAAATTTTTCGGTATATTTTGACGAAAGTGCCGAGGTTAGAAAATTTGTAAGGGTGAGTACCGTACCCGGAGAATGATGGGAGCAAGGGAGGAAAAATGATTGACAGGTGAAGGTGATGGCAGAGAGGAGAAATTTTTCTCCGTCTCTGACCATGCGGGGCAATCCGTAGAAGAGTTTAAAGGTGAATTTTGTATAGTGGGGAAAATTTTGTGGGGGTGTAGAGAAATGGCCTAATTTCTCTAATTATAAACAAAAAAACACCTCTTTTTTCAATCAAATTTTATCTAGGTCACGAATATAAATTATATTAAGGCAAAAGTAGGAAAAGCTGCTAATGTAAAGCAAAAGTGAGAATTAATGTTTACGAAGAACATATAAAAGTGAAGTTCAGGAAGAAAGAACACAAACTAATTTTATAGGTTTAAGGCCAAACATTAAGTATGTTAGGAAAACAAAGAATGTATGGGAAAATTATATAGATTATGTTTTAGATAAAGGAGACAAAAATAAATTGAATTAAAAATAAAAGTTTAGTTAAAGAATTTTCGCGTTTCGCGACATTCCGGCCAGGGCATTCCTATCGGTAGTGTTGACGGCTGCAGCATGGGGCATCGTGGTTGTTACGGTTGACGTTGATCATATTCAAAGGCGTTGGAGGGTGACGCATTACAAAGTTTATACGGGAGAGCGGGATGGGTCCAATTCGTTGATGCACTGGCAGGTAGGGGTGGATGCGGACAGTCCAAGGTTGAGCATACATGTTCGGGTGAGTTGACATGCGGGAAAAAATTGAGGGGCGATTTGTAAAAGTTGGTTCGACATTTAAGTTTACCTGCACGGGAATATCCTTCGGGATGGTTTCAGCAATTTTCAAATTTGTTGGAGTTGGAATTAATGTCGTTGCCAGGGAAGTATGTTGTTGGAATCGGAATGCCGCGACCATTTCAACAGTTTCAGAAGGCAGGGAGGAGCAAATAACAGGTTGATTAATGGTGTTGTCAATAGGAGGATCGGGAGTTGATTCATTATTGTTGTTGGGGCTTTCAGGAGTAAGTGGTTCGAATAAGTTGTCGGTTGGATCCATTTTCTTGACGGGAGAAGGTTTTTTAGGTAAAAGGCTTAGATGTTTAAGAATAGGAATAATTTCTTTATCGGTTAGAGGGGCTCGGGTATGTCTGGGCATGTATCTAAATTGAAGTAATTAAAGAGATGAGGAAGGTCGGTCTAAAATGCTCGAAGGCGGATGGGAGTGAGAGGGATTACTGGTAAGTTCGATATTTGGAAAAAGGGAGGCAGTAGTGGAGCGGTTAAGTAAGCGCTTTCGATTAGACCACAAATTCGTTAGGAGAATTAGGAGGAGGAGAAAGGTAGTAACGATACTGCAAAGGATTACTGCCGAGAGTTCTGGTTCTTCCAAAAGGTAATTTCCGAGTAAGTCTAAACCAAAATAAAAGGCTGCCGTGGAAAGGAGAGAGGCAGAAGTGACGGCCAGGGACTTAGTGAGTTTTCGGAAATTGGCCTTAGGTTTAAAGTTAGCGTGTTTAATAGGGGAGTACGAGTTTGATTTTTTCAAAGAGAGGGGTAGGCTTTCAGTAGTAGTTAAAAAGAGGCAAATCAGGAGGGCTATTACAGCTATAGTATGGCGAGTTCGAACTCGTATAAGGCACCGGGAGCGGATAGTATAAATCAGAAATGTGGCGGTGGCAATCAGTAAAATCAGTAGTATTAGGATAAACGACAAAAATCCGTAGTCGAAAGTTTCTTTTTTAGGTTGGTAATTAAATTCAAGGCCTACTGCCAAAATATTTCCCATAGAAATTCAAATAAAATAATTCTGAAATTAGGATAAGGTAAGTTATTAAAAGGAATTAGGTTAAATGGCTAAATGAAAATAAAACAAAAATATTTGGGAAATAAATTAAAAATGTTAAAAATTAATGAGGTATATTGCGAAGCACGCTCCCCCAGGAAAATTCAGTGTTTGGGGATCTTTCTGTTTCTTAATTCCAGGTAATGATAGTTCTCAACTGTTGGATTGTTCAAAGGGTTTGGTATTTTATTAGTCTCAATTATGGGCGGGATGTTTGGTTCTTTCTCTTCAAACGTTTCCAAAGGAATAAGATGTTTTACGGAACGAGTGGTTATATGTCCTGATAACATCTTTATTTTAGCCGTGCTTGGGAAATCGGAAGTGTTTGTATAAATTTCTAAGATGGTCGCTAACGGCCAGAGAGAGATGGGACTAACATCGTTGTAAACAATAACTAACTCTCCTTCTTTGGGAAAACGAGTAGGGGACCTTTGATTTTTATGTTTCTCTCTCAAAGAAAGGATATAGTCTGAAGTCCATTGGGTTTTAAATCGGCCAATATTTCTTTGTATGGCTTTCCAAAGTATGGTGAGTGTTCTTTGGTTGCTGGAAGGTGGTAGGAGAGAGTTTGTGATTGGTTTTTCTAAGAGCTGGGAATGCTCGTGATCAAGAGGTTTTAAAAAGTCAATCGGTCGTAAGGGACGGGGATCGGCAGGATTGGATGAATCATAGGCAATAGGCCGGGAATTAATTATTGTTTCAATTTCGGCAAGTACTGTTGTTATATGGTCGAGGGAAAATAATTTAGGAATAGCTCCAATAGAAAGGGAGCGTCGTAAATGGTATTTTATTAGGGCCACTAAACGTTCGTAGTGCCCGGATTTCCACGCTGCTAGTGGTGCTCTGAAGTCCCATTCAATATTCTTTATGCCGAATTGTGGCTCTAAAGCTTTTTGGAAAGAAGTAAATGTTGGTGCGTTGTCAGAAAATAATTTTTTAGGTAGTCCACATTTAGCAACAAATCGTCGGAAAGCCAACAAAAAGGATTGATTGGTTAGGTCGGGCACTAAATCGAGAGAGAGAGCACGGGAAGAAAGGCAAACCCATAGGACTATCCAATATTTTTTGGTGAGTGGCTTCCTTTTTCTCTCGGTTTGGTTTTGGTCAAATATTTTTAAAGGGCCGCAGTAATCAACCCCCACAGAAAGGAAAGGGCGCAATAATTCCACTCTTTCGGAAGGTAGTGGCGGGAAGGGAGGTGGGTCAAATGGTTTGGCAACGAACCGACAGCAAGGTAGACAGGATTTATAAATAACTTGGGACACGATTTTTCTCCCTTTCGGTAGCCAATACTTCCTTCTGATCATAGAGAGAGTTAATAGTGGGCTGGAATGGTGATTCAATAGGTGATATTCATAAACAATTAATTTAGTAAGGGGGGAATGGGATGGAAGGTAAATTGGTTCAATCGTATCATCGGGAAGGTTACTGTGGCCTAGCCTGCCTTTGGCTCTCAAAATTCCATCGTTGTCGAGAAAAAGTCCCAATGATTCGTTGTCTTTATCTGGTGGAGGTAGTATTTGTTGTTCTTGTTTAATTAATAGGGTTTTTGCCAGATAAATTTCAAAATATGCAGGAAAAATTCGGTTGTAGTCAATATTGAATTGTTGAGGAAAAATTTTAGCTTTTGGACATAATTTGTGTATAAATCGGAGGGAAAAGGCAAAAATCCGTAATAATTTCGGGAGTCTTGAGATTAAAGAAGGGTCTATTGTTCGGGTATTTAATTCGGTCTGGGTATGGAACGTCATGGCGATATTCGGAGAAGACGATTTTGGCGGGTCATTGGAAAGGAAAGGCCTAATTTCGGTTTGAGGCCAGGATTCAGTTGCCAACCAAGGAGGTCCATTCCACCAGACTTTTTGTTGTTGTAATTGTTGGGAATTAATTAATCCACGGGAGCAAATGTCGGCCGGATTATCGAGGCCCGCAACATGTTGTACCATTAAATCGGGAATTCTTCTTATGTGGTTCAGGCAATTTGAAACAAAAATTTCATTGGTAGGGTTTTTTCCGGTTAACCACCCTAAAACAGCCGAGGAGTCGATCCAGAGGAAAAGAGGTACAGTAATATTCAGGTGGGACAATTCTTTGGAAACGTAAACCAAGGCATTTGTTCCTATTTTTGCCGCTATTAATTCCAGCCTGGGCACCGTTAATTTATTGTTGGATTTCAAGGGTTTAATTTTGGTTTTGGAAAATAGTAACGAGACCTGGGAAATTTTGGAAATAGGATTTAACGTACGTAAATACACGGCACATCCCATTGCGGTGAGAGAAGCATCGGAGAAGCAGTGTAGTTGGTAAATTCGGTTGTCAACAGGTAACGTTGAAATTAGTCGGGGAATTTGTACAATTCCAATTTGCCAGTCATTAATTAAGTTGTTCCAGGTTTTAATTAATTTTTCAGGTAGTTTCTCGTCCCATGCGAGTTTTTCAGACCATAATTCGTGCAGGAATAATTTCAAAGGTAAGATAATAGGACTAATATAGCCGCAGGGGTCGTAGTGGGAAGCAATAAAAGAGAGAATAGTTCTTTTCGATAATTCGGTAGGAGGGGTATGGGCCTCCACAAATAGGTAATCAGTATCGGTTTGCCATCCAACGCCAAGAAATTTCTGTTTTGGACCATTGAGTTTGTCTTCAAGGGGGATATGGTCAATAGTTTCGGGAATGTTGGAAATAAATTCACGTAGCTTCATGTTGGCAGTGGAAAAAAGTTTAATTAACGAGTCACATTTTTCTTTGGCCTCTAGGACAGTTTCAGCTCCAAACAAAATGTTGTCTACATAAATATTTGGTAGTATTTCTTCAGTTAATTTTGATGGATTTAGTCGTAAATGGTATAAAATAGTAGCTGCCAGTAAAAATGGGGAAGGGGAAAGGCCAAATGGTACTCGGGTAAATCGGTAAATTTGTAAGTTTTCTAGGGATAACGGTTCTTGGATTTTCTTTAACCACAAAAATCGAATCGAGTCTCGATGGTTTGGATGCACTGAGACTTGTAGGAAGGCTTTTTGGATATCACACACAATTACTATTTTTGGAATTCGCATTCGGAGGAGAACACCTACAAGTTCCGGTAAAATTACGGGTCCAGGATGAGGGCAGTCATTGAGGGAAAATGAATTAGGAAGTTTTGCGGACCCATCATAAACAATGCGGACTTTTTTGGGATTTATAACCGCATGGTGGGGTAGGTAATGTAACGGAGGATGGAAATTCTTGGGATTTTCAACCGTTTCGATAATTCCCAGTTGGTGTTGCTCTTCAATAATTTTGTTGTATTTTTCCAATAAGTCGTTGTTTTTATTTAGTGAATTCAATGTTGAACGTAATCTTCCCCAACATAATCCAAAATTTGAGGGAAGGGGTAAAGTTTTAGGGCAGGATTTAAAGGGGAACATTACTTGGTATCGCCCGTTGGTAAATTCGGTAGTTCGGTTAAATTCTTGTAGGACCGAGTCGTCAGCCTTGGTCGGGGAGGGATCGGTAATGCCTATACTTTCGAGGGTGAAAAATTCATTAGGAGGTTCTGTGACGGTTGTTTGGGAAGAGAAATTGGTAATCTGAAGGGAATTTGAGCATCCGAAAGGCTTTCCAGCAATTATAAGACCAAGAAGTGTCTGTATTAGGTGGTAGCCGGAGGGTAATCGGTATATTGGTGTGGGCTCTATTTCATAGTAAAAGTCACTTCCCAACAGGATGCTTGGAACAATATTCTGGTAATTTCGAACAAGATCCTTTTCATAGACAAGTTCATTAGAAAATGGTACATAAGGCGTGGGCTGGGTAAGGTGGTTCAAAGTGTTGGCTTTTATGATTAAGGAACGGCCATCAACCAATTTAAGACCGAAGGTGGTGGTATATGTAGGTAGAGCAGTAATGGAAGGGTTATTAAAGACCCCAAGGTTAATAGAGCTGGGAGATAGATTTAGATTTAAGGCATTGGCTACGGTGGTATGAATGTAGGTATTAGTACTGGCATCATCGAGAAGCACAATTCCTTCATATTGACAGGAAGGGAAGTCTGGATTAAAAATCGTGGTTCGAACACATTTTAGCAAAATTGGTCGGTAATTGCTTGTAGGGTTAGTAGAAGAGTTTGTTTGTTGATTGGGTTCTAAGTTAGGTGGAGGAGGTGGATGGTAGTCATTAATTTGAGTGTAAGGTGCGGATTGAGAGAAATGGCAATCGGGCGTTGGCTTGGGCTGTTGGAAATTTGGCAGTCTCGTGGGATGTTGGTATTGGCGAGGGTTTTCGTTTCCAGTATTACGGTAGGTGTGCGGAGGTCGTTGGGGAGGCCTTGGTATAAATTGAGATTGGGAGGATAGCAGGTGAGGGCAAAGGGCCCGAGGGTGAGGGCCACCGCAGGAGGAACATTTCATGGGCCGTTGGCATTGAGGGGTGGTGTGGCCTTCCTTCATACAACTAAAACACCGCCGTAATTCTTTCAGTTTGTTTCGGCGGGAATAAAGGTCGGGATACTGTTGACAAGACGGGGAGAAATGCCCAAAGGCGTTACAGAATAGGCAGGGGAGCTTGGGCTCTACGGCATTCGATCGCCGGGTTGTTTGAGTATTAAAGGTTAGAGAGGAACGAGGGCCCGGAGGAGAGTTATTTCTAGGGGGATAAAATTTATGAGGAGAAACTTGCGGTTTTGGCGGGGAGCTGTTGTTCATTGCAGAGATGTCTTCTTTTCTTTTTAGTATGGCCTTCAATTTTTGCTTTAATAGTTCTGTTGACCAAACTGGATTATTTTCTTTAGCTCTGTAGATTTCTTCTAATACAAAAGTCGGTAGTTTGGATTCTATTTCTAATTGAATATGTATGTTGTCTGTATTCTCTCCTTGTTGAGTAAATCGACAGATTAGGCTTTCAAATTCATTAACTAAGGAAGATAAATCACGGCAAAAATATTCGCCTTTTCTAACTGTTGGAAGTTGTTTCAGGGATTGGCATAATGAACGGGAAATTTCAGTGGGGTTTTCGTATTTCTGTTTCAGCAGGTCAACGGCCTGAGGGTAGGATTGGTCCACAAGAGGGAAAGATTCAATAATGGCTAAAGGAGCCGAACGGAGGCAGGATTTGAGATAGGAAAGTTTTACAGAGTCGGATATGTTCGGTAAATCTCCGACTGCTGCCTGGAAGGAGGACCAAAAAGACGGGAATTCAACGCAGTTCCCGGAAAATTGCGGTAAGGCCATTCGTGGTAAGTGGGCCAAAGAGGTAGAGGTAGTATTAGCAGTAGGAGGTGGGGTATTGGAACTATTGCCGGGTAAAATAGCGGTTAGTTCATTCTTCTGGGCAGTCAGTGATCGGACGTATTTTTTGAGTTTTCCAATAAGAGAAGGGTAAGGGCAGGTTTTCGTAAATTCCTCATAGACTTCATTGTCGTGGGTACGTTCGGGACCAGTCATTTTTGCTCGAAGGTCCATCCATTGGTCATGGGTAGTAGAAAGGTCGGCCAGGTTATCGGAGGCCTCGGAGAGGGTAAAATCCAATTCTCGAAGGTAGGCACGGATCTGGGAGAAGTATATATGATCGGATTGTCCCTGGTTTCGCAGAGGGACGGGAAAAGTCTTATTGGCTTCCAAAATTTCCGTAATTTCCGGATATAAGTTTTTAATCTGGTTTCTAAGTGGGAGAGACATTTTTCAGGTAGAATAATAGTAAAGAGCAAAATAAATTTCCAAATATATGTAGGAATCAGTCAGACCAATAATAAATATAAATAAACAGGAAAAACAAATAAGGAGTAATAAATTCAAAACAGAGTAAAAATAACGAACAGGTAAAGTTCGGATCTGGGTAAGACTGTAGAGAAATGGCCTAATTTCTCTAATTATAAACAAAAAAACACCTCTTTTTTCAATCAAATTTTATCTAGGTCACGAATATAAATTATATTAAGGCAAAAGTAGGAAAAGCTGCTAATGTAAAGCAAAAGTGAGAATTAATGTTTACGAAGAACATATAAAAGTGAAGTTCAGGAAGAAAGAACACAAACTAATTTTATAGGTTTAAGGCCAAACATTAAGTATGTTAGGAAAACAAAGAATGTATGGGAAAATTATATAGATTATGTTTTAGATAAAGGAGACAAAAATAAATTGAATTAAAAATAAAAGTTTAGTTAAAGAATTTTCGCGTTAGGAAAACAAAGATCTCTAATTATAAACAAAAAACACCTCTTTTTTCAATCAAATTTTATTTAGTTCACAAATATAAATTATATTAAGGCAAAAGTAGGAAAAGCTGCTAATGTAAAGCAAAAGTGAGAATTAATGTTTACGAAGAACATATAAAAGTGAAGTTCAGGAAGAAAGAACACAAACTAATTTTATAGGTTTAAGGCCAAACATTAAGTATGTTAGGAAAACAAAGAATGTATGGGACAATTATATAGATTATGTTTTAGATAAAGGAGACAAAAATAAATTGAATTAAAAATAAAAGTTTAGTTAAAGAATTTTCGCGTTTCGCGACAGGGGGATAAGCTGGATCCTGTTATGGATCCGAGGCAGAAGCATGCTTCTGCTTCATATTTTTGCTTCAAGTTTTGAAATTCAAAACATGAAGCAAATTTGCTTCATGTTTTGAAGTTTTGATTCTTGAAGCATATTTGCTTCGAGTTTGAATTTTTGAAACTTGAAGCAAATTTGCTTCCGTTTTTGAAATTTGTGAAACTTGAGCAAATTTGCTTCAAGTCTTTAATTTTTGATTTTAGAAGCAATTTTGCTTCAGCTTTTAAAATTTTGATTTGTGAGTGGATTTTGTTGGAATAGGGTCGTTATAGGAAACATGATCGTTATAGGAATAGGATCATGTTACGAGCCCAGAACCCAACGACCTTTGACGACCCGCGAGGCGCGTGCCGCAAAACCCCGCGCGAAGCGCGGGGTTTTGCACAAGCGCCTCGCCTACGCTCCATAGGTTTAGATTGACCATTTTTAATCAAAAAGGAGTCGCGAGGGCCGAAGGCCCGAGCTGACACCCATCTAATAGGGAGGGCGAGGGTGGAAGGATGAGTCTAAGTGGAAGGATGAGTCCCAACTGAGGAAAGACAAGGGCCGAAGGCCCGAGCTGACACCCATCTAAAAGGGAAGGCGAGGGCCGAAGGCCCGAGCTGACAGACATCTAAAAGGGAGGGCGAGGGCCGAAGGCCCGAGCTGACACCCATCTAAAAGGGAGGGCGAGGGCCGAAGGCCCGAGCTGACACCCATCTAAAAGGAAGGGCGAGGGTCGAATGCCCGAGCTGTTAACATCTAAAAGGAAGGGCGAGGGCCGAAGGCCCGAGTTGACACCCATCTAAAAGGAAGGGCGAGGGCCGAAGGCCCGAGCTGACACCCATCTAAAAGGAGTCGCGAGGGCCGAAGGCCCGAGCTGACACCCATCTAAAAGGGAAGGCGAGGGCCGAAGGCCCGAGCTGACAGACATCTAAAAGGGAGGGCGAGGGCCGAAGGCCCGAGCTGACACCCATCTAAAAGGGAGGGCGAGGGCCGAAGGCCCGAGCTGACACCCATCTAAAAGGAAGGGCGAGGGTCGAATGCCCGAGCTGTTAACATCTAAAAGGGAGAACGAGGGCCGAAGGCCCTAGATAAACACCCATCTAAAAGGAAGGGCGAGGGCCGAAGGCCCGAGCTGACACCCATCTAAAAGGAAGGGCGAGGGAAGCAAATTTGGCTTCGCCTCGCCTACGCTCCATAGGTTTAGATTGACCATTTTTAATCAAAAAGGAGTCGCGAGGGCCGAAGGCCCGAGCTGACACCCATCTAATAGGGAGGGCGAGGGTGGAAGGATGAGTCTAAGTGGAAGGATGAGTCCCAACTGAGGAAAGACGAGGGCCGAAGGCCCGAGCTGACACCCATCTAAAAGGGAAGGCGAGGGCCGAAGGCCCGAGCTGACAGACATCTAAAAGGGAGGGCGAGGGCCGAAGGCCCGAGCTGACACCCATCTAAAAGGGAGGGCGAGGGCCGAAGGCCCGAGCTGACACCCATCTAAAAGGAAGGGCGAGGGTCGAATGCCCGAGCTGTTAACATCTAAAAGGAAGGGCGAGGGCCGAAGGCCCGAGTTGACACCCATCTAAAAGGAAGGGCGAGGGCCGAAGGCCCGAGCTGACACCCATCTAAAAGGAGTCGCGAGGGCCGAAGGCCCGAGCTGACACCCATCTAAAAGGGAAGGCGAGGGCCGAAGGCCCGAGCTGACAGACATCTAAAAGGGAGGGCGAGGGCCGAAGGCCCGAGCTGACACCCATCTAAAAGGGAGGGCGAGGGCCGAAGGCCCGAGCTGACACCCATCTAAAAGGAAGGGCGAGGGTCGAATGCCCGAGCTGTTAACATCTAAAAGGGAGAACGAGGGCCGAAGGCCCTAGATAAACACCCATCTAAAAGGAAGGGCGAGGGCCGAAGGCCCGAGCTGACACCCATCTAAAAGGAAGGGCGAGGGAAGCAAATTTGGCTTCGAAATTTTGTTCTACTTGAAAGGATGAGTCCAATCGAGAGGAAACCGAGGGCCGAAGGCCCGACGTGACCTACTTGAAAGGATGAGTCCAATCGAGGGGAAGACGAGGGCCAAAGGCCCGAAGTGACTCTAAGAGGAAGGATGAGTCCGAATAAAGGAATGACGGGTCTAAGTGGAAGGATGAGTCCGAAGTGACTCTAAGTGAAAGGATGAGTCTGAATAAAGGAAAGACAAGGGTCTAAGTGGAAGGATGAGTCCGAAGTGACTCTAAGTGAAAGGATGAGTCTGAATAAAGGAAAGACAAGGGTCTAAGTGGAAGGATGAGTCCGAATAAAGAAAAGACAAGGGTCTAAGTGGAAGGATGAGTCCGAAGTGACTCTAAGTGAAAGGATGAGTCTGAATAAAGGAAAGACAAGGGTCTAAGTGGAAGGATGAGTCCGAAGTGACTCTAAGTGAAAGGATGAGTCTGAATAAAGGAAAGACAAGGGTCTAAGTGGAAGGATGAGTCCGAAGTGACTCTAAGTGAAAGGATGAGTCTGAATAAAGGAAAGACAAGGGTCTAAGTGGAAGGATGAGTCCGAATAAAGAAAAGACAAGGGTCTATGTGGAAGGATGAGTCCGAAGTGACTCTAAGTGAAAGGATGAGCCCGAAGTGGCTCTGAGTAGAAGGATGAGTCCCAACAGAAGAAAGATGAGTGCCGAAGGCCCGAAGTGGCTCTAAGTGGAAGGATGAGTCCTAACGTGGAAAAGACGAGGGTCGAACACCCATCTAAAACGGAGACTACTTGAAAGGATGAGCCGAAGGCCCGAGCTGACACCCATCTAAAAGAGAGGGCGAGGGTGAAAGGATGAGTTCAAATGGAGGAAAGACGAGGGCCGAAGTCCCGAAGAGACTCTAACTGGAAGGATGAGTCCAATCGAGGGGAAGACGAGGGCCGAAGGCCCGAAGTGACTCTCTTTACGTTGATCATTTTTAATCTAAAAGGAGTCGCGAGGTGTGACTCTAACTGGAAGGATGAGCTGACACCCATCTAAAAGGGAGGGCGAGGGCCGAAGGCCCGAGCTGACACAAATCTAAAATAGAGGGCGAGGGCCCGAACCCATCTAAAAGGGAGGGCGAGGGCCGAAGGCCCGAGCTGACACACATCTAAAAGGAAGGGCGAGGGCCGAAGGCCCGAGCTGACACCCATCTAAAAGAGAGGGCGAGGGTGAAAGGATGAGTTCAAATGGAGGAAAGACGAGGGCCGAAGTCCCGAAGTGACTCTAAGTGGAAGGATGAGTCCAAACAGAGGGAACACGAGGGCCGAAGGCCCAAAGTGACTCTAACTGGAAGGATGAGTCCAAACAGAGGGAACACGAGGGCCGAAGGCCCGAAGTGACTCTAAGTGGAAGGATGAGTCCCAACTGAGAAAACACGAGGGCCGAAGGCCCGAAGTGACTCTAAGTGGAAGGATGAGTCCCAATGAAGGCTAATCTTTTGTTCCAGGCATAAAAAATCGCTAGCGGCGCGCGAAGCGCGCCCCCAAAGCCGTTAGGCTTTCGAACGGGCAGAGCCAAATTTAAACCAAGAGCAAAATTTTACTGCCAGTGTCCTGATATCCACCGCAGTGGCCAAACCCATCGCTAGTTATTAAGAGAAAAATAACAAAATTTCTCAACTAAAAATAATGTACGTATATCTTTTATTAATAAAATTGGAAGAATACTTAAAATTAAAATTAAATTTTAAAAATTATTTTTATTTAGGTATTTAATATTTACAACAAAATTTTTTAAAATTTATTTATTTAAATGATTGGTGTATTTTGATACTACGGGCAGGTAATTAAAATAAAAATTAAAAAATTAAAACTAGATTGATTTACTCTCTCAAATTAAAGTTAGATCCTTCCAAATAGTCTGATCTCAATACTACCTAGCAAGGACGATTCGGTATCAAGACCATATTTTGGGCCATAACTTTCTTAATTTGCCTGATTCGAGTAGTTCTCATATCATTCGAAAGGTCTTGAGATGCGGCATTTATTTAATATTGAAATTCTACTGAAAATTCTACAGAAAATTAGAGCCAAATAAAGTCGAAAATCTCTAATGTCTCTTCTGAGACTTGAAAAAATTTATTTCCTTACCAAATATTATCATATGGGACTCTAATGTCTCTTCTGAGACCTGAAAAAATTTATTTCCTTACCAAATATTATCATATGGGACTCTAATGTCTCTTCTGAGACCTGAAAAAATTTATTTCCTTACCAAATATTATCATATGGGACTCTAATGTCTCTTCTGAGACCTGAAAAAATTTATTTCCTTACCAAATATTATCATATGGGACTCTAATGTCTCTTCTGAGACCTGAAAAAATTTATTTCCTTACCAAATATTATCATATGGGACTCTAATGTCTCTTCTGAGACCTGAAAAAATTTATTTCCTTACCAAATATTATCATATGGGACTCTAATGTCTCTTCTGAGACCTGAAAAAATTTATTTCCTTACCAAATATTATCATATGGGACTCTAATGTCTCTTCTGAGACCTGAAAAAATTTATTTCCTTACCAAATATTATCATATGGGACTCTAATGTCTCTTCTGAGACCTGAAAAAATTTATTTCCTTACCAAATATTATCATATGGGACTTTAATGTCTCTTCTGAGACTTGAAAAAATTTATTTCCTTACCAAATATTATCATATGGGAGTAGTTACCCTCCAATAACCGTATCAAAGGGAAATGCCGCCAACCTATAGGAGGGGTGTCGGGGGAGGGGTCTGGGGGAGGGGTCCGACAAAAACCAAAGGGCATAAGGGGGTTTTGTCGGCTTTTTCTTTTGATCTTTTTGATGACCCTCTTTGATTTACCGACCGGGTAATAAATTATTAATCGGGGGGAGGGGTCTGAACTAATTTGTACCTCATAAATCATTTTAAGGGGAGGGGTCCACCCCTATTAACGCGAACCTGTTGACAAGTGCGGGAGGGGTAAGGGAACTAATTAGTGACTAATTGGTTTGGGGGTTGGGTGTAAGAGGAAACCAATTTGTTTTACAAATTGGTTTGGGGGAGGGGGTAATAAAAATTTTATTACCAAGAGGTGTTAATTGATTGACTAATTGGTTTAGGGGTTGGGTGTAAGGGGAACTAATTAGTGCTGGGTGTAAGAGGAAATCAATTAGTTGACTAATTGATTTGGGGGAGGGGGAAGGGTGAAAACAATTTGTTTTACAAATTGGTCTGGGGAGGGGGTCAAGGGAATCTAAGCTGCTAATTGCTTGACAAATTGGTCGGGGTTGCGGGGTTGGGTGTAAAAGAAACCAATTTGTTTTACTAATTGGTGTGGGGAGGGGGCGGGAAGGGTCCACCGTATCAAAGAAAGCCGCCACTCCTTTGATTGATGACAAAGGAAATGCCGCCGAGTCTGACGAGAAGAATCGAGGGGAACCAATTGACTAATTGGTTTGGGGAAAGGGTAAGGAGAAATTTTTATTTCTGAGTTACGTAATCAGTTGGGTGATCTCAGGGGTGTTGATCTTTTGGGTTTAACTTCCTTTTCCCTTTATTTTTCTTCATTTTTATAGGAAAAATTGAGATTTTTTGGAAAAATATGGTACTTTTGTAAAATGTCATAAAAATTTTTCTAGGACCTAACTTAAAAAACTGACCGGTCATTTCTAGATAATTCTTTGCTCTATCAGATGGAAAAGACCGCATCTGTTTATCTTTTTGGGTCCCGATTTTATTAAGCAAAATGTCCAAATTTTTTATTTAGCAAAATTTTATTAATCAACATTTAAATTTTACAATGAAAATTTTCAATTTTTTCTTAAATTAATGCCTTTTTACACCCTTCATTCTGCTTTTCGTTTGCTTCCTATCTTTTTGTATGGTGCCAAAACATCTGTAGCAGTGCTATTTGCTTTGACACAGTTATTGCATAATCCTATCTTCACAGTAACACAAGAAGGATTCTCTTCAAATTTGTCTTTTGAATAAAATAATTTGTTTTGGCAGTCTAAAAATTTAATTTTTGAATAGAATATTAAATTTTATTACCTTGACACAGATAGAATGTAATTAAGAATTTTCCGCGTATTAGTTTCCAAAGAAGTTGTTTTTTAACAACTTGCTCTTCAACAATTTTTATTTTATTTAGATCCACAGGAGGATTAGTAATAGTTGACTCTTAAAAATATGGTAATAATTATTTTATTATTAAACCTAAAGAGCTTTTTGATTCCTTCTTTTTTTCCAATTTCACAGGTTTTGTAAAGGAAATTTCCTTGCTTTGCTCACAATCCCCATCTTTAAAATAGAAACTTAATCATGTTTTTAAAAGGAAAATTTACCAATCTTCTCAGTGGCTGGGTTATTTTTTTCCATAATTAAAATAATAAAAGTGTAACTATTTAAATGCAGAACAAATTGTTATAAATTAAGTAGAATGATCTTAAGAAATAACGATTATTGACTTTTTTAGTAAAAAGTGGGCGTGGCTTTTTATCGATTTTTGAAATGGCTTGGCTTCGCTTTTAAAATGGCTTGGCTTCGCTTTTTCAAATTTGGTGTTTTGTTCAAAATAGATACATAAAGTTGAGAGATACTGTAGTGTTAGAGAGTATAGACACCTACGGGAGCGAGAGAAGGGTATATAAACTCAAAAATTTAAACAAAACTAATTAATTTTAGAAAATTTTAATAAAATGGCCCTCAACATGAATGACAAGAAATCATTATTGACCCAAATTCTCCCTGAAGTCGAATTCAACATAACTACTAACGGAATCACTATCACTAGTGACAGAATTACCACCCCGCGTTTCATTCCTTTTGAACACGGGGGTCGGTGCCGGGAATGTAAAAGCACAGAAGTAGAATTGGACTTTATTGTTACAAAGGAGGGAGTGACAATTTATTGTACTCGCCTGTCAACTCCTCGTTTAGTACCATTTGATTGCATTTATGATCTCCCGGGTCATTGTTTTTTCAAGGTCATTTGTCTAAAATAATTTTTGAAAAATTTTAAAAGTAAGATAAAAAACAAGGGTCGAATTTTGAATATACCATATGGTTCACAAAATGTTTGCTCAGTTGACAATACGAATTTTCGCAAGCGTGAAGCTACTACTCAACTACCTCTACCACCACCCCCACCACCGCCTATGCCTCCACAGGAGGAATTATTAACACCTATTTCCCCTCCTCCTGCACCACAAGAGGAAATATTAACTCCACCACTTGCATCTCCACAAAAAGAAATACCAACACAAGAGTCTCACGTAACATTATCTCCGATCAAAGAAGAGCCATTAATTAAAGAAAATGATGATGCTGTACTTATGGAATTCTTTGACTCCATGCAGGCTGTTACAATGGGAATGTTAGCAGAAAGTGATGTTAAGAATGAAGTAATAACTAATTACAACCCCCTCTTTAATTCAACAAGTATTTAAGTTCATTAATTTCCAGGTTTTATAGTTTTCCTATCATTTAGTATGGAAACGCTAACTTTTTCAAATAAAGATTTAAAACTTAAATTGCCTTTTGGTATGGTTGTATCAGGCCCTAGTTCTAGTGGCAAGAGTACGTTCTTGCTCAAATTTATTTCAGAGGTTGAAGAGTTAATAGAACCCAAACCAAAGAGCATACTCTATTGTTTTGGCGAAATGAGTAGTATTGTACCTATACTTCAAAGATCTGGTGTTAATGTCTTTGTCGGAGTCCCGCCTGAAGACTTAATAAAAACACTACCCAAGCCACTTCTTCTAATTTTGGATGACCTTCTTTTGTCAATAGATGAAAAATATCTATCTGAACTTTTTACAAAAAAGTCACACCATCAAAATTTTTCTGTTATATTTGTTACACAAAATTTATTCGACCGAAAAATTAAAATCGCTCGTCAAAATGCCCAATATATTGTATTAATGCGTTCACCTAATTCAGCCCTTGCAGTAAGGAATATAGGAGTCCAACTCTTCCCTGGAAGGCTGAATTATTTCTTGGACGCCTATCGTCAATCAACAAATCAACCCTATGGATATCTATTGATCGACATGCATGCTTCATCTGATCCCACTTTAAGACTTAGGACAGGAATATTTAAGGAGGACGAAAAAATTATTTTCACTCCAAAGAGTGGCATTTAAAATGGTCGGTCAATTAATTAGTGAAAACGTAAATTTTCTAAATACTCTATGTCATACAAAATCTCGAAGAAAAATTCGTCGTCTTTTACAACTTGCTAGTAATACTCAACTTTTAACACTTGTTGAAATATGTCTTAATATTGTAAAATCTCGATTTATGTTGACACCCCGTCAAAAGAATCGTTTAATGCCTTACGCCTGTTTTGTCCGAAAAGTAAGTAGGGCACGAAGTGAAAGAGGAGCAAGACTTGCTTTACAGAAAGGAAATGGTATTGGAGCTTTTGCTGCTCTCCTTACCCCAATACTCATTGAACTGGCGCGCTCTATAAAAAGCGGAAATTAAACTGAATTATATTTTAAAGTATTTACTAAAGAATTATGGCTAATAAATTTGTCCTCGTTCCTCAAGAAATTTATCGGGGTCTCACAACATTTGATACTGGTGAACCAAATCTTGAAGATGTTCGGCGAACTTTAGATAAAACACAAAAAGGAAAAGAACACCCTAGTGCAAAAAATATCCTTTATAACCAGGAATTAAGGCGATACTTACACTTACGTAATGAAAGTCAAAACCGACCAGTTAGAGTTGAAATGGTCGCTTCACCCAAAGGGGCTATTATGAGAATGAACAAACGCGTCCTTCAACAGCCGAGGATGATGATGAAATGTGGATGAGCGATGATATTTCGTTTTCTAATTATCCTAGAGAACCTCCAAATAGAGCCTATAATTTTGTACCACCTCTCTCTGAATCTTCGTACCACCCATCTTTACCTTCACTACCTAGAAGTAGTAACGTTCTAAGAGAAGAGGTGTCTCCGACACCGCCAAATCCACGTCAACTTGTAAAAAGGAAAGAGAAAACTAATGGAAATGGTTCAAGAAGGATGAAGCCCGTTAAAGGAATTAAAAAGTCTAAAATTCCTGTGAAAAAGAAACAAAAGAAAAGAGTGACGGCAACCCTAACTTTACCTTCAACTTTAGAAATTGAGAAACGAACAGATTCTGTCATTGATGCACAAAATGCCCCATTATGTGATTCCCCTCCTGTAGCATTAAAAAGAGACCAAGATTCCAACAGTGCTGAAGGATTCAAGAGGAGTAAAAATGTATATGAAAATAAAGAACTTAGGTTAAGAGAACAAATTGCACAAACTCAAAAGAAGAAAGAGTTATTAAGTAGAAGAAAAACATCCCAAAATGTCAAAGTCCCTCTTGATCATAGTGTAATTCAACAAATGCGTCGAGATGAAGAGGCTGAAATTTTAGATAGCGCTAAAAGATCTCGTCGTCGTAATAGAATATTGAGAGAAGGTAGATCTCCGTCTCCTTCAATACCTCGTGAGCGTTCAAAACGAAAATATGAAATTCCTGAAGGAACTAGGTTATTATATTATAAAAGGATAAAAGGACCAGTTTCGAAGAAAAAATCAGAGCGTTTATCAAAGGCATGGTTGGAAAAATTAAATATGATAAAAGGGCGTGCGAGTGGAAAATACAAATGGGCAACGAAGAAGCCGACCCAAGAAGATTCAAGTTCTCGACATATGGGTGTAAAAGGACGATTAATTGGAAAGAAATGGGCTGTAAAGAAGCCTTCTCAACAGGATATAAATAGATTTAAACCATCTCTATGGTAAAAATGGCAGATTATACAAAACTTTTACAACATCTCTATAATGATCCCGAATCCCCTGCAGCCTTTTCAGGAGTTGACAGATTATGGCACGAAGCCCGCAAAGTTCTTAAAAATTTACCTAGAAGCGTTGTACAAGATTTTCTTGAGGGACATCGGACTTATACTCTTATGCGTCCTAAGAGAATTCACTTTCCACGCAGCAAAACCGTCGCCTCTGGTTTTATGACAGATGTACAAGTTGACTTGGCGGATTTTCAAACACTTTCTAGGCATAATAAAGGAAAAAGATATTTACTCCTGGGAATTGACGTTTTATCTAAACGTGTTTTTGGTGTAGCTGTAAAATCAAAAAAAGCCGAAGATATTTTAGACGCCTTTAAGCAATTAATTGATCAGATGCCAATGAAGCCACATAGAATATTCTCTGATAGAGGTCTAGAATTTAAAAATAGACAAATAAAAGAATTTTTTGAAAAAGAAGAAATTGAAAAGTTTGAAGCTACCCATTCAACAGTTAAAGCTTCGCTTGCGGAGCGTTCAATTAGAAATGTTAAACAACGATTATATAGATATTTTGCTCATTATAAAACACTTAATTGGATAGAAATTTTACCAAAAATTTTGGACGGTATCAATAAGGCAAGAAGTCGGGTTCACGGAATGCGCCCTATTGATGTAAACTTTGCGAATGCACAAGAGGTGTGGGAGAAGATTTATGGAGACGTATTGTCTACTAGAATTAAAAAAGCCAAGCCAAAATTCAATAAAGGAGATTTTGTTCGTATGAGTATAAATAAAGGAACGTTTGAAAAAGGATATATTCCAAACTGGGGTGATGTAATAGCTGAAGTTGACAAAGTCAAGGATCAGTCAAGACCCATTCGTTACAAATTAGTAGATGACAAAGGAGATAAGTACAAGGGATCTTATTACAATGAGGAACTAACTAAAGTGAAAAAGGATGCGGGGACCGAGTACAGAATAGAGAAGGTATATCAAAAAAGAAAGCGACCGGATGGTGCATATGAACTACTTGTAAAATATATAGGTTACCCCGAAAGAGAATGGATACATGAGAATCAATTAGTATAAAAGCATTTATTTTCACATTGTATAATTTTATTTGAGATAAAAATGTCAAACAGTTTTTACGTTTGTTTACTAAGTAATACAACTGATTATCCCGATAATCAGCCTAATAAGTTTCGAGTTCATCTCCCGAAACCAATTTATTTTTCTGGAGACTGGGTATGCGGTTTACATAGCATCTCATACCCATATTCATGGCCTTCAACAATTGGTACACTTGACGAGCAGTGGATTGCTATTCACTGTACAGATTTTAAAGGAATGGCTAAAATAATAAGAGTACCTGTACCAAGAGGCTCACACAATAAACCGGAAGATTTACTAAAATTTTTAACATCCACTTTACAACACCAGAGTGGATCGCTTGAAGAATCTCCTCAAAATAAAACTGATAGTTTTGTCGATAGGCCAACTCTAATTTCACCTCCAAGAGTCGGACGCCCAAAACGAAGTTTGGAGGAGACTCTACCATCGCCTCCAAGGATAATGCCCGGTTCTCCTCCACGATTGGTTGATTCTGCAAAAGCATCGTCACCTACTCCGCCAACAAAAAAACCTGCGCCTCCATCTCAAGAAATTAAAAGACCTAAAACTCCCGAACTTCCTTCGCCACCTAGACTACCACAACCTTCTACAACACAAAATCAAAAACCTCCTACTCCTCAGAAACCTCCTACTCCTCAGAAACCTCCTACTCCTCAGAAACCTCCTACTCAGAAACCTCCTACTCCTCAGAAACCTCCTACTCCTCAGAAACCTCCTACTCCTCAGAAAACTCCTACTCCTCAGAAACCTCCTACTCCTCAGAAAACTCCTACTCCTCAGAAACCTACTCCTCAGAAGCCTCCTACTCCTCAGAAAACTCCTACTCCTCAGAAACCTCCTACTCCTCAGAAACCTCCTCCTACTCAAAAACCTCCTCCTACTCAAAATCCTCCTATTACACAACCACCTCAACCTCCTCCTACTCAAAAACCTCTTACTACTACACAACCACCTCCACCTCCTCCTACTCAAAAACCTCTTACTACTACACAACCACCTCCACCTCCTCCTACTCAAAAACTTCTTACTACTACACAACCACCTCCTCCTACTCAAAAACCTCTTACTACTACACAACCACCTCCTCCTACTCAAAAACCTCCTACTCCACAACCACCTCCGCCTACTACTCAAAAACCTCTTACTACTACACAACCACCTCCTCCTACTACTCACAAACCCCCTATTACACAACCACCTCCACCTACTACTCAAAAAACTCCTATTACACAACCACCTCCTCCTACTACTCAAAAATCTCCTATTATACAACCACCTCCTCCTACTACTCAAAAACCTCTAACACCACAAAAACCAACACCTGGGCCTAAAACTAATCAAAAACTTTATTCACCTCCTAAACTACCGCAAAACCCACCATCTCCACCCCCTCAAATTTTGCCTACGCAACTTCCTCATCAAAAAACAACACCTCAAAAATTACTTCCTCCGCCAAAACCTACTACTACAACTCCTCAAAAAACAACGGAATCACTACCCGTCCTATACAAACTCTTCCTCCACTCCC